TTCTTGGTTTGCATCACGCCACAATCAGTATACCCTACCGATTTATGAGTTGGACACAGGTTCAGGAGCAGTGAAATTTATGGAATTCACATTCGTAGGACAGACTGCCACCAACCGAAACGTGTCTCCTTGCATGGAAGATCTACCTACAGTTTGTATTGATTATGAAAATTAGTAAAAAAATTGAGAATTTTGCAGGCTGTATTTGAACTGATTATAAGGAACAGAAATTGACCTAATAAGAGAACTGATCTTAATTCGATTTACTTGAATCAACATTAATTCCTCACAAGATAGGTTGCCTTTGGTAGGTTAATTATTGATGAGTCCGAATGACATGTGTCACTCTAAAAAAAAACCCCAAGAACACACATCTAGCTAAATATACCCCAAACATGTCAAGTCTTATAACGAAGTCTCTATCGCTTCTAAAAACTTATAGATATCCCAAAAGAATAATTAATAGACTTCTTTCGGCCAGACGTTCACTCTACAAGAAAGAGTCCTAACCTCCCAACTCTCAAGACCACAAGAGAGACAAATCATTTAATAAATATTTCTTTCCGATCTTGTTTCAGTCTAATCTACATCAAATCTGCAATGATGATATCGTCAAAAGAAAAATCACATGCACGTTTAAAAATGGGGAGCAAAATCACTTCACTTAACATTAGAAAATAAATTGATAACCATCTTTAAAAAGGTCTAATTAGATAACCATCTTTTTTGTTGGATTACCATTAGATTGTCAAAAGATATTTCAATCCATTATAAAAACTTATTTTGCGTATCCCGCATATCTCACTTATTCAACTTCAGAAATAAATTGACACGTTATTATTATTTGAAGGAGTTTTCAAAACTCATGACAACTAAGTACACTCGATCTAGATAATTAGTTTTCGAACTGAATTATACGTACGTACTTTCATTTAAAGCAAGATGTTAATATTTTGAAAGTGACAACAACAAATTGATGAATGAATGGATAAATAACTTTTCCTAGTCTTAACGTCAGAAAAACATACTGGAAAGTTTAGAGAGCAGATGGAGCAAAGACAGGCCCCATCTTTTTTATTGGGATATTAATGTTGTTTGCTCTAAGAATCCAACCGTTTTTCAACAAGAAAGATGGAATGATCAGCTCCAAACCCAACATTTTTATCATGGTCAAACTCTAATATCGTGTCCCATTTGGTTTGTTCCTCGTTTTTCATTGACACATGCATGCACGTTATAGCTTTGTGATTCTCTTTCTACCACGAAATTTTCAATATGAGACAGACATAACATGGCTTCATCTTTGTTTACCGAAACCTTTTCTTTAAATTCTTAATACAGGTAGTGTGTGTGTGTATATATATACTTATTCTATTTTATTTTTTTTGTCCCACACTGAGGAATATTTTCGACTTGTTTGCAATACAATCAAAATTTTTGTTTATTCAATGAGCTAAAATGTAGCGATCAATATGTTGGTCGTCATGTCGATATATATATATACATTGAAGTAGAATATATAAATCATCATACATGTTTATCATTTTAAAAAAGTTTATTTTAGTCCTTACAGTTATGCAAATTAGTCAATTATACGTTTAAAAATTGTAAACTAGTCCCTCTTAAATGTTTGCGAAACAATTGGTTTTTAACAATAGTAGGTGGTTTCTCATGTAATCTAGTATACATATTTAATGTTTATTAAAATCATTTATATGATAAAAACTATAACGAAACCATTTATTTATTTGTATTTACATAATTAGAAGCATTGGAATTGAAAAAAAAAAACGTATGAAACATGTAAATTAGTAATATGTGCTAAATTGAAATCATTCTATAAAATGGTTTACTTGTATTGTTAACTCAAATAAAATAATGATTAATACAATAACATTTTTACATGTTTATTTCATTTTATTTACAAGTAGTATTAATACACTAACATTTTTACATTTTTTAAAAATATTTACAAATATTGAGGTATTTTAAGATCAATTTTCACATCAATCAAGACTAAGTCCATTACTTCTTAGATTAAGCAAATGAGAATACGTTTAGTTTTTTGTCGACTATTGAGCTCTCTTTTTTATCAAATCAGTTTAAATATGATACTATTAAAAAATAATTATGATTAAATAATTATCTATAAATAATGGGATTTTATGATTTTACATGTTTTTCTTATTTATATGAAATATATTGCAATAGTAAACATTATAATTTTTTACGATAATTTACGAATGCACGCACACGTAGTATTGACACGGGTTAATTTAATCTAACCCTCCAAACTTTTATTTATTTATTTTGAACGATTAGAAACAGACACATCGTTTAATAAAATCATGAGTCATCAGCTCTAAGAAACACGAAAACATACACTTACTTCCCAACATGAAAAGCAAATGCCCATCGATTATGGACTTTATAAACTAGTTCACAAACAAGGACTATGGACAGTGGCTCGGACCAGCTTTTTTATCCAAACTTTATATCTCCATTCAATCACTGTTTTATTACTGACCTACTGACAACCACCATAATAGACCCATCAACGTGTACTGGCCGACCTCACTGACCCACTACATGTAATGGTGCTCAAAACCTTATGATTTGGTCCCAATGAGACATCGATTTAATGAGCCATTTGCTTGGCACTCTTTCACGCTAAGTAGCATCCATGTTCTGGATCTTGCCAAAAACAATTTAGCCGCATTCCTACCCTGGATGGTGATCAGGTCTCTCGAACGTAGCGCATACATGGTTTATCTAAGAGGTGAGCATTATTCGATTAAAATAAAAAAATTAAATCAAATCGAATCGAATTAGTAATTTTGATTCAGTTTTTAAAAAAATATATATAAAAAAATCAAAATTATTTCGATTCGGTTCAATTTTTTTTTTCAAATTTGGTTTCTACCGAAAACCGATTTAGTTTTTTTTTTTAAACACATACCCAAGCTCCTTTTTAAAAAAATAAAAATAATAGAGGCACCTATGGGTTTAACTAAAAAAAATAGCTTTAATGATTTTTTCTACTTAAAATAAAAATATTTTCATTAGTTATTTATTAAAATAATAAAATAATTGATTATATTATATTGACACACAAACAAATAAAAAAAAGATTGTGATAAAATAATTTTTTATAAATACACAAGTTTATGTGTGGGTGAATTCTAAAACCTCATGGAAAAAAAATTGTCTCCATGTATTAAAATCAGCACAAAAATATCCCCTAAAAAAATTGACATGAAGCCGCTGCATTTATAATATTACTATAGTAGTATTAATAACAAATGACAATAATAATTTTTTCACTCTTTTTATGCTTATACTAAACATAAATTAAAAATTAGAATTTTCAGATTATCTATTCAACAATAAAATATGCACAAAATAAATAAGTTAAAAAGAATATAAAAAATTAACAAAAAACCAATAAAATATGCACAAAATAAATAAGTTAAAAAGAATATAAAAAATTAACAAAAAACCAATTGTAATGTGATTGAAAAAAATAATAAGAAGCCCAACCAATATAGTTTATAATATAAATAGAAACAAATTTAGTATAGAAAAATAATAATAATCTTACATAATTTTTTTTTATAAAATCAAATTTAAAATATGTAATTTTTTATTATGCAAGCTTGATATTTTTTAAAAGCAAAATAATTCGTTTTTTAGAAGAAAAATATATAAAAATAAATAAATCAAATTTTAACCGAAAACGGAAAAACCGAACCTCAATTCGATTTGGTTTCGATTAATCAAAAACTAAAACAAAAAGTCAAAGCCGAACTGAAAAATCGAATGGTTACCCTTAGTCTGTGTCTTGCAGTCCAGTGGAGCTAGGCAAGGTCATTAATTAATACATGATTGAAAAAAAAACAAAAAAGCAACAGAAAATTAAAGAAAGGAGCCTTCCACCGCCACACAACTATGAAAATGACCCCATAAATGCACGTAAAAACTTTTTCTACAGAGAGACAGCGGTAGGGTGGCGTCACAAGCCAAGAACTAGGAGGCGGACGGTTGCCTAACAACAGAAAACCCCCTTCTCTGGCAAGCAAGATTCCCGAAATGTAAACTTTTACATAGGACCAGTTTTCAGCTGGATGCCACTTCGATTCTGCATATGCAAGGCCGAATTTCTTGTTAAGTTCTTGTAAGGAATTTTAATCATGGTGATGGCCTATCAATTTGAGCCTTTAATCATTTCAACGAATTTGGCAGTTCCTAAAAACGTACCGATGTCTGTAATGTGTTGAAACTCTTAACTACGATAGAAGCCTCAATTGCATCCATCACTTTCGTTTCTCTTGAATCTTTTCTTTCAATTTTTTCCTTGAAATTACATAACTAAAGAGATTTTTTTTATTATTTTTAAATCGACATGTGCATTAAAGTTCGACTTTTGTATTCCAAGATCTTATGAGACACGTAAAGAAAGATGATAACCTGATCTTTTTTATGCAGAGACATAAAAAAAAATAAAAAATAAAATAAAAAATATTGCATATCTAACAAACCAACATTCATTACCCTGTTCCAAAATCCAATGCCCTCGGTTTTCTTTTTTCTTTTTTTCCTTTGAAATAGAGGGAAACCAAGCAGAGACTGCAACGGACACAAACAAACAAATATAGCATTACAATTCTCGCAAGACAAAATTTGAATGCGAGCCAGTAGAACCAACCACCACCAATGTTTAGATAGGAGGAGCCTTTGTAGCTAGTCCAACAAAGTGACACCTAGGCTGGATAAATATGAGAACTATTTAATGGGGGCCAGCTTTCTCACAATAAACCAGCCCCCTGTATGAGGCACTTACACAAAAACTAATGCCTTAAATATCTGTTCCTCTCACATGCTTGCAAGAGTTCAAAATCGTGGACCATACACATGCAACAACCTACCATAATGCAAGCAGAACGCTGGCATTTTCAAATGGTAAAACTAAAAATGCCTCCCAAAACAATAGCTATTTTCACCTAGTCGTCTTTTAAGGTGCTTGAGTACTCGGTCCCTTTTTTTGGCGAAGTCACCATGGAGGAAGCGCTTGATGAGGAATCACTAATTGAGCTTGATCCATTCTGAAAATTTTTTGATGCTAGAGCAGGGTTTCTCTGAGGATCTGTAGTTGCAGGTTTCTGCCCCTCCTCCGCTAGTCTTCTGAGAAGATTCATAATAGTGGGAACGAACTTTGTAGATAAAGAAAGAAGCCCAGGAAGCTGTAAGCATAATGACCAGGTGAGTTTAGAAAGCATATTCACAAGTACAAAACTTTAAAAGACAGTATGGAGAGTTTGGTGGCATCATTAAGATACTAGTTTCAATGTACAAAAAGATTGTCGAAAACAGGACCAAACAATGAGGCTCGTTTGACACTTACAGCACCATTGCGGAATTCGCCCGAAATGTCTAACTGCACCCATAGGGCTTTAACGAGTAGAAAACCTACAAAGATGAGACCCAAATACAAAGGATTTCTGCCACAAAAAAGAATGCAAAGGTTGATAATATCAGAAAACAAGGGATATAATCTGTCACCAAAAGAAATAATTCCACAGCTATGTTACCTTAAAAGTGTCATAAATTCGTTAAATCCCAGCACAACCAAGGCAACAATTGCCCATGGGGGTGGTAACCAGTTGTTATTACGTTTATGGGCTTCCTGAAAATCAAAAAAGGGAACAGATTGATGTAAGTATCCACACACACAGATGTGTGTGTAACTGCCACAAACAGCAGATATGATATAGGCTTTTACCCATTAATCTCAACCATAATGTCACAATAATTGAATTCCAAGAATTAGAAATATAACATTAACAGCACAAAAAACACTCAATGCAGCGCCATAAGTTTTTTGACTGCGAAGCAGAATGTAAAGTAACGAAAATGTTCAATATAGTGGCAATGCTTTATTTCCAATCTTGGTATTTATACAGTAATCTAAGGTCGTGAGATGAAGCCTGGTCATATTTTTTTGCCACTCCACCTGCCACATCCTGTAGCATGTTGCTAACTTATACAAACTTGATTATTTGCACTCTTAAGGTCCAGATGTCACTAAATGTTCAGCATTTCATGCAACTGACCAATTGGTATAGGACCTCAAATTTTGTTTCTTTGGACAAGCTGCATCCCAGGCACAACTCAGTAAACATGAAGCACGGAAATGCAAACAAAAGTGTACATTATTTTCCGTCTCTGTGTTGACAATGGTACTAAAGGCCACCATGTAAAAAGAAAAGATAAATTTGCAAACCTAATGATATGCAAGGGTACCATACCTGTGCAGAAATGGCCTGAGTGACTGTGTACTCTGTCTCTATCTTGAATTGCCTCCACAAAGATTTGCACTGGACAGGTGTGATCAATGTCCTTGAGGATGGAATCTGCAGTAGCAAAACCAGTTACAAGTATAAAAAGTGCTCTATGGTAAAGAAGAGGCCACTGGTATCAGTGCACGCAAAATAGATGATAAACAGTCTTAAGCAATGATTAACAGTCTAGTGCTAGTATGTAGTTATAATATCCACCAGGCAATTCCCAATTAATTTATAGAAGAGAAATCCAACATATATCGTCTGCACCAGCATAACAGACACCATTGTAGCTATAGATCTATGTGTGCACTATATATGGGACCCATTATCACAAGTCCCACCACCATGTTCAGGAAATGCAGAATTAAAGAGATTCGTTGATCAGATTAACAGCACAAAAAGAGACAAGAATCTTGAGACCCACACACTTCAATTAGAATTGAAGACCTAATTCATGCAAACACCATCTGAAAATTGATATAAAAAAGTTCATCAAGTTGCAAATGAGTTCAAAAACGTTAAGGAGTTTCAAAGAATTTATCCTAGAAAACTGATCCTAGTTTTCAGTCTCTAATAATTCATTTCTTGAATTATTGATTACATACTCTTCCTATGATAGTAACACGCAAATTTGAAGATATATTAACATAGGCTGCACCAGGAAAAAGCTCAGCAGTAAGAAGTCACCTCTTCCCAAGAGCTTGATGCCAGTGGGTCAAACGTTGTGATACTTCTGTCTTTAACAGCAGCATTGTTCTTTGTATCCATCAAAGCAGACGATAGTGTATTCTCAATGTTATCAACGTCATCATCCAGACGAATTGCAGCCATTACAGATAACAACTCCAAGGACTGGCAAAGTTTAACAAATGAAATTAGTTGAGATCCAATGCAGAACAAAAGTTAAGTTCAACATTCGTTGAAATATGTATTCATCATACTGCAGAGCGAGCTGTTTTGGTAATTGCTCGAATGTCTTCCTTTCCGGTCCAAACTCGTGGCATTGAATCAGAGTCATGGCTAAACAACATTGAAAACCTGCATGCAAAGTTTACATTCACTCTCCAAAAGATGGATTTGGAACAGAACAAATAACTTAGTTGGAAAATTGCAAGGGGTTGTTACCTGTCTTTCATACGGATCAGGACCCTTCCAGCTTCTTCCCTTGCTTTTGCCTCAACTACACCTTTTGCATAATTCTCCAAACTTGTAAGTAATTTGTCTTTAGATTGTTCGTCCATGTCAAAACCAGAGAGTGCATTAGAGATCCCAACAACAGCTGATTCTGTCTCCCGCTGCAAAAGTTTCTTTATGGCTGACCATGTCTCACTAGTAGCTCCATCTAAAAGTGCTTCCACAGGCCCTGATAACGCCTCATTTAGTTTTGCCTGCAGGTGGTCCAGAGTATTGTTTTAGGATATATAAAGTTTCCTTTATGTGCAAGTCTGAACCACATGATTTCACTGTCATTAGTTGTGCCCACTTTTTTTTATAAGAAATCGGCATCTAACGAAGTTTCACAACATATAAAACCCATAATGTGTGAAACGATGCAACAAACATTAAAATTATTGACCTCCAAAGACCACACAGCAAACACAACCAAATTCCATGAGCATTTCTCCATATTAGTTTTAAGATTTCCACTCTTCCCTAGAATCTTCCGAGGAATCCCAGCTTATCTTCAATTGAAGAACAATCACAGAATGAAGTTGGCACACACAGAAGCAAGAGAAGATAATCTTAGAATATCGTACCTCATATGATGAAGTAAGTTCAGAGAGTTTGGCCGCACGGACAGAAGCAACATGCGCATCTATATCACGACGAAGCTTATCCCTCGCTTTAGATGTGTCCCAGTTTGCTTGTTCAATAACAGCATCTGTGATCATAATATATGAACAAGAAGATATACTTTAGTGAATCCAGTCAGTGCAGTCAATTTTTTATTAGTTACAAAGACAGAAAAACCAAATAGCTGATCGTTCCATCCTTATGCTTTTAGTTGTGCAACAGCCAATGAGAATTTTTTTCCCCCTAAAATAAAGTGTGCTAAAGCTTCTTTCCACTTGAGCAGCTTTATTTTTTAAGCCTTTTTTCTACATCAATGAAGCTAACGATGAAATTGAAAAATGAGTTTTAAGTCATTCAGTCATGCCTGCACGCCCTTCATCAAATTGAGCTATGTAAAACTGAGTGCAAGTTCCAGCAGCCACAGAAAACCCTTCCCCTGCATTCAAAGCTTTATCAAATGCTTCCTTGAATTTTTCAAGAGTTCCAGACCTTATATGACCCAACATGGATTGATGTGCTGGTTGAACGAGCTATCAAACCACAAGAAGACAATTAATCAGATTAATAATTCATAAATTTGATATCAAGCTAGATAAGAAAAAACAGTTGAAACTGCTACAGATAAACTGCAGAAGACAGAAATCCAAATCAACACTCAACTAAAACAAACCTCAGACCAAATTAATTAAGTGGGCAATAAGGAAGCTATTATCCATTATATTAAAAGCACAAACATGCTTTTATATTTTCTAATACTATACCTTCTTTTGACTTTCAACACTTCAGCCCACATCATTTTTTTATCCACCCCTTCTCTTCTTTAATCCAAGTACTTGCGGTCAATTGATCTTCTACACTAATGCATTTCTAGATCTACACATGGCCAAACCATCTCAAACAGCACTCCCTCAACTTACCCTCGATCAGGAGCATCTCCACCTTCTACCAATACACTTATAGATCGTACTTTGTATTTCACACATCCAATCTTCTTATGTGCAAGCAACTCTTACTGCCCAACACTCACCGCCATAAAGAATAACTTGACATGATTTTGGTTGAATGCTTCAATGTAATAAGAGAGCAATCACATAGAAAGGTTTAATGTCATGCCCTAAGGACTCCTCCAGCTACCTTTGCTGGTCCCTATGCAGTCACATGCATATGAATTCACGATTTTCCCCCCATACAATCTATTATACAACTCAAATTAACTGAGTGCTAATGTAAATTAGTTTGGCTCTAATTCCAATATAAATGTGACTATTCGGGACCATTTTCCTGAACTGTAAATGATCGTGTTTTTTTATTTATACTCAAATCAAAAGAATTAGTAACCTAAATGTCATCATGCTTTTAGTTACAAATGGATAGGCATTGACTGTAATTCAATATTCTAAGTTCTAAATTTTATGGCAATAACTCAGTCTTTTCATAAGTCAAAACAACTACCATAAACTTAGTAAAGAAGTCTTAAGAGATTGATTACTTGTAGCAATTTTTCCTCAAGCTGCTTTCGCTTTGCAGATCTTACTCCTTCGTCAAAATAAATAGCTTCTGCATCATACCTAGAATTAAACAAGCCATTATTGATGGTAACCAAATCAATAAAGCTTTTAAAGGATATTTTAAGCCATAAAACAAGCACTGACCAGAAGATTCCCAGATAATGACAAAGTAAAGAAAATTGAAGATGCAATAACTCATGAAGCAGAACTACCTAGCAACATAAGACACCCTATTTCATAGTGCAAAAAAAGTGATAGGGACGACTTAAAATAAGTTTTTGGCAAGGATAAAACAAATTCTGAAAGCAACAGATAATAACAAGATATGAAATCTGATGCATTATAATCAAGAAGTCAGCTTCCACTCATCAGCCAGAAAAAATACTGCAATTCAGTCTATTGAAGTATGCCCCTGGATACAGTAGTCATCTTGTTCACCACTTTTATTAGAATTTATCGAAATAAATTCTATTAGAATCAAACACTGTTTCTAAATTTCTAATATTCTCATGTTGGATGGGACAAGTGGAACAACTAAGCACAATTCCACCTGCACATAAGCACCTTGCAAAAATAGAGATATAGCTCACAGGTCTTCACCCAACTTTACTCTTATCTGTCGACACTTAAGGCAGTTCCTAAAGCCTTTTGCTATCCCTAGACCAAAACACATCAGAAGCAGAGCCACTACAAATCAATATATAGCATGACAAGAAAAAACACTTACTCAGACAAACTAATATTTAGGATTGCACTAAGCTTCTTTCCAAAGCCAGAGACTGGACCAGATTGTACAGCCTCTTCCATTTGACACCATTCCTGTGGGAGATAATAAACCCTATTTGGTCAGTGTCAATGCTCAGACTGTGGGCAAGATCTAGAGGTAAAGTAGAAATGAGAGGAAGAAATGAAGGCGGAATACATTAAAAGCATATACCTCATTTGATGCAAAACTACCATATTTTTCATTGGCAATTTCTTCACACCGTACAGTAGCAACCATGACCTGCGAGAAAATGGGGATCGCAAATGACATTAAAAAAATATGGATGTACTTATTCTAATCCTCTGCTAAGTAAATATTCACAAAATTACCTTGTGGGAAGGAACATGGGGATTGCATGTGATATTAGCAAAATGTGGATTTTCTAACTCTATGCCTCTTCTAAGTAAATATTCACAAAATTACCTTGTGGGCAGGAAGGTCAAGGTCCTTATTCTCCTTGATAACTTTCCAGATTTCCTGTGCACTGAAAGAGAAACCTGAAGCAGGAACTACACCCCGCCGATCTCCCGCCAGCCCACCAGGTGCAACAGAATGAAAGAATCGCTGCCTCAAACTAGCAACCTTCATTGTCAAGAAGAAGTTTATCAGATAACAAGTTATCCTAGCTAAGTTCCAGCTGAATGTTTAGATCACAAACTAGAATCCAGATGATAGGCAATAAGAAGTTTGATACATTAAAATTTTGGGGCCAATGGAAGGACTTTGAAACAGAATGGTTGGACGCTAACATCTAATTTGCATGCAGCACAAAAGACAAGGAGGAACAACAGGGGATCAAATACCTGGGATACTTATTTCTTTAAGACTAAATTTTAGAAAAGCAAGCAACAATAACAAGATGTCCAGTTTTGTGATGTTGCTTACGGATCACAAGAATAATATTTTCCCTACCTGCTCCCTGAATTGATCTTCCTTTTCTTCATAACTAGAAAGAGCAACAACTTCAACCTGGCCATCATTTATTGCAAAATCAATATTAATGTTCCACATTTCTCCCTTCTAGAAAAGGATATTTAAAAAAAAATAAAAATCAGCCAAAAGTATGACGTCTCACATTGAAAAATTCACTCAATGGAGTTTCCTTGTGAGCTTCTGGCTTGGGAACAGAATCCCATATCTGCATTTAAAGAGAAAAAAGAAAAGGTTAAAGGCAATACCTAAATTCAATTAGGAAGGGAAGCATGGTTTCATTTACCTTCTGAATGTCTTCTCTTAGGACAGGTTCTAAATTCTCCAGTGGTGTCTGTAAACAACCAAAGATCAACACAATTGAATAAGGAAAAGCACAATCAAGCCTCAACAATAACTGGCATTAAAGAGAGGAACGCACCCTTGTTTTGTCACGTATGACAAACATCAAAGTTGTTTTGCGTGGACTGAATAATCGCATCATGACCTGACAGCAAAAGAACCATAAGTTCAAAACCATGGCAACTTTATAAAATCCATATTAAAGGTTTGCAGACAAAACGAGCAAGGTTACCTGAAATACAGTCTTCAAAAGAGGCTTATTTGCAGCTTGCTCACGACCAATATCGTGACACCACCTAAATAAATATTTCTTAGAAAGGTTATATATGCAAATTATGGAAAACCAAGACATTATAAGATATGTGAAAATTTAGGTCCAGTGCAAGACAGAGATCTTACATGTTGATCAACACTATATCTGAGACAGCAAGGGCAAAAAGAGCACTCTGTTTCTCAAATGCTGTATCATCCTAAAAACGAAGAGAAGAACACTAGATAAGAGAAAGCAAACATCAATATACTGATCATTTTTGTGCTTCGAGAGAAGAAAAAACTATCTTCCAGGAAAGACCCTCTGATGTGCTATCTCTTGATGGAAGTAAATAAACGGGCAGGTTTCGCTAATGTACAACAAAAGGACAGTTCTCCATCCTAATCATTTCTCTGACCCTTGACTTGAGGATTGTCACTTACATCAGATAAGGGTCAATATTGTAATACTCAGCATTTCCAATTCTACATTGATAAAACTGTAATCAAACAGCTCCAAATTATATATCTGAATGCAGTCAATACAATTACATCCCTAACCATGACTGACAAACCATGTTGGTAGACTATTGGAGAGATCTTATGTTCATAAATTGTCAAAAAATTCAAAGAAGGCAGCTCAAGGATGCCTTTATGACCAAAAGGGTAATGTTGTCAGCCAATCAGGTTCTAGGTGAGAATCTGCATACTCTACAGATTATCAGATTCAGAGGTTAATAGCAATGTTTTGAGAAATTAATTTACTAATTCTATAATGACATAAGTTTTACAAATGCAGAGCATGGACAGAGAGATGATTATAAAGGATTTAAAACAAGGTATAAAAGGATAACATAGAACTGGAAACCCCAGAAAACTTTAAACGGTGCTAGAGAGAGAGAGAGAGTGAGAGAGAGATGCAAGTAAAGTTATTTAAAAAATAATAATAAAGGCACCTCTCCGCGTTCTCTTCCATCAGTTCCTTCCAAATCCATTACTAGAGTACAAGGTTCAATACCAGAACATCTTGCCATCCAAATTCCCTTAGTGGTTTGAGACCTGAAAAGAAATGGAACATATCAAGCTTTCTCAATTCCAGAAAGTTCATGTTCAAGAAAAAAGTGCAATAAAAGATAATCCAATGAGAGAGCAATGCAAGAACGTGCCTTCCTTTAAAAGCATCCATCTCTCTAAAGTTGGTAGCAAACAGATGGTTCAATAGAGTACTCTTCCCTGTCCGGTACATAGAAAACAATGTCAAACTCTTCAGACGACATAGGCAGTAATGACAGGAGTAATTTATCAGTAAAACTTATTTATAGCCAATAATAATGGAACATGAGTAGAAATTGAATTAAACTAAAACCAGAGACAGCTTGGTAAAACTAGATAGAAAAAAGTTCAAATTCACATTAGATATATCAGCTATGCCTTTTACAGTTAATTATTCCAGGTTGACTACATTCCAAAAAGCGTAACACAAATTCTGAAATCAAAACCTTCCCTTACCTTCTATGCAGGACAGTTCATACCATTCTAACTTCTAGTCTAACGAGATATGGTAAATCAAATCACAGCATGAAAATGTTTTAACGAAATACAAATAAGCACCATCAGAGAAAAATAAACTAAAGGTTAACTTATCAATGAATGAAAAGTGCATACCACTACTTTGTGGGCCCATAATAGAGACTATAGCATATGACAATCCGCATTCCCCCAATTTCACCTCCTTAATAAAATGTTCTAATCCAGTATCATTAAAAGTACCATCTCCATCAATCAGGTGAGTAGAACAACAACCATCGCTCTTTTCTGGAAACCAAAAGTTACACACATTAGTTTGGAAACGAAATTAATAGACTCCAGATTACATATCTTATGGGAAAAACATATGCATATATAACATTTAAAACAGGATTACTAACTAACAGCACAAGCTAAGCTCAAAAGTGCTACAACATATCAATTGTGCGGGTTTTCTATACCAACTAATGATAACAAGGATAGCAAACACGTATCTTCAGACAATTCAAAACCGAGAATTCTCAAAGACATCAGGCTGAGGTTTTTGCAATAAAGGTCATTAGAAACCACTTAGTTCAAAAATTTATCAGTCCTTGGTTCAGTCGCCAATAAAAAGTGAGGAAAAAAAAAGAGCCATAATTTTGTGTGAAATGGCAAATTTCTGGTTCAATTTCAAATCATTCAAATAAAAAACACTCACTGAAATTTAGTCCCATAACTTATCACCCTCATCCTCAAAGTAGTAAATTCTTTTAAAATGCATCCTCAAAAAAAAAAAAAAAAAAATCAATAATTTCAAGATCTCAACATTCTCTTCTCTTTTCCCACATTTTCTCTCATTAACCTAACAATAAAATCATGATCACTACCCGAAAAGTGATAATTATCAATCTGTAATCACAGCATCTATTAAAACCCAAAACCTGAATCGAAGTGGATCTAATTCACCTCTTAAGAAAATAAAAAATCCGCACATTAACTAAACTAAACATATTTAACAGCAACAAGCAGAAACAGAAAAAAAAACAGTTATAAATAGAACTGAAAAAACGCATAAGAAATCAATTATAATGACGCCAATCAGATAAATAATAATGACGATGTAGATGATTAAATCAGCTTTGATTAACAGAAGAAACGTCAGAGAAATAGACGGTGTGTGATAAAAAAAATGGATCAAGGGAGACTGATTGATTGATAGATAGATTACCCATTTGAACTGGATCGAATGGAGAGCTCAATTTGACCTAAAACGTATGTTCGATAGAGAAAGCAGAGAGAAAAGGGAGATCTCAGAGAATTTTTTTGAGCTTTCCTTTGGCCCTGTTGTGCTCTTTTGGTTTTAATGCAGTGGCCTTGACTGTCCCTTTTAATTTTTATTTTTTTTTAAAAAAAAAAAACCTAAAAAAATAAATAAGAAAGGAACAAAAGGAGAAAGGATGCAAAGGGGATTAGAAAAATTGCGAAAAGAAGGTTTCATTAAAAGTCATTTTTTAGAATAAAGAAAATTGGATACAAATCTTTTACTTACTATATATTATGAATATTCAAATATATATATATATTTCCCACCAATTAAACATTGCCAAGTCAGCTTGAGCAGAGCCCAAGAAAAGTGTTGATTAATGTCATTAGCTTTGAATTCAAGGTTGTACGCTCATGACTTGATCAATGTTTGGAATTAAGAAACTAATCTCTTATGGAGTTTACTCAAAACTTAATAATCAAGTATCCATTGATATCAATGCATGATATTAGCATGTATTATTTTTTCATTTTTTTTTTGGACGTTAGTTATATAAGAAGTGAATTTACTTTTATATTATATTATTATTTAATCTTTTAATTTGTTTAGAATATTGATGTCTTCTTGAAAATTACAATTAAAAAATGAATTAATCATGTGAAAATTAACTCTATGATTTATGTATTGAGAATATACATAAAACAAAAATCTATTAAAAGAAGAGTTCGATTGTGAAAATAAACAAAACAAGGGTAGAAAGATAACATTTTCTTATAGTCGAAGAGCTCATAATCTAATGTTAGTGGCTCTTTGCAATAAAAAATTAAGAATTTAAATTTTAACATATTAATTGTGTTAAAAGTTTTGAATGTACGAGTTAAAAAAATAAATAAATAAAAGAATATTTTCATATTACCTATTGTTAGTTGTAAAAAAAGGAAAAAAAAAACTGTAACCATGTTGTTTATTTTAATTATTACCACCCATAATGGCAGAGCTTAACAGTTTAGTTGTTTTTTTGTTTTTTTCAAAAAAGAAAAAGATTTTGGTAACAAAACTAGCCCTAAAGAATACAATTAAGTAAATACAAAACATCATGTGCACATGCACCCCTCTATCAGAGATGCTCCAGACAGTGATCTCAAGAATGTCCACACATGACAAGACGTATTAAAAAATATATATTCACAATTCCCTGAAAAAAAGCTTTGGTCAAAATTCTATTAAATCAACGTTAGTTTTTACACAATTAGTAATTCAAATGGACTGCTCGATGTAGATTTGTGTCACAAATCGGCGGCCACGGAAGCCAGCAATGGGATTGTACCAATCTGGGGACTTTGACAATGAGGTGACAGGATATCATTGGGTCAACCAGGGCATCTGAGTGGGGAGTTTTACACTTTTACTTTCTTTTTTTAAGGGTGAACTAAGTGTCTAAGCTTTATGGATTGTATCAATCAAGTGCATCAACTATAAATTTTACAATTTCAGTATATTAATTCTTAAGATTGTCGGATCCAGTGCATAATGGATTATAATTTAACAAACTCTGTTAAATAGTTTATGTAGCATCCAACTATTTATATGCCCAAAACCTTTCACAACAACCAAGTATCTTACACTATCTCTCATTCAAAAATCTCTAGATCAATTATTTAAAAAAATCGTAACCACCATTAAATAATAATAACAATAACTGTAGTTTTTTTTTTAAATGATTTGATCGAGATTTATAAACTTGAGATGATACTTAATGCCATTAATAAACTACGTAGTAAAAATTGTTTTTTTTTAATTGAAGGCAATAAAAATTATTGAACCACATCCAAATATGCATTTTAATGGAAAATTTTAAAACGTTGAGACTCTAAAATCAGAAATACTTGAATTCATAGGCTTGCTTGATACAATCCACGGAGTAAAAGGATCGTTGACGTTTTATTATTATTTTTTTCTTTACACAGGGAGTTATGCGCATGAGAAATTGCAAACCAAAAATCAATGGTCGGGCCGGAGATGATTAAATCAACCGACTTTAATGGGACCTACTTCGCCGCCCCCTCTTCACTTAGACAAAAAAGGGGACGGCGTGATCGCATGCACCTTTGTAGCGCGTGGCAGCACGATCAACCACGGTGGCGTGGATAGTGCACTTTCGGCCCACACGAGCTCATTCATGACCCGCATTCCAATTCTTTGATCCCTTTCTTTTCTTTAATCAATGATGAACCATCGGGCGACTAAATATTGTGAAGAAAATTAACCATTTTTTTAATCTACAATTAAATTGACATCGTAAACAATTACAGATAATAACACACATTTGAAAAAAAAACTGTCAAAATTGATTGATGGCAAGAATGTGATGAATATCATGAACAATCAATGTCATTTTTGTTCAAACATTGGTGTTGCTATAATGAATAGTATATAACCGAACATTGTCTAGTTAGTTTGTTCTAATCAGGAGTTGAAAGGAAATAAATAACGAAATCTATCCTAAAAAATTAACTAAAACCAAGATAACTGGAAAAATAATTTTATTGGTTATTAATTAATTAATAACGTGAATTATAGAGGAATCAATACATACTTATAACAGTCGTAAAGTAATCGTTCCAAGGCACAAGAGAATGACGGCTTAGGATAATTAATTGTTTGTCCTTATCTAAATAACAATTGACTGGTTATTTTTCATCACCTCTCTGGCATTGCAATTCTTAATCTTCTCTCACAAACCATTCACTTGTCACCCCTTCATTTGTTGTGCCTTGTCAAATCAGATTTTACCTGTCTACTAACTTCTCTATATCATGTTTCGTCAATCATCATTCAAACTAATCCTACTCACCAAACTCTCTCTTTTTATATTTAGCAAGTTGCTAAAGCAATTTTAGAGTATCAACAATTGTACTTATGTTCTGGTTATTTAAAAAATGATAAAAAAATTTTTATCACAATTATCTTTTTTCGAGAGTTATGTAAAGAACTAATCTCTAAAACTTTCACTTCGTCTTCTCTCGTTTAAATTATTCATTTATCTTATTCTACAATAAAAAGTCTCTTTAAACTCAAACACACAAAATCGTTTAAATTCTTACACTTACATATCATAATGGACAAGAAGAACATCTTCTACCAACCACCAATCAACCTTTCCAAATACTTTTGTTTATATAGAAACAAAATCATCCACAATAAAAACATCCAATCAAATTGGATGATTGCTCCTTCGAACCATAACAGCGAATACACAGTTCCTTAAAATATTTGAACGGTTTTTGGTTAATGGCTTAACATGTCCTTATATAATAATCTAAGTTTTTAATATGTCTTTATATAACAAAATGACTTGATTATGTTTTTGTTATTTAAACAAGTTTTCAATCTATCGTTCGGATTAATTTTTCTAACCAAACAACCTAAAAGCATCACATTACTTTTATATATATGTAGTGTGTGTGTGAAAATGTCATTCTCAATTTAACATGTTATATTTTTAACATGTCCTTATATAATGAGTAGAGTCTCTAATCTGCCCTTAACACTTGAAATTAAAATTACATAATTGTAATTTAAATAATTATCAATTAGTCCATCAAGCATGTTTTCTTTAATTACAATAATTTAATTCACATAATTATTTGTCTTTTTTCTAATTATACTCTCAAAAGATTAATTAACAATCATTTAAATCATAATCCAATCAATGATATTTATATAGTTTAGTCATCTTCGCACACGATTCATGTGTTTTCCGAGAGATAATTTAATATATTAGCACATATTATATCGGCTTGTTCAATAACATACACAAATAAACTATTATAGCAATAATAATATAACTGATTAATTAGCATTAAAAATATGTCAAATGATAATTTCTTCAACACTTATATACTAATATGTACCAATTATTTTATATATTTTAAATTAACAAAAAAGTTCACCATAATACAATACATTATTAAAAGAATCACGAGCAATTATATGATAACATAATAGACCATTTAGAATTTAAAATAAATCAAAGACTCGATCCATTATATAATAATAAATTGAAAACTTAACATGTCAATTAAGTTGAGATAGGCATTTTTGTTAAAAAAAAAAAAAAAAAAAACATGTAACATTTTCGAGTAGTTTGGCCGAAACAATTGACCGAACGGATAAATTGAAAACTTACTTAAATAACAAAGACATAATTAATTCATTTTAGCATATAAAGATATTTTGAGAACTCACCACATTATATAAAGATAGATGACATCATTAATTATGTGTTTTTTAAATAAAATGCAAACAACAAAGACTTTGGGGACTGTACCATATTTTCCACAAAAATAGAGTCCTCATATTTCTTTCAATTTTCCTTTTAGCCTTACTATCCTAAAATTTGGTTAAAAAATCATCAATTTACCCTATTATCAACAACCAATTCAATTATTAGACTATTAGGATTCTGAGGGATAGACCAACATACAAGAGAATAATCTATTAAGCCTTATTTTCAAGCATTAAAATCCACGAAATTGGATGAAAATATCTCATTCACTGTCTTATTTTTTTGGTCAGGTGAATACTAATTGTCATATTTGTATTTTTTTCTTTTTTTGGATCATTAAGGTGTTTTAAATTCAAACATTCATACTAATCCTTTATTATTTTGTTGGATGCATAAATCGAATATAACTATTCAAGTAGTGTTCTACTTACATAGAGACTCGAATCTAAAACTACATATTCAAACGGCTAGAACTCTTTTGTTTTAACCAACTTTCTTGATCTATTTTTTTCAGAACCATGACAATTACCCTTCAAGACATAAACGTCATAACACGAACTTTTCCTATTGCCCTCACTGTTTCAACTTCGTTCAAATGCAATTTGAAACTCCTCATCAACTACTTTTCTTCCTTCAAATCTCTTAAAATCGGCATTCATAACGATAATAGTGCTGAGTAGTTGGTAAAGATGAACTTACAAAACACTTTTTGTATTTCGTCTGCAAATTCTTAATTTGCAATACTTGGTAGAAACTATTAAAACAACATGTCACTGTCGCTTTTTTTATTGGCCAGCAGCCAAGAGTTGGTGATGGAAATTTTATTTTGGTAACTCCATTGGCAAGTTAAGCAACGAAATCAATTCAATCTCCGCTCCCTCTCCTCTCTAGCTTTTACAACTATAGTTAAAAGCTTATTTTCCAAGAAGAAGATAACACTAAATACCATTATTTTGGCGAAATCTTAAATCAAGCTCCCTCTAGGAAGTCAATTTTCCAAGAACACGCCTATTTTTGCTAAGTAAAAACCATCCATACCTTCATTCCTTCTGATCCAAGAACAATTGATCATGAAATTTACCAATTAAACTTGGTAACATAAGCTCTCAAAATATAATCTTTTGCAATCAATTGTGCCCAGAATTTGCATTTTGATGGTGGGTTAGGTAAGGCTGAGAAGTGAAATAGATCTTCACTCTGCGCTTTGCAACGAGACCACCCGGCTGCCTAGTTACCTTGATTTATTCCTTGAACCTAAACAACGAATACAAGTGTAATTTTGGAAATCTTGCTATAGTGGGAGCTCTTGATTATTTCAGCAATCAAATGCTCAGTGATTTCTAATATTGCATTTACAAACTCAATCCTAGTTTGTCAGCCATGTACAAAACTAATTGCGAAGAAAAAGTTAGAAAATATTTTTGCAAAATACTTGGGCGACGTCTATGCAGACTTCGAAAAAGTAATTGTCCCTGAAATTCAGAGTTCCACGCGAAAAGCAAAATCCTCTTACCTTAGATCATCATTCACTTCTTTGTGGGAATTCGCACTAACAGTCTTTTTTCAGAAAAAAGTCCTTGAAAATCTCGCCACGAAGAAGCAAAAGAAAAAGTTTATATTGAATCCCTTTCAATTCAATAAAAACTTTCTCAAAACAAGGCAAAAGGAAAGTAATCGAAGCGATCTTGGCTCCCAAACAATCCAAGGTATAAATCTTTACCTTGTTTGCTAAATTCTTTCAATACTCAATCTCTAAAACTTTCCTTTCCATACGGTAGACTCATCACTCATCCCCTAAAAGAAAGCAAAAGGAAGGCTTCTAACGCTCGAAGAAGCCAATACTAACGCTCCCTCGGAAAAGAAAGAAAAAAGTGAAGAAGCGGTTAAGATAATTGAAGACAAACACAATTATCACTGAAACAGATATATCTCAAAGCACAAAAATAAAAAATAAAAAGCATGATGTCAGGTGCTTTTGCAAAATTGATTTTCACCTAAAATACATTAAATTCATGCCTTTTGGTGTGCTTTCGACGATTGATAACTTCAAATCACAGCCATTAAATAAATACCTAAAAAAATCAATAGAAACAGCTTACCGTCTAGACAGCTTGAAAAGCTGTTTGATATTTCTATAATCCGTTAACAACTAAAGCGAATTGAAACGATTTGTCGTCTAAGTCTTCTCCATTCACTAATCGACAAAAACAAACGAAATCGCTGCGTCGTGTAGTCTAGCAGGGTCTAGTCCAAGCCCACTAATATTGACACGTAAACAAGCCGTGGGGCCCACTGCAGTCCCTGGTACGCTCCCAGAGAAAGAGAAAGAAAGAGAGAATAGGAAGGCGGGAAAGAAGAGAATTAATTAAGGAGGAGGAGGAGGAGGAGGAAGAGGAGGGGGAGAAATGAAGGAGAAATCGGCAGTGGGGGTGAACGAGAGATACACACAATGGAAGACTTTGGTCCCTGTCCTCTACGATTGGCTCGCTAATCACAACCTCGTCTGGCCCTCTCTTTCTTGCCGGTCTCTCTCTCTCTCTCTCTCTCTCTCTCTCTCTCCTTTTTAGGGTTTGGATTTTATTTTAATAGTAATGCATGTCTTCTCTTTTTCTTTTATTTACATTATATTATTGTAAACTAAAATCACTGTTTCATTTTTTTCCTGTAATTGTTTGTAATATTTGCACTGCAGCAGCAGCTCAGCTGTAAAATTTATTTCCAGAATTTATTTATTTTTAATTGCTATCTACAACCTGTTATCTTAGGGTTCTGCAAATAATATTTTGTATGCTGGTCTCTTTAACACTTAGATTTAGCTGCCAAGAAAATTGAGTGTGATATTTTTCGGGCATTATGCTATTCGGATTACGAAAATGCATATTGGGTGTTTGGTTATATCACCGTAGGGTAGCTAAGCATGGTCTTCTATCTGCTGGCAGGGAAATGGGATTCTTTGTTTATTGAGAAATGCTGCTAGGGACTCTTTCATTAGCAAGGGAGCGAGACCTCTCTGTCTATAGCTCATGTAGATAGACAAATGCTGACGCATGAGCATTCTTTGTAGACATAGTTTCGAATTTCAAATGCAAGGAGATTGATCCTTTACTCTGACTTCTTTTTAACTGGTAGATGGGGCCCACAGCTCGAGCAGGCTACGTACAAGAATCGCCAGCGCTTGTACCTCTCTGAACAGGCAAGATTGTTAATATTACTGAAGTTGTCAAATGCCTGAGATTCATCATTTTACGTATTAGGCATAGTGATGTTGAACTTCTTTATTCATGTTTGTCCATGTTGAAGAATATGTCAGCATGTTTTCTTGTTGCCTGTCATGCTTTGTCCTACACTTTCTGTTCATGGATTGTTGATTTGGTCTGCTATCTTTTATCCAGACTGATGGCAGCGTTCCAAATACTCTGGTCATTGCTAACTGTGAGGTTGTTAAACCAAGGGTTGCGGCTGCAGAACACATATCACAGGTGATGTCTTTATGATTAGCTATTGTTTTTTTTGTTCCTTTCACTTTGACTTTTTATCCCTTTATCTGCACCTTTTTACGGATTATTATATGCAATATTTGTTGGTTGCTTGATCTTGCAGTTCAATGAGGAAGCACGTTCTCCCTTTGTAAAGAAGTTTAAAACTATTATACACCCTGGCGAGGTACCTCTCATGTCTTAGTAGTTTTATTTTCTTACTTATCCGTCTCCTTGTTGCCTGTTTTATCAATTTGAAAGAGAAATTAAGTTACAACTCGTGCTTTTTCCTCCTAAAGTCAATGGAAGTTTAGTGGAATAGGGTACTGGAGGATTCTTCATTCATCCTCAAACTTGTGTTGCTGTGATTTGTTTCCAGGTGAACACAATCAGGGAACTCCCACAGAACAGTAACATAGTGGCTACACACACTGATAGTCCTGATGTAAGCATTTAGTTACCTCTTAAATGAAGAAAACAAGAGTTTAAATTGCTCATTTTTCTCCAATTTAAGTTGTCTTTATTTTCAAGCAGGTCCTCATTTGGGATGTTGATGCTCAACCTAATCGCCATGCTGTCCTGGGAGCTACAGAGTCTCGTCCAGATCTGGTTAGTCCTGGGCCAGTGATTTTTTTTTCTTTTCTCTTTTCTCTTTTCTATTTCTACACAAGTTGAATCTATTAAATAATAGTTGGGATGCTTCTATTACCATTTTCTATTACATTTGTTACAGCATGTGTAATCCAGGATATTCTAGGTTAGATTATTAATTGTTTTGATTGTATTTGTGATGGCCACAATTCTCCTATAACCATAGAGAGTTCACTGATTTTTAAGGAAAGATTTATTCTCCTTTTTAATTAGGCACTTGTTTAATGAGATAAATCTTCTTGCAGATATTGACTGGCCATAAAGACTATGCTGAATTCGCTCTTGCTATGTGCCCAACTGAACCCTTTGTGCTCTCTGGAGGTTGGATTTAAATTTTAGTTTTTTTCTCTTAGTTCATTAGATTCCTCTTGCATAATGCAATCCTTAATTAATTTATGTACTCATTTTTCACTTCATAATTTTGGTTGTGTGAAATTGCCATAAATAAATCAAACTTTTCTACACTAGTGTTGATATGCAAATCACTTTTCGTGCTGTGTTTTGTGGTGTTGTTTGTTTTCAACTACAATAATTAGAGTTCACACAACCTTTTCTGGTTGGGAATTTTTTTTCTTTTCTTTTGTGAAGGTAAGGACAAGTCAGTGGTTTTGTGGAGTATTCAGGACCATGTTTCGACTTTGGCAGCAGAGCCAGGGTTGTCAAAATCTCCTGGATCTGGAAACTTCAATTCTAAACCTGCCTCTAAATCTGGTGGAGGTAATGATAAATCTACTAAGAGTCCTTCCATTGGGCCACGGGGTGTTTACCAAGGGCACACAGATACTGTTGAAGATGTTCAATTCTGCCCATCAAGGTAGGTCCTATAATTTTAATCATATGAGTGCTATTTTAGTCAAACAATCATGCATTCAAGATTTTTTGCTTTGTAATTATTATCTGCCATATGGCAGGCACTTTCTTCAGAGATCTTTACTTATTTTCTCTTTTCCATTTTTTTGAGAAAAGAATTTCGACCTAGTGTTGCACTGAAGTCTTCTTTGAACTTTCTTCTTTATGGTTTGCTCTCATGTTATCTGTTTTCAATGTGTAGTGCACAGGAGTTCTGCAGTGTGGGTGATGATTCTTGCCTTGTATTATGGGATGCAAGAACTGGCTCTACTCCAGTTGTCAAGGTTTCATTGCTTCTCTGCATGTCTATTGCTTGTCTCTGTCTCTTTCCACATTCTGGTTTCATTCTTTTCCATTTGCACCCACCCCACTTACTAGACTTTCCTAGCTCTGGGTTAGGCAAGCAAGAAAAATTTGGTGGAGTTTGCTCGCTTTATGATTGCTGCAAGTCTGACCAGCAACGGACCAGTAGTGAATTCTTTTGCTTGACTGGCAAAGTAACAGTCAGAAAACATCATGCTGTACATTGTCAACGCATGAACCAAAGTGTGATTCACTATCACTCTGGGAATCATTATAACAGTGAATGGTAACATAGTATGGGCAGGAAGCCAACGTGAAGTGTTTTTTCTGCAATTTTGTTTTTTGTATAACAAAGCTGAATATGCTATTCCTTCATGTCACAATTTTGATTTCCAATTTGATTTTATCTATGAGAGTTTTGTTATTTTCTGGCAGGTTGAGAAAGCTCATAGTGCTGATCTTCATTGTGTTGATTGGAATCCCCATGATGTAAATCTTATTCTGACAGGGTACTTGTACAATCTGTCCTCCTGCTTGTTTATTTTTTCTCATGAGACTTGACAGTATGGCTTCTGCATTGATGCTTCTGCTTTAGTTTGGGTCAAACTTATGTTTATTTTTGTCTCTTTTTTTGGCCATATCTTGTACCTTTATTTCACTTATGATGAACTTTGGCCTGTGTCGTGCTTCTTTCAATCATGTTGCCCTTACTTCAGGTCTGCTGATAATTCTGTTCACATGTTCGATCGCCGGAACCTCATTTCTGCAGGGGTAGGAGCACCTGTTCATAAGTTTGAGGGTCATAGTGCTGCGGTCCTTTGTGTACAGGTCTGAAAATCGTTTTGGCTCTTGGCTTGATTTACTTGTTAATTTTATCTATGTTGGCACAAACTTGATTTTTTTTTGACAAAGTATTTGTTTCCAGTGGTCTCCAGATAAGTCGTCTGTCTTTGGCACTTCTGCAGAGGATGGCATTCTCAATATATGGGATTATCAGAAGGTGTCAAGGCTATACTTCACTCTCTCTGTCTCCCTCTCTCTCTACAAAAACCATAAAAAAAAAAAAAAAAAAAGGTGGAACAACCGACCACACCACAAGGGAAACTTATGCACTTGTACAAGAGATGAACTGTCAAATGGTTTGGCATGGTGCACTTTCTGCCAATGGGTTAGAAATTGATGCTGTTCCATTTATGGGATGTTATGACAACAGTGGTGATGATACCATAAGAATTGTTCCAAGTGGCACTTTTCTGCCAAGTTCTTGAGTCTGAGGAGGTGCTTATGTAATATGGTTTGTCAAGTAATTATTTAGAAACTGTTCCTGATACTGTGAATCAACAAGGTCGAGGATATGATTAATTTCTAGAGCTATGTTTTTTTTATTTTTAACAGAGTTCCACTTTTCGCAAAATGCATGAAGCATATATACCACATTATAAGATAACATTGAGGTCTTTTAAATATTTTTATCAATGCAAATATACCGGAATTGACGTACTGGAATTAATTTTTTCTATTGCCATGTTAGCATTCTAGTTTGTATAAATGTCAGCACACCTAAGACTATCTGCTTTACTAAATTGTTGTGTTTCCTACCTGATGCGCCTTCTGTAACTGGTTTGGTGCGTTGATGTTTAGACATTGTTCTGACGGATTTTGATTGATCTTTCTGAACTTGCATGTTTCTAACGAAGTTCATTGTTTTCAGATTGGTGAAAAACAAGACTCTGCTGGACTGAAACTGCCAACTGCTCCTCCAGGATTGTTTTTCCGGCATGCTGGCCATCGGTATGGAGCCTATCCTGCATCTCTTCTGTATTTTGTGCTTTTCAATGCATGGGAATTGCAATAATTACTCAATGTCGAACTTTCGTGGAATCTCATTTATGTGAATTTCACTTTGAACACAATCATATAGAATCATTAGTTTTATTGCTACTTTCTGGACACTTATGGATTTCTATGAAGTTTGGGGATTGATGGTTCCCCCCAAATGCTTCCTTTTATGAGATTTTCAGAGTAATTGCTAGTCTATATATTTATGTAGGGATAAGGTTGTTGACTTCCACTGGAATGCATCTGATCCATGGACAATTGTCAGCGTTTCTGATGACGGCGAAAGTACTGGAGGAGGTGGTACTCTACAGGTGAGAAAATTTTCTTGATGTTATAATGTCTTTACTGTATTTCGTGACTCCGGCTTTAAGTTAGTCCATATCACGTTTCCCTTTATATGTTCTGGTCTACTTTTTGTGGAGTCATAGTAATAGTTTGTTTTGAAACTATGGAAGCTATTGCTTGTCGCTATTTATTTTTGGGCTTCTTTTTCCATCCTTGAACTTGCACTTGTGCTCATGCATTGTATACAGAGTGTGAAAGACGCAATGTAACCATTCTTAACTGGAAATAAGAATAGACATTCTTCAAATTGGATTAAGAATATCAGGTATGGCAGAACTGTTGCCATGTTGGGCTTGCCATCCTTTTGCTCCACCAGTGATGTGCTGTATGATGTAGCATAATGTGTTTATGTAATGATTGGCTATACCTGCGTCTATATACTGCGGCAATTGTGGTGCTGTTTTTCAAAAGGGTGCTAAATGGAGAAGCTAGACGTTGGTACATTAATAACACTTCAATCTGCCTTATATCTGGGCAGTGTATGGTCTAGTAATATTAGTAGCAAGGTTGTATTGTATCAATGGAGTCTGGCAGTAGCTAGCTACTTGCTTTCTGCTAAACTTGATGACCAAGAACTGACAAGAACAGCTTTCTATAAGAGACAAATAATGAAATTTAATTGAACAATGTACACCTTGCCCGTGTTTAGAGGTAACCAGTTTATGGTTGTCTAGTTCATTATCTGAGGCATTTTTATTTTGATGCAGATATGGCGAATGATTGATTTGATTCACAGGGCCGAGGAGGATGTCCTGGCTGAACTGGAGAATTTCAAATCTCACATTCTTGCATGTGAAAGAAGTTAGAACTGCTAGTTATCTCGGAACACTATTAAGCAATGACTCGTGTTGACATATCCCCTTTCTCTTCTTGGATAGTTCATCTCCTGGAGAATTTGAGATGTTTTTCACGGTGGCCATTGGCTATGGTAGACTTAATCGACCAATATCCAGTAGTGCCATTTTTTTTATCCTTTTATTTCTAATTTTCTATATGCAAGTCCTTTTGTTTTTTGTTTAACGGGATGCAAAATGCAAAAGCCAACAAGAAACCACCATTTTCTTTTCTTGTTTAAATTAATGGTGGTTGCATATTTGCATTAGCATTTACTTTTGAGGAGCATTTGGATAAAGCTTCTCCTATTTGAATCCAATCCCGTTGGATGGTTTTATTTCTGTTCCATTTGTTCACTGAAGCAATGCAGTTTCCCTTGGGATCTATCGGTAACTTGCCAATAAGCTTCACCTTGGGAATATCTTCCGTTTTTCCTCCTCAAATACCAAGGGGATGCAGAAAAAATATCGGTCGCTTCGAGGCAAAAAACAAAAACAAAAGTCCTAGGGTTGTTGTTAGGATGACAGGTATAAAGCTTTTGACATGATATAAAATAAAATCCTGCTTCCTGATTTCGTATTGTAAAAGTTTTATGTTTGTTTTGTTACACCAAACTTAGATATTTTAATATTAATAATGGTTGAGTTAAGGTTGATTTACATTAAAATTTTTAATACATATTTGTTCAATAATATTGTGGATTTTCGTTATATTTATAATTAGATGAGGTGAGCTGACTGGGACTGTTTTAAAATAGTGGTTTTTATTGTAAATGCTTCATAGAAAATAAAATAATTCTCATCTATTAACATAAATGGCTTTTATTTGAATATTTGATTTATTTCAAACCTAATCGGAAACAATAATTAAATATTATTAAGTAGTAGATAGATAACTTCCGGAAGCAGCAACATAAACAATAAAAAGAGAGAGAGAGATAAAAAAAAAAGACTGGCAATAGTAAAATAACAGAGAAAGGCCTCTTCTTCTAAAGTTCTAATCGTGCGAACTGCATAGCCTCTGCATCACTGTTAAAACCCTCCCTCTCTCTCTCTCTCCCTCTCTCAGATGAAGATGGAGAAGATGGGTGGTCGGATCTCTGCAACTCTATTCTTCGCTTTCCTCCTCATCTCCTCTTCACACTCTTTCTACCTCCCTGGTGTGGCTCCTCGTGACTTTCATAAGGTTTGTTTCTCTTGCTTCTTTTCTTTTTTCTTGGTGGGTTTTGCTGCTTTTAATTTCTAGCTATATCCTTGCTTTTGTTAAGATTACAATGGAGTTGGATCTGTGGTGACTTTTTTTTGTGTTTGATCTATTAACCTAGCTTTTACTTTCATGTCTTTTTTTTTCCTTTCCTTTTCTTTTCTCCGTTTGGGTTTTTGTAGATCTGTCACCATGTTTCCTTTTTTTTTGGGGGGGGGGTCTATGTCAGGCTATCATTTTGTTTCATTTGAATACCATTGGATTTTGGAATTGGTGTTTCCGTTGTGTCGTGTTTTTGGATCTTTAACGATAAGTCTTAACTTCCTAGGCAAATTTCAGTGTCAGTGTTAGTTAAAATGGAAGCCAATACAAGCAGTTGAACGAATAAATTAACTTCCTGCGTTCACCAGATTTCCTGTTTATGATGACGCGGAATGAACATAAAAGGATCCCATTAGCCCTATAAGTTGAAGTCAATGTAAAGGTTCCTTGCTGACTGACTGATCATGTATATGTGAAAATGTTGGTCAAATTTTTTCTTCAAAGTGCGTTGGTATTTTTCCGAATCGTTGTTCAATTCAAGATGGAACCGCCTTTACTTCTAAACTTCTTTGGTGGTGTGACTGTGAATGGATTGGGTGTGGTTTTTTTATTTCTTGGAATTTGGCGATAATTCTTAAATTGCTTTGTTCTTTCATTTTGGATTTATTATTTTACACTTATTAGACCGTATTGTTTGTTTGACATTTGCACCCTTTTGTGAATAGGACAACGCCCTTCCTGTCAAAGTGAACAAATTATCATCTACGAAGACACAACTTCCATATGACTACTACTACTTGAACTATTGTGAGCCAAAAAAGATTGAGAATAGTGCAGAAAATTTGGGGGAGGTTCTTCGAGGTGACCGCATTGAGAATTCAGTATATACGGTAAACATTTATTATCCTATCATCATGTTATTCACCCGTAGTCGGTAGCAAATGAACCCGACGTGCTACTGTTCTCCTCACTACTTAGTTGTTAATTTATAAATCATACTCCAGTTTAAAATGATGAATGAGGAGTCATGCAAAGTGGCCTGTCGAAAGAAACTTGATGCTGGATCTGCAAAGAAGTTCAAGGAAAAAATTGATGACGAATATCGGGTTAACATGTAAGTTGAAGATGTTTTCTTATAGACTCGCCTATTGGTCTATTTATGCTGTATTAGTTCCATGGATGCTAATCTCATACCTGTTTAAATTGTTTTTCGTTTGTGCTGATAGCTTGGAAATGGATGTGCAGGATTTTAGATAATCTTCCAGTTGCTGTTCTTAGACAAAGGAGGGATGGGAGTCAATCAACAACCTACGAGCATGGTTTCCGTGTTGGGTTCAAAGGGAATTATGCAGGGGTATGTTTCAGGAAGCATTTTCAAGCATGCAAACAAGCATATTTGTGTCCATATTGATTGAAGATTTATTTTATTTTATTTTTTTGCAGAGCAAAGAGGAGAAATATTTTATTAACAACCACTTGAGCTTTAGAGTTATGTACCACAGGGATCCTGAAACAGAATCTGCTCGCATTGTTGGGTTTGAGGTTACTCCAAACAGGTTTTCTCCCATCTTCATCTTTGTGATTGTTAAGTTCACTTTTGTATTGATTAAGCTGTCTTGTTTATCTTGGTGAAGGAAAAAAGAACAAACATGTGAAAAAAAATTTAGTTTCTAAAGGATTTAGCTCTTTTTGCTCCTGCTGGCAATGTAGCTTGATCTTATTATTTTCTACCTCAATACCATAAAGTTTCTTGAGTTTCTGTACTGGATTTGAATTCGCTATGATGGTTCCCTTGTTCTATACTTTCTTACAGCATTATTTGTATATCTCTTTGATGCTGTGACCGTTGAATTTTGATAGGTTAAGCTTTATGTGTTTCCGTTCAGAGTAGAACTTTGAAAACTGAGTTATTAATTTCTTTTGTTGTTGAATCACTTAGAGATAGCAATATAGTAAACTCATCCGTTTCATTCTTTTCCTGTTCAACCTTTGCAAACAGTGTTAATCATGAATACAAGGAGTGGGATGATAATGATCCTCAATTGACAACATGCAACAAGGACACCAAAAAGTTAATTCAAGGCAGCACTGTTCCACAAGAAGTTGATGTCGGCAAGGAGATTGTGTTCACATATGACGTTACCTTCCAGGTTCTTTCTTAATAAACTCTTCTTCTCCTCCGTTTTGTCTGATCATCTTCATTTGTCCCCATACAGGTTTTCTCACTTTAGTCTCTTCTCTCTCTCTCTTTATTTCCCTTAGGAAAGTGAGATTAAATGGGCTTCTCGTTGGGATACGTACCTCCTCATGAATGATGATCAGATACACTGGTTTTCCATCATTAACTCACTGATGATTGTCCTTTTCCTGTCTGGTATGGTGGCCATGATAATGATGAGAACTCTGTATAGAGATATTGCAAACTACAATCAGTTGGAAACTCAAGATGAGGCACAAGAGGAAACTGGGTGGAAACTTGTCCATGGAGATGTATTCAGGGCACCAGTGAACTCTGGTTTACTTTGTGTTTATGCGGGTACAGGTGTGCAGCTCTTTGGAATGGCACTTGTGACAATGATATTTGCTTTGCTGGGTTTCTTGTCTCCTTCCAACAGAGGTGGTCTAATGACTGCTATGGTTCTCTTGTGGGTCTTCATGGGTATATTTGCTGGTTACTCATCGGCACGTTTGCACAAAATGTTCAAAGGCACGGAGTGGAAGAGAAATACCCTCAAAACTGCATTTATGTTTCCGGGTATTCTTTTTGCAATCTTCTTTGTTCTGAATGCCCTAATTTGGGGGAGAAATCTTCAGGGGCAGTGCCTTTTGGGACAATGTTTGCTCTTGTTTGCTTATGGTTTGGTATATCTGTCCCCTTGGTCTTTGTCGGTAGTTATTTGGGTTTCAAAAGCCAGCTATTGAAGATCCTGTGAAAACAAACAAAATTCCTAGGCAAGTACCTGAGCAGGCATGGTACATGAAACCGGCTTTCTCTATACTTATTGGAGGCATTCTCCCATTTGGTGCTGTTTTCATCGAGCTCTTCTTCATTTTGACATCAATATGGCTCAATCAGTTCTACTATATCTTTGGCTTCCTCTTCATAGTATTTGTTATCCTTCTGATCACTTGTGCAGAGATAACAATTGTGCTTTGTTACTTCCAGTTATGTAGTGAAGACTACCACTGGTGGTGGAGGTCTTACCTGACTGCTGGCTCTTCTGCTCTTTACCTTTTCCTGTACTCAATTTTCTACTTCTTCACCAAACTGGAGATTACGAAGTTTGTTTCAGGTGTCCTCTACTTTGGGTACATGATAATTATCTCGTATGCTTTCTTTGTTTTAACTGGAACAATTGGCTTCTATGCTTGCTTCTGGTTTGTCCGGAAGATCTACTCCTCCGTCAAAATTGACTGATCTGCAGAAATAAGAGGAAAAGTAGGCCTCTGCATCAACTTCAGGCCTAAGATGGAATCTGAGTATTTCCTCTGCCTTTTGCAGGATGAACAGATTTGCTTCTTGTAAAATTTTTTGGTTCGTCAAAGCTTTTATTTTGCTTATAGTAGAGTAGCGCTTGACATGTTGCTTTGTTTACGCTGGTATCTGTGATGTTTTAAGAAGTGAACTTAGATGTTTTGAATCTCGATACGTACAATGTATCTCTTATGATCAACTAAATCATACAATCGCTTAGCTCTTCAATACTTCTTTCGTTGCCTACTTTCTTGTTGCTCTACTTCGTTTAACTACTTGTTCTTTTTTTATTTTTTTGAGAAATGTTACTAATGTTCCCCCATACATGTTTTAATTGAAATCAATTCCAATGGGAGCTCCGACTAATTTTCGTTTCCTTGATTTCTTTTAATTTGAATTCTAATTAAACAGTTATTTATTTTGAATTCTGACTCTTATTCATATATATGTTCGAATCCATGTCTTATTTCTTTAACAAGAATTGGAGGCCTGGCCAGCTACAAGCAATTGAAGAAATACGAACGATTCGGTTCACTTTACCATCAGTGATTGGGTATTATCCAAAATATGTCATCATCTAACGTTATTTAGCCCAAAATCAATGAAACAGTCTCTCTAAGAGTCAGACATGATCTGTGTTTTTGGTTTCAGAGTGGCCTTATGTTTGGAAGGTGGGGGAGGAAATTGTGCTATAACAACATCCAATCACCAAACAAGCGTAAAACTTCGCTAAAGCGCCTTTTTTTTTAATTATTATTACTGCATTATAGGATGGCAACGTCACATTGGTTTTAGACCTTTGGTGCCACGATCCTGCTTCTAAATTTTTTGCCACAACATACAATTCGAAATCCTTGCATTTTATTCTAAACTCTGAAACCAAAACAAGAATCCCGCATAGTATAAGATGTCTGGCAACCAATAAAGATCCAATTTGGATGCTAGATTTCACATCAAAGTTCTACATTGCAGACCTCAGTTGCCAACCAAACCTAGTTGCTAATCCTACACATCAACTGCCAATAAATTACGAAAGGATATTACCAAGTTTAGCGAAACAGATATCTTCAGAAACATAAATTCTACCATGCTATTCCTCCACATAATCATAGTTTGGTTCTTTAGTGGACTAAAGTAAGACTTGAACTCGAAAGCTTTCCCCTCCCATGATTTAGGAAGGCTAAAAACTTATTGGAAGACATGACTGCTTCCACCTGCTCTGTCGGTTACAAAAGCGAGACTCGAACATATATGATCAATCAGCTTTCGTGCCCTCAAGAAAAGCATGACCTTAGCTTCGATTCCATGACCGGTGAGCCAGTAGGGAGCAAACTACAGTCAATGTTTGAATGCATTGTAGTAGTTTAGCAAAAGGGAAAAAGTCATCGAGACTACCATATTAACGATTAACTAGCTTCCATTGGCAAAACCTAGCACAAAGATTCAAATGGAACAGCCATAAGTCTTTTCCGCAATGAAACCCATATAAGCACAGATAGTTAAAAATATTCCCGTGACAGTTGGGTTGATCAATACACATACCAAAAAATGTTAATCGATTAATACAGTTAGTTAAACAGGCTGGAATGTCATCAGGTTGAGTATGTTCGCAATTTGCCATTTTTCTGCCTGTAAATGATTAAAATAAAATAAGTTAAAAGGGCAATGCCAAAATAAACACACAAGGAAAATTATGTGTGATAAGATTAGCAACCAACCAAAACGCATCCTTCTTTTCTTGTGCTAATAGCTCTTCAAAGGAAATATCAGCAAATTCAGTTTCTTTCTTCTCAATTACCTCTCCAGACTTGGCCTTCAACTCCATGCAGGCACTGATTTCAAGCATCTTAAGGGAAAAAAGAAAAAAAAAAAAGAAGAAGAAGAAGAAGAGAGAGAGAAACATCTGAGGCATGAGATCTTCCTATCTAATATTGTACTAAGAAAAGATCATACTCTCTATCATTTTCCTTCCCTTTCTCTACAATTCTCACCTATTGGAATTCTATGTGCAGCATATAGAAATTGATTTTTTGAAGCAGTTGAGAGCTTTTTTGAAAATTCAGCAGTCATTTAAATAGGGTTTGGACATTACCTTCTTGTATGCTGGAGAGAGTTTAAGCTGTTGCTGAAGCCAATTATAAACAAAAGCATCCTCTTCCAATCTTTTTTGTTCTAACTCTAGCTTGTATATCTGAACGTTGAGAGAAAACATTAATCCATGTTTAATGGGACAGATACAATTGATCAGTCAGTTGTTTACCTGTTGACGAAGCCGATCAATTGAAGATCTGTCTGCCTTGAATAGCAGAGCCTTTGTTATTGTGAACTTACGCTTGATGACCTCAGACCTGAATCAGGAATAGAAGAAGAAAGAATACATTCTTTAGTGATGTGGCAGACAAGGTAAGACTATTGGGATGGCTACCATGAAAAGTGATGGGATCAATAATTATGGAGAAATCCAAGAGTTGAAACAAACTCCAAAATGTGGTCAAGTCCTAAGGAGAAATGAAAGATGATTGCTGAATGCCACTACAAATATTCTTGGCATAATTAAGGACGGATGGAAGCAATTCCAATATCACTGGAGAATAAGACTTGAATTATGAAGACATGGTGGCAATACAAGTTTATATACGCTTAGTGAAGAAGATGAGCATATTGGAGGGGAAGAATATTGGTCAATCGACAACAAGCTGACTAGAATAGCAGGGAAAAAAAAACAATAAACAACGAATAATAACAAACATGACCAATCATTTGGTTTCCTGAGAATAATCTGTCAACATACTTGTGTTGCAACTCGGTTCTAGCCTCAATCAAGCAATTAGCAAATTCTCCAACCTGTATTATAAGAGAGAACAAAAGTTCATTACTCTCGAATCACAATGAGCATGACTATTGTTCAAGCATTCAATTCTAAAATGCATGTATTTATTGCCTTAATATGCCATTAAATGCATAGAATAAACGGTATAATTTGGTCCAAACAATCATGAATCCGATCCAACAAGTGCACCAGATCCCTCCTAGAGACTTCTATGACGTTGTCCATTCTTGATCCAGAAGTGCAAGCATGAGCCCAAGACTGGCATTTACTCCATTATTGTAGAAAGCAAAGTTTTCAAATTTAAAAGCAAGAAGCAAAATTTTCAGAACCACTTAAAGCAAATTTAACTAGCTCACATACCTCATGATAACATTTTCAAGATGGTGCTTCTAAATGGTCATTTGGATACGTTTCTAACATGCAGGGAACACGCATCCAAAGGTGTAACTTGCCAGAACAATGAAATCATTTGCAACAAACTACTCATTAAGCCATCAAACCTGAAACCTCTCTTTTATTCTAGCAAGTTAAAATCCTGTCACTTTCCCCTTTCCATATGTATCCTTAGATTCTAAACTCCAGTAGGATTAAGCCTCTGGTAAAAAAAAAAAACCTCTCCTCCACTAGAAATCTAATATTTGATGAAGGATGCTAAAAAATAATGTCTACTTCAGAAAGCAGGAAAGGAAATGACGATGATATGGCGCATTCGCATTTCAAGTAGATTGCCCAAATCCTTCGAGACCATACTTTTATTCCCAAATTCTATGAAACAAACCTTTTTCTTTCTATACACCTGTACCTTTGTGGCTCGCTTTAAACCTCTGCGCTTCACATCCATATCTTTAATCTACAGTTCAACATATTTTTGCAACTCAATTTCAATTCGGAATCTTTCTACTCCAACTTCATACCTTAGATTCGATTTCAATGATTGTAAAAGGAAAGCTAGCAACTGAATAAAGATGACAAGCAAATTGCCATAAATCCTTTTCAAAGCCTTCTTGATTAATCCTACTCCAAAGTCGTACAAGTGACATCGAATTAACTATTCAAACTATCATAGTTTCAGCTATATCCTACGCAGCAAGCAGTTGGAAAATGGTTTCGCTGGAACCTTCTAGCATGAGTAATTCTCCCATGGTGCATAAAGTTTTATGGTTCAGCAACTTTCCACAATGAAGCTAGCCCGAGAAATCAAACCTTCATGTTTAGAGCTTCACAACCTAAGTGCATCAAACAAGATGCAAGTACCATTGCCTGTCTTTGACATCCGATTACATGGTTTTCAGATCATGTCAAACATTTCAACAAATAATATGGTAGTGATCTGGCGTAAATCTCTTCCTTTTTTCCCCTTGGATCAATCTCAATCCAACCACATATTACAATCAAATTATGCACATTTCCTCTGCTGCTACCTTTTTTTACCCACCACTCCACTCTAGCATTAATTCACTTGCTTTAATCACTTGATCACATAAAAAAGTACGCGAGTAGCATAGTACCGCAAGAAAAGAATTCCTTACTTAAGCAGTAGTCAATGTAAGCACCTTTCCTCATTGCAAGAAAATGAAATAGAGCATAAAAACTGGACCCACGAATTCTCCAAATAGATATTATAACAAATTAGCATGCATTTAATATTAGCAGAATGGCAAACCAGTTTGCACACACACACACACACACACACACACACACACACAAAAAAAAAAAAGGCAAATAATTCCACTCTTCAAAATATCACAAAAAAATCAATATTTTTCTTAAGGATTTTAAAAAAAGATGTGTAAAATGAAAAACCTGAGCTAATGTCAATCCATTGCTTTCATTGCACTTGACAAGCTGATCATACTGTTGCTTGATCTTCCTCTGTGTAGCACTACTCGTTGAAGTAAAAGGGTACAGACATACCAATTCCGGCTTGATCCGACCCGGACCCGGACCCGAATGTTCCCTTTCTTTCTCTAAATCACCACCACAACCATTTTCTTCACTCTTCAAATCTAATAATCTCTTCTTCTTCGCCCTCTTCTTCTTCTTTTTAACCCTTTTCAAATCCTCAACCGACCCGTCTCTCTCTTCTCCGTGACCCGACCCGATCTTATCCTGGTCGCCACCAGACAGAACACCGGGCAAGATATCGAGAAGAAGCGAATGGGAGAAATGGGTTGGGCCATCTTCACCGGTCTTTCGAGCTCCACTGATCAATTTCGATAAAGATGGGTCGATAAGTAAAGGGTCGTCATGGGCTTTGTGCTGTCGTCTAAGTCTTTTGCAGAAAAAAAAGATAGAGAGAGAGAAAGAGAAAAGGAAAGTGAAAAAGAATAAGAAGAACATGGGTTGGTTTTGGTTCAGTAAAATTAAGAATTCGGAGATTGGATTGGACAAGACGTTATTAAATTTGGAAAAGGTCACAGGAAACGGAAGCAGAGGCGCCGCCATTGAAAGAAAAGAAACCACGCGTAATGTAAATGAAAAAGAAGCAGAAGAGGGAGACTGTGCAGTTGATCGAAAGAGAGAAGAGTTGTGTTGGGTTTTACATATATCTTCCTTGCGCGTTGTTTTGTTGTTTCAAAGTAGAAGTGACACGATTTCCGTTCCTAGTACCCTGGTTTTTTGAACCTTCTATCCCTCTGGCTTTAAGGATTTTTATGTTTTGCAAATTCGAACACTGATAGGGGAATTAATTATAACATAGTCATTGTAGTTTATAGAAGTAATTTATTAGACCTTGTAGTTTCAGAAATTATTGTTCAATGCTGTTTCTTTATGTTTGTTTCTAACTTAGTCCCTCCATTGATTCCATATTATTTTTCAAATTTTTTTCCTTGAAAGAATTGAGAAATTTTATAACATTCAAGAAGTAAATAGTTGACATGTACAATAATTATTCAATGAGCTCGCTTTTCAAGAAAAAGATAGGCACATTAAAAATAATTTATATCCAAATCCACAAAAGTGATAAGAAGATTTTCACATTAGTTTAATTTTTTTTCTCTCGTATTTCTCTCTTTATTTATGTCTATTTTTCTTTATTGAGTAATTTATACTAGTTATTACTTGGATATTATAAATTTTTTTGAAAGAATTAAGAAAAGAGGAGATGATAAGTAAAAGTTTGAAAAAAGTCCCTATTAGTGAAATAGAAAAACAAAACAGTCCTTTTTTATTTTTATTTTTTCATTTTCTATGCCTCTTGAAAATGAAGAAGAAGCAAAATGGTCTTCAATCTCTATTTATTAACGTTTGTATTTTCTATGTTATTGTTTTGTACCAATCAGACTCTACGAGTAAGTATTTATTTATTTTTATTTTTTTTGAGTGTTATAAATTTTTTTGAAAGAATTAAGAAAAGAGGAGATGATAAGTAAAGGTTTGAAAAAAGTCCTTATTAGCAAAATAGAAAAACAAAACAGTCCTTTTAATTTTAATTTTTCACTTTCTATGCCTCTTGAAAGCGATGAAGAAGCAAAATGGTCTTCAATCTCTATTTATTAACGTTTGTATTTTCTATGTCATTGTTTTGTACCAATCGGGCTCTACTAGGAATCGCAATGGGGAGGGGCGAGGACGGGGATCGCCATCCCCGTCTCTGCCCCGCTTCTAAAAATTTTCTTCGTCCCCACCTCGTGTTCCGAACAGGGCAAAATTTCTCCTAACATCCCCGCCCCAAATGGGGCAAAAATTATTATTTTTTTATTTTCATTTCATTTTATTCAATTTTATTATCAAGTTTTAAATTATAGCAAAAAAATAATAATTTATATAGAAAATAAACTTTAAAAATTACTAATTATAGATTTTATATGAAGTATAATTATAATTTTAATGAAAAAAAAATGGAGCAAATGGGGCAAACGGGATGGGGTAGGTAAATCCCATCCCCGCCTCGTCCTCGCTCGCGAGGCGCCCCACCCCACCTCGTTCCCCGATCAACGTGAGGAATCCCCGCGTTGACGGGAAAAAGCTGACACGAGGCGAAGCGGGGCAAATTGCCATCCTTAGGCTCTACGAGTAAGTATTTAATTTTGTAACCATTTTGCTAATGTAATTATTTTTGTTTTACGAGTGAGTATTTAACTAGTTAGACTTTAAGTATTGATATGCTTTTATATTTATTAAATCTAAATCATTGAATTCAATTTTAATAATCATGATTTTGTGTGTAGTAAAAAAAATAATTTCTTTATATTTTATTTCTTCTATTTTATTTGAATCATTGATATTGTATAAAGCAAATTTTACAATATTTCTATCTTCTTTTTTTTTAACTGAACACAACATGTTCCAGGACAATTAATCATGATCTGTTTGGGAAACCTAATATATTATTGATGAAGGATTCGGCTTGGTAAATTGTATAAAACAAGAAATCGTCGAAGTGAAAACTCTAAAAAAATCTCTATGACAAGTAAGTTAGCAATGGTGACTCGAAATGCAGATGAGATAAGAAAAGGAATATCGGCCAACGAGTGACCTTTTAAAGAGAATTCGGTCCACTTTTATTCTTAGATCATTTAGTCTTCGGTAGGTAGGGTGATTTAGTCTCCATAAATTCTAAAGATACTTAAATTACATCAAAATTTATCATTTTTTATAGGTTATTTTTTATTATTGTCTTACTTTATTTTTTACTCCTTTGGGCATACACTAATAATGTTAAAAATGAAAGATTTATTAAGAAATTAATTAATAAAAATTTTATTCATGTATGTATTATTAATTTATATTCATGCCATAATTTTTTTAGAAAATGCTAATGCCATGTAATAATATAATGCTAACTGAAACTATTTTAGTAATTATTATTCTTGAGAGTTATATATATTTATCTTAAATAGAAATTATTAAATTATGAAAGGTAATTCAATATATGTCTCTAATTTACTTAAGGTCAGCTAAAAATTATTTTATATGGTTATTTTTTAATTTATGTCCCTACTTAATTGAATTATGATTATCAAAATTTATATAAAAATATTTTAAAATAAAACATGTTTATATTTAATAAATATTAAAAATTATTCATTTATAAACAATTCTAAACAATCTATTATAAATTATTTAAAAAAAACTATAAATTAATTAAATTATACATATGTCAAGAAACTAGTCCATATATAAAATCGTAAACTCATTGAACACCATGATAGACTAATTATACCCTTGACATTATACTAACAATATAATTCATCCCAGTACTAATATGTAATCTTACCCCATTTCTTAAATAAGAAAGATACCAACATAGGAAGATTATTAAAATATATCTCCTTTATATGTCATTTTATGAAATTTTCACTCTCACATTGCTTGTGTATTCGTGTTTTCTCTCTTATATCATTTTGTTATTTTTTGAATGAAAATTTCCTTTAGACCACCAAAAAAAATTAATTTTTAAAATATTAGACATGAAAAATTCATGATAAAAACTTAACAAAACTTGAAAAACTACCTAATATATATATATATATATATATATATATATAACTCCTCAGAATGAAATTCATAAATTTTTTATTATTTCATTTAGAAAACTACACTAATGTTTTTTTTTAAATAATTATTTAAATAAAGTATATAATTTTTATCCAGACACGTGAATTAATTTTTATTAAAGTTACATGCGATTAAACAAAAGATTTTAAAATAAAAAGATATATGAATAATAGTATGCTAATGCTAATATTATCACACAAAAAAGTTAATAGAGCCTGAATAAAGTTTTCATTCACGTCATGTAGCACGTTTATCGGGGCATATAAATAGATTTTATTGAAAGAGGACTCTTTTAAATAAAAAAAGAAGAAGTTATAATATTAATATTTAAAATTGACTGTAGCAGGAGAACACGTTGTGATTTTGTAATATATTAAAATCTAAATATAAAAAGTTAACTATTTTAATTTCAGATATTAAACATTTAATTTAATCAGATAAATAATTGAATTTATTATTATCTTATTAAAATTTATAAAATATATTAAATATCATGAAAAAAAATACTCAATGTATCGTTAAATAATATACCCACACGAAAAAAAAACTAGTAATAATTAATAAAGACGGTTTAATTTATGTAAATAGATATTAAAATTAAGAGCAATTAATCTAAGAGTGTTGACTTAAGTGAAAAGAGCTATAGTCATTTAAGTAAATAATTTTGAATTTGAATGCTTATGTACGAAGAAAACTCCGTTATAATTATACCCACTTTGTACGATCGATCAAATAACAAAGGATTAGTTTGGACATTTAAATCTTGCATTTTGAGGGAAAAAAAAAAACTAAGAGCAATTAATGTTATCTATTCCTACTATTAGTAAAGACTAGGTAATAGATTTTTTTTTTTTTTTTTTGGAGAGTAACAGTGAAATGGAATTAATAATTTATGAAGTGGGTATGAGACACTAGTCAACATTCTGTCTCTATTTCGTTTGAGAAAAGACTTTTCTTATCTTGGAAGATTTGTTTTGACCAATGAATCCAATCATTAATGAGTCCAAAACAGAAACGAAACTCAAATTAGATGTTAATCCAAGAAGAGTTGGAGACCAGCGTATGCAATTTCAAGCATGCAAGCATCTTACTTACTACTATATATATTATATTACTATCAAGGATAAATGAAAGGTCAAAATGTCAAATACTTATGGTAGCTAGGTTACATCATGTTGGTAGATCCTAATTAATGAAATTAGTTAAGGGTTCTCCAATGACTGATGTAACGTCTAAATCAACGGCCAATATTTAATTACCATTAAGGATTATTATTAATCAAACCGAATGCTGAGGTGATGATGAGATTAAGTGGTGACAATATATTATGCTTAGCCCTTAGGTCTGCCTTCGTAATATTTGCACATAGAACGTTACTTGTAGGAATGCACCATCCACGTGACTGTGACCCAAGCCGAGTGGTCAAGTAAGTAGATAATCTATGACAAGTTGACCACGCCTCATTTTGCTTTCCCTCTCTTTTTTTTTTTTTTTATTTAATTCATTCTGAAAAATTTTATAATACTCAAAAAGTAATTATTGTAAGTTATTTTATAGAAAGACATAGACAAAAAAATTAAAAAAAATAGAAAAAAAATTGAGTTAAAATAGGAATTTATTTTATCACTTCCAATAAATCCGTATGTAATTTTTTTTAAATATCTATATTTTTTATGAAAAATAAAAAAATACAATAATTATTTTTTGAATATTATAACATTTCTCCATCCATGGTTCAATCCCTTTTCATGGGATTCTCTAGCACCTGGGATTTACCTTGCAAACACAATTTACAAAGACTTCTCTGGCACCTGGGATTTGCCACAGAAGAGCTGCTCAAGCCTCAAAGTCAAGGAGCAGAAGGTTAAGTGCATCTTCAGGCCCAAGCCTAACAATTTCTTTGATTAAGGCCACTTGGGATGCAACCTCGTTTTGAGTTAGGCTTTGTCCTTGACATGGTTTGACCAGGTTGGTCTATGAATTGGCCTGGGCACCCACAAAATGAGAATTATCCGTCTCTGCGTGTGCCTATATACTTCTTAGTATGAAACCAAATTAACTGCGTTTGGATCTGTATTGGAAGTGCTTTTAAGAATATATTTGGACAGAGAAGACATCAAGTTCCAAAAGCATTTTTGCAAAAACAAATATATTTTGTATTACCAAACGCATCATAATAGAGCTCCGGGCAGCCGTAGTATTTCTTAAACATGGAAATCAATTCAACGCATAGTCTCATAATATGCAACTGGTGCAAGCAGCAAGCAAAATACATGTGCCATCAAATCTGCTGAAGGGCTCACAGTTATTGAATAGAATGGGAGTAATTTGAAAAGCTTTTTACCATTTCTTCAACCTTAAGAAACTTTCTTACTAAACAAAGCAACAAAGGAATTGCTTCCCGAGAAGTTTACATGGAAAAAAAAAAAAAAAGGAAGATTACAGGAAACCAGAGGCTTTCCATACTCTAAAACTACCAAATTTGCACATGGACTCGTTTAGTTTTTCATCTCAATGTGCTTCCACCGAACCCACTCCTTCACTTGTGAGCTGCATATGCAGAGCACCAACATTAAACACTGGCTGGCCTATATACACAAAGCTTATCTGCAATCATTTCCACAATCTATATGGGCTTTCGACCAGATGGTGTGCTGTATATTTGTACAACTTCACCCTGGAAAAGCCAAAACAAATGGTTGTAGTGCTCCTGGTTGTGACGCTTGATTTAGCCATATAATAGTATACCGAAGATGCTGCATTGGGGGGTGAGAAAATCAGAATCTTCTTTATTTCATTTACTTCAGCTGTTGTAGGTCATCAGTTGCAAACGGCCTCTACTGCTAGTTTCTTCATGACATTCGGACAAGGATCACCCCCAAACATTTCAGGTGCTACAGTAACAGAGCATGAGTTCTGCCCAACGCAAAGCTGCAAGAGCAAATCAAGTCTTGCATCAGTATTTGCAAAACAGGAAAAATAGGCCAAGGAAGAAAAAAGAAAACGAAAAGAAGGACAAATCAAGCTTCCGAACATAAATAATAAGCTTCAGAAGGAGCATGAAATGTTGTTAACCAGCAGATGCTACTCATCAAGAGTTCTTTTGTTCTCAAAACCCAGCCTGTAAGGCCGTTGCCATACCTTGAGAAGATAATTAAACATGTCTTGAACCAAGTTAGGAGCGTTTTCAAAACTAAAAGGGGGAGTTCTGGGTACTCTGTATGAGACATTATTAGTAAATCTAAACAAGAAGCAAAATAGTCTGGACTGCCTTTCTAGAAAAAGGACAGAGCTGAGAAATAGGTCTCTTGAACTCAAACAAGAGGCTAACGAAGTTTTTCATAGCTGTTGCATGTAAAATGATTTGTTTTTGTAGAGGAGAAAAAGATAGCAAAACAAATGCAGGGCTACATACATTGTTAAAAGCATCGTAAGAGTGGAAGGCATGACAGCTTCCCTGGCGATAGCTCCCACAAACACCTTCTGGTGTCCCAAAGCTGGCAAATTTGATTGATCTGATTTTCTGTCCAGGGTCACATGACAAATGGGCTTTTGGCCTCAGCAGCTTATTGACTTTACCAGATGCTTGCATCTGATAATTCATCAAAGTTGGCTGCCACTCATAAATATCAGCACATACACTGTCTACTTCTCTTCTAACCAAAGAAATCCCATTCGGATCTCCACCCCATTCTTCGAACACAACCAAAAAGTTCCCTGTTGGATTTAGCCATGAACGAGGGACGTGATACCTGTAAAATTACAATTCATTTGTCAGTTTCATGAATGATTCTAAGAGTCTAAAACAAAAGGTCAAGTTGGTTTTTCTTTACCATCTCTGGGAAGCCTCGCCACAATTAGTTGAGCATTTCTTTTCATTATAAGTTCCAATGTAATTGCATTCCCCACATGTCCCAGATGCTTTATATGCAGGCCAGTGACGTCCAACATGTTGTCCATTTATCCATATTTGCCCTTTGCCCATGCTGCCCATATCTAAAGCCAGAGGGGAATTCCCAGCAGGAGCATTGAAAGTAGTCTGGAAACACAGACAGAAAGATGTCAATTCTAGACCTAGCAGATCTGGATGAGTTCCGCTTTGAGCATTCCTTGGAACCACATTCTATCAAGCATAAATAGCGCATGGAAACATGTTTTCTTGTAAGTTGCTCATTAAACATGTATTCCATCATTGGATTTTTTTGGTTGAAGACAGACAAGCATATTATGGGTGCTGCAACTCACCCTAGGGCATGATGATAGAAGAAGACATGTGCTTTTGGGTTACAACTCCTCACAAAAAATCCAAAGCATCTTCTAAGAGGGACAAAAAGTGCAATTATTCCTTTTAAGGGCAAGAACATGATTGATAGTTTAATGCAACACCAGGTAAAACATTCTTTTGGAACTTCAATTCATTATCAATTTATTTCTGATTGAGGTTTAAGATACTTACTTTATACCATGAGAGTGGCTGTCTTCGGGCCACCAAAGACCCCTCTGCCCACTCAACCGAGGAACTCCCACTGACTGAATGAAGATTCAATGCTTCTCCATGAAGACCAATCTGATTGCAAAATGCAAACAAATTAATCTTTTGCACACTAGGAAGATGAGCGACTACAGGGAAAATGTTTGGAGACAAACCTTGTAAGACCACTTCTGCCAAGACAAGTCCCTCCTGCCCTCATTGAGACCATTCAATGTCACAGGTCCAAGAACACCAGCATTCCATGTCTCGAAGTGTGGGCCAACATTCTGTCCTCAAAAGACACATGATGAAAAGCAACGTTAAACGTAAACTACCATGGAAACTTCTTATTGAGCATCAAAATTCCATGTGTGCTGAGAGCGAGAACGAACCGGGAGACCAACAGCAATGCTCAGAAGAGAAATTTTGTTGACACCAGCTCTCAACTTTACACCTTGACTGAAAGTCAACTTTGGGAAGTCTAAACTTCCATATGCAGTCCCTGCTCAAGATTGATGCAAAGTAATGTTAAATGCTAAGAGAGAGGAAGCATGGAGCAATATGCTATGAATAATCACTAAGGATTGAAGTAGCTATCTTAGGTTGTGCTCAAAGCAAGCCCATGATTGGGACCAACTTCTCTAGGTTTGTTATCATTATCATATTGATCATTAAAACAAAAAAACTTAATCGATGTTCCACCAACTAATTGAATGCAATGAAGCAATTCTCTCTGATGCAGGCAAATATCACCTGCTTGTTCGCAAAAGATGACCCATTCTGTTAAAGGGGCATGGCCAGATGTTATACATCAATCAATCGACCCATTTAGTTAAAGTAACTCGACCAGACATTCTGAACCAATCTATGTTTTTCAAATCCTAATATAATATCTTCCAAGCCACAGTATGAAAATCATTTCACCAGCCATTATGAGTCTCTCGTTTTGTTTTCTTTTTTTTTTTCTGAAAAACAAAAAGGGTTGGTCAAGAAACACCCCAAAATCAACAGAACAGAAACCCACCTGATAGTTGACCATTGATGAAAATATGCAAAGCATGCCCAGCCGATAGAACAGTAAGAACAGGATATTTTCCACTCTTCAAAAAGCCTTCGCTGGGGTCAATATGAACACTGGCAATATCAAGGGAACATGGAAAGAGAGTAAGAGAGTAAGAGTCTAAGTACTAGAATAAAGACTACCACAAAATTGTCCCATTAGTAAAATATAAACAAAGAAAGGAGAAAAAGTGAATCCAAAAAAAAAAAAAAGAGATGTTTGCAAGTTATAAAATACTCACTCTGTCATGTACCACAAATAGTCTGAAACATCTCGAGTTGTATTTATCTGCTCCAGCAACCCAACCATAGTGAATGTGTTATCACCACTTTGGGATGGCTCTTCATTATATGCTTGCCAAGAGAACCCTCCACGCATAGGAACAGGGGTCATCTTCATCCTTGCACTTTGAGCACCAACCTGTATGGAAAATTTGGTACAATTGTAATCTTAACTATGAAATAAAGCACCCGAATGATGTAAAGGACTGAAACTAGTAATTCTAACCCTTGCAGTGTTGTAGACGGTGTTCTTGCAATCTGGAAGAATGCTGATGGACCATGGAGGCAGGTTATAATGCATATTCCTAAAAGACACCTTTGCAAATGATCTTTGATGGTAATTTGCAAGGAATGCTGCACAACCTCCGGCTTTATAATTGAATACATGAGCCTGCATATTCATGACAAGATTAGGGATATTCCAATACCACTTCAGAAAAAAGCAATGTTTCATAGTAAACGTAAGGCAAATTTGACCTCTTGGTAATTTCCAAGTGGTATCACAGTTGCATCTCCAGATACTAAAGCACCTTCACACAGCTTAATTGCTCTATGCAAATCTTTCAAATGGCCCCATTTAGGCTGCCTCAAAAGTCCTGCATAAAAAAACGAGTAGCAGTAATTCAGATTGATGGAAACCATATCAACAATAAGTATTGGATCTTGACAAATAAAACAGGTCAGAATAATATTAATGATAAGAGATTGTTGACATAGGTATAACTGTCTTTGAAAGTTTCTTTAATAACAGCATCTTCCTGAGCAAAGAAACAATAAAAACAATAACAAAGCATGTTTCCATAATTTTTACAGATCACAAATTTATGTTTTGACTTCAGAAAGGACCAACTATAGCATGGGGAATGTACAAATCCAAAACTTTTTAGTTGGGACATTGTGACTGTTTTGAGACATCAAGGATAATGACATCTAGGACCAATGTTCTCAGAGAATAACTAAAAAGAACTGATAGATAATCATTGTCTGGGTGACAGTTTTGCTTTCAATATACCTACCATCATCACACCACATGTCAAAAGATGAGAATCAGCGGCCAGTAGATAACCACTTGATGAGAAAGAAAAATATGAGCCACTGAGCTGCACCTTACTTCAAGGTGTCAGAGAAACACGCATTCCACAGTTGTGGAATAGGGTTTTTACCTTTTACGTGACAATCTACTACTGCAGCTACCTTCTCTTAATACTTCCATAAGGCATAGAATGCATGAACAAGTTCATACAAACCTAACCAGATGATAGGTAAACAATGTCAAGGATAAGGAAACACCACTTTTGAAACAAAGAGTCCTTTGTGCATACCATATTCGTCAAGAGGAGCATCATAATCATAACTTGTTGCAATGAAAGGACCACCAGCAGTTCGGCCAAAATTTGTTCCACCATGATACTGAAATCACAAAACAAGTATATAAAACTTGGTTGAATTCGATTGGGGAGCAAGTCACTTGAGTTCCATAAACAACTTACCATATAATAATTTATGAATGATCCCCCTTCTGTATAAACCTTGCAACCGAAAATGCAATATCTTCAGCTGGTCGATGAGGAACTGGGCCACCAAATTGGGTAAACCTGTACGCAAAATAGTAGACAATGGAAAAGGGTGATTAGCAGGAAAATGACTGTAAATTCTTGTGAACTTGTTTTTCATTTCGGGGTAATGAAAATTGATGGTTGAGGCAAGAAGCAAACAATTTACCAGCCAGTCCAAGCTTCAGTCCACATCTTTGGTTTGTAAGCTTTGTTTGGAGAGAAGTAGTCACAGTAGAAACCATTGCAGGTGTTAATCTTTCAAGACAACAGACAAATAAAAAGCTTTAGAGACACTCGAACACACAAATAGAATAAACAAATTTCCTGGCCGTATAATATAATGACAAGACCATAGGATTCTGGTAGATGAAAGGTTCAATTGAGTATATCTGATTCCAAATAACTGGATTAATAATACATCTTTTATTAATTGCCACTAACTATGGAAGTTGATATGGGTGGTGAATATAATTGACGATGGTCATCAATATTTCAATACAAATCAAAGGCCGAAGGAATTCGCAAGAAAAAAAAATAAAAAAACAAAAAATGCGCACAGAACAACATATAGGACTGAGAGTTCAAAGCTGAGCCATGCGCAATGAGGAATAATTATTCATGTCCATCGTGACCATAAAAAGGTGAAAACACAATTAAATAGCAACCCACTAAGGAACACGACAAAAGAAAGGTAAAAAGATGCTGCTAAAAGGTAATATAAAGATAAGCAGATAACTTACGATAGGATCTGGGGCATCATCTTGCTTGCACATGACCCATGGGACACCAGTTTGGAGACCTACAGCCATTTGTGCAGCCCACTTGGTGTAAGCTCGACCAGGTGAACCAATTTCATACTCCAGGGGTCCATATTCATTCTCAATCTGCCACAGAGATTGATAGGGAAATAAAGGAAGATACTTTTCTTAGTTAACTACCTTGTGCTATCAATGAATGATAAAATCAAGAATTTATATGAGGTTTACAGTGAATTAATAAATATAAAACAGAGTATTGGATGAAGAGAAAACCAATAAGCTTGGAGGAATATGGCTACCTGGGATAAAATTATTGGGCCACCTTGAGTTTCGAATAACCTTTCTGCTTTCATCATGTTAACAATCTTTGTCGTGAATTTTTGCATTTGAGCCTTCATGTTGCAAATTTAAAATCCAAAATTAATTAGATAGAGAAAAAAAATGCAGTAAAACAAGAAAAAACCAAAGGAAGAATTAAAACTGCCTCACCTTGAAAGGGCCATTGTTTGTTCTGAAATTGATGCCTGGAATGTACTTGAGCCAAACTGGGAAACCCCTGAAAATAAAAACAGAACATTTTGCTCATATTTGCAAAACTTCAAAACTTTTTCAGTTTTTTTCCTCTGTTTATGGAAAGTGTAAACCTTTCAACGTTAGCTATTGATGTATTACCCGAAGTTCCACTCAGCACAGACATAAGGTCCAATCCTGAGATGAACATAAAGGCCTGCTTCCTTCACCAGCTTTACAAACTTCACCAGATCATAGTTCCCCTCAAAATAATACTGCAAAGAGCCAAAAAGTAGATTAGGAAATTACCACTCTAACTCCAGTAGCTTAAATATAAGTCCAAAAAATAAAAAATGTTCCATTTTTTGTAATTACTTTTCCAGGTGAAGGCTCATGTCCATTCCAAAAAACATATGTCTGAATAACATCCAGTCCTCCTTCTTTTGCCTTCTGAATAAGATCTGGCCACATCTGCCATATCCCCACAAAAAAATCTAGTCAATTAAAAACTCAAAAACACAAACTAGGAGCATACTTTAGAGGTGCCCATTTGAAGAAAAAGCTTCAAAAGGAGCAGGAAAATGAAGAACAGGAAGCACATTTTGGGAAAATACCTCAGGGGAACTTCTTGGGTAGTGAATGGATCCAGAAATAAGAATCCTTCTTTGGCCATTAATGGCGATAGCCTTAGAGTCATAAGAAACAGAGGCAATGACAGAACAAACCAATGACCCCAACAAAAACAATAAAGCTACCAACACATTATTATTGCACATTGATACCTTCTTCAAGGCCATGAATAATGAGCATAAGAACAACAAAAATGACAACTTTCAAAATAATTGCTTTTCTTTTTTTTTCTTTGGCCTTCTCTCTCTTTATTCTTTCTTTCTCAGGTTCACACTTTATTCTATTGTGCTTCTTTTCTTTAAAAAGAGAAAAATGGAAAAACAAAACAGCTGGTTTGGCTTTTGTGTGTTGGTTTGGCTCAGAAGCTATTTAGATAGAGAGTAGCAGCAACAGCAGCAGCAGCGGTAGTATTTTCACATTCACATTCACATGTGGGTTGTTTTTGTTTTGTTATTAGTTAAGCAGAAGAATAGTGGGTTTATGGCAGAAAATGAGGGTGCTTTGCAGCTGCTTTTAAACACTCAGGGATGGGGGGTTTTGAAAGGGATGGTGGGTCCCCCTTTTGCACAACTTTGGGACCTACCTTTTTGGCCTCGCATTTTCACCATTTTCTTTTCATATTTTTCAAACTAGGGTCTCATTTTTATCATTTCCATCTTAACGCATTTGCAAATTTGTAACCTCAAGTCAAGGGTTTGTGCTCATTTTTAGTCATTAGGGTTCAAATTTCAAGTATCCTTAAAAAAAAAAAAGGACTTTTTTTTTTTTTACTGAATCAGTTCTTGATATACGAAAGCTGGATAGGGGATATTTGACTGTAAGAACAGTAGAAAAAATACAGTAAGAAATTAATGGTAAAGGTCTGTTCGGCTGGTTCTTAAAAATGTTTCTTATCAGAAAAAGAAAAAAAAAGCGTGTTCTGTTTTTCTTGGGCCTTAAAAAACACAAAGATTCTTAACATGATCTCCATACGGTCGGCTCCTACTTTATTGTCCATTTATATGTATTTTATGTTTTGTTTTCCTGTGTATTATACTCACGCGCCTCTGCTTCGCGCGTGCTGGAAATTAGGGTAGAACGAAGATAGAAAAAAGCCCTCGTGTGAAAATTATTTGGATTTCACTGCCTATATTGTTTGATTCCATATCATAACAATATAATCTTTTCCCATCTCTTAAACTTCAATTGCTCCCTTATCATCGTGTTTAAATTTGAATTTTTCAAGTTAAAATTGAATTTGATGATTGAATTCTCCCTTTAAATTTTACTTAATGGGATATTAAAATCTGAAAAAATATATATATTATTTTTTACCGTGGATCAAGTGATCCACGAATTTTCAAATTCTTAAAAAGTTTTACAAATTATTACGAAAAGGAACCATTGAGGCAAAAAAGTAAGAACAAATAGTATCACTGCTTTAAACAGTGTTGATTAGATTTTGCCGGATCCAAATATAGGCAAATAGTATCTTACCCGTCCAGTTCCTGCGCGTGCGGTTGACCTTTACGGTAAATTAAAATTACATTACCTGCTTTGAATTTGCATTGGTCACGGATGTTTTTCGCATCAGACGCCAACTTTGAAGTTCGAAAACCGCACGGTTCACTAGGTTACCATCAAATCCAAATTAGCTAAAAGTGGAACAAAGTATTCCTCAAGTTATTTAGATAAATAGATATACGTACCAATAATCACTGTACGAATTATTGAAAAAATAAAAAAATATATATAGATTTTTTTGTATCTAATTTCATGTTTACATTATCTTCAAAACGGCGTGGTTTGAGTTTTGGTTTAAAAAAAAAATTGGATAAAATGACAACTTTTTGTCAAAAAATTTAGGTGATTTTTCTGGAGATGATTTTATTTTGGTTCTTGACGTTTTAGATTTGTACCAAATAGGTCTCTAACTTCATTTGCGTTAGAAATAGATCCCTTGGGGTAGAGGAAGGAGAGATAAGGCATGAAAGAAAGACCAGTTCCGTTTTTTGAATTTGTAGAGTAGATTAGAAAGTGTTTTGAGATTTAAATGAATTTTTACATGATTTTATGGTGTTTTCAAGTGAAATGGCATAAAAATTGGGTATGGTGGCCAAAAATAGTGGTCATCCGATTTTTCACCGCCTGGTCGTCGGAAATTGGAAATAGTTGCGCTGAAAGTTACAGCACGACTGCCGGCAACACCAACATGGACTACGCGAATGACGCTTCATTTACTTCTTTTTTTACTTATTTGTAGCTCTTGGGCTCTGCGTGGGCCTAGTTGCCAACACACCAAGGCTGGGGGCCGATGGCCCACCCTTTTCACTTTGTTTTTTATTTTTTCCTTTGATTTATTTATTTATTATTTTCGCAAGGAGGGGGTCAATGGCCCACTTTTATCCCATATAATTAATAATTATTTTTTTCATACAAATATAAAATGGTAATTATTTTTCATGATTTTCACCTTTTTTTCTCGTTTTTTTTTAAATTAGTATAAAAATAATTGATGTTATGAAAAACAATGATTATTCATGCAACCCTGCAGAAAAATAACAATTAATTTATCAATTTTTTTACAATAATAAAGGTTTGATAATTGATATGCATAGTTTTCAAAAATTTAATGACAATAACACCAATCTATAATTGTTATAACACCGATTTTTTTATAAATAAATATAACCATATATAGGTTAACATTAAGAAAAAAAATAGTCTAAATAACAAGTATTTGATATTTAATTGTTTATCATATTTTATATTAATTTTTAATTTATCACATGTCGCTTCAAAATTAATTGATCGTGATTTTTCAACATGTATTAGACAAATTTAATATTTAGAATTACATTAGTGTAAGATAAAATAAATAAAATAAAAACTAACTATTTAGTACAAAACAAAGAGGTTTTTAAATCAGTGATTATAGACTCATTAATTAAAATTAAGCAACCTTCCAGCATATATTGCTCAAGCACCCTTTTATTGTTGATTCTTGCATTCCTCTAATTGTTGATTTTTTTTTCAATTAGATATTAAGTTATATAATAATTGATTGCATGTTTGCTTTTTTATTTATCAAAAACAAATATATCCCTAAATTTAAACTCAAAAAATAAAAAACACACATGATATTAAAAACCACAAAAAAAAAAAAACATATTAAATTGAGGGGGGAAAAAACACAATTGATTGGCCCATTTAAACCTACCAATTTAAGGATTCATCGTTTACTTGAAAAAACTGTGTATATTTATGATAGTCGATGTTTTTTTTTTTTCCGACGTGTTTTTATTAGAAATCTAATTGATTTAAATTTTTTAGATGCTTTATTACATTTTGGGTAACTTTTGATATTTCTCAGTGTCGAATCATTGTAACCCTTTCAATCAAAACACCAAACGCACACACTTACTGTCGTTTTAAAAACTCGAATAAGCGATTATTTCATTTATATTATCAAGAGTGAAAAAGAAAAGAAATCCTTTTTTTCTCAATAAACAATATGCACGCACGTTGTTGCCTACCATTGAGCAATAAGAAAAAATGAAGAAACTTTCAATTTCAGAAATCAAAAAGGGAGAGATGGTTTGCTTGCCGGGAAGAGAAAGAGAAAGAAAAAGGAGAGAAAAGCTAAAAAAAGAGGCCATTGTTATGATACTATTAGTTGGAATTTGCATCACTTGGCATCTAAAGTCTAAACTAAGCAAACAAAACAAGAATGTGCAAACACATACGCTTGCTCCTCCCCCACTACTTCAACCTGCATTATCACAAACACCAACCTCCTTTAATTTTCAAGATTTTCTTACGCCAAATATAATCTCAGTTAGAATCGAAATCGTTATTAATTAACTAACTAGGTAGATCTCTATGTTAAAAAGACAGAATTTTTTATATATATTTGAGAATTAGGTTCACATGTAGTTGGCAGGACGTGCCCAATTTGTTTGCATAAGAATACCTATCCTTGACATAAGAGTCAAAGGAAATGTGTGTATTTCCATGTGTTCCCACGTATACGTGGATCAAATTAGTTAGAAATTAATCAATTTCAAACAAATTAGTTGTTGAAGAGGAATCAAGTGATTGTAGTATATAAAAAGAGGTTGTGTTGCATTAACAACAAAAGAAAAATAGGGACAAACACGATCCACGGCTTCTTTTAATGAATAAAATACGGTAAAAATTGAAAATTGAGTTTGTTTACATGCAATTATTATTATTATTCTCAAATGGTATGGAGTTTAATACGGCTAGAGTTCAATATATATGGGACACTCAGATCTTTTATATTTCTCTACTGGATCAACCAATCTCCATTACAAAGGGAAAGTCCCGTAGAAACAAAGGTGGGATAAAGAGTTGCTTAGGAGAAAGAAAAATTTGGTAGTTCGAAATTAGAAGCATAATCGAAAGAGAAAGATTTTTTTTTCTTTTTTTAGTAATAAAAGACAACAAACGAATACAAATCTTGCAAGGAAGAGGCTCAAGGACCGTAATCAACTCATCACTGTCATCACGGATGCCTTTCCTGACCCCAACCAACTTTAACGTTTGTTTGTAAACTTTTGTCTTTTAAAAAATGGGAGGTTAATGTTACCTAACACGACAAATTTTATCCTTGAAAAACTCATATTACTATTAGTGGGAGACGTTTCAACCTGAAAAAGAAAGAAAAATCTCCCCCATCCAAGAGTACCTTTGACAAAGTGCACGAAACTAAAATGACACGGCTTGACTGTTAATAACATGCAATGCTTTGGCTAAAAAATTCTTCCTTCATAGCGATCGATGGTACTGACTAATTTATCATTGGAATTCCATTTTTAATATATCTTTCTTCCCGACATTTTTTTGTTCTCTATTTTTGCAGCAAAGCCAAAATGAAAGTGCCAAAGCTGGAAGCCAACAAAGTTTGGTTCAAAACCAATTGTAAAGACTAAAGAGTTCTGAAAGGCAGAAAAAGGAGTTTTTGGATCTCTTTACCTTCCCGCCTCTGCTTAGGGTTGCGTGAAGCATTAGAGGCAATCTTAGAAGGAGGCAAAATCAAACAACATAAAACAACAGAAATAGTACTTTCCCTTCTCTGAAATTTGGGAATCGCTGGTCCTTCACGTCTACGCGCCTGTGTAGAGCGTGTGTAAAGTGCAAAAACGCGTGGCAATCATGAATGAATTTCAGTTCTTGTAAGAGAATACACTTTTTTTTTTTTTTTAATAATGCTTTTTACATACCAATGGATCTCAGCTTTATTGGTCTCTTGCTGCATATCAAGAAGTCACGAGTTTTTTATAAAAAAAGAAAAAAGAAGAAGTCACGAGTTTAATTAATAATAACATTTCCAATGCTAGTTATTGAATCTGTCGTGTTTATAATAAATGATATATCAATATTTTTAAGTATGATTTGTAATTATTCTAAAAAATTTAAATTTTGACTTCAGCATAATCATTATGAGAATTTTTTTTTTGAATAAAATGACAGTACGATTTATAACCACTATAAATAAAATTAAATTTTAATTTCAATTACGATTAGAGTTTTTTTTTTAATAAAATAATAGTATAATTTGAACACTAATGCGGTACTCAAACTTTATAGTTTTTAGCTTGATTATTTTTGCTGCAATACTTCTTTTAATTGTTAAGAATATATTAATTTTGTTCTTTTTTATTTAATCACGCAAGTGATTTATTAAAAAAATTAATAATAGCTCTAAAATTCTATTTTTATCTTATTTTTCTATTTAAAGGTTGTAATAATGTTTTACTAAGAAAAATTTAATGAATAAAAATTAAGATATTTAAGTTTTTTCAACAATTTTATTGTTTTTTCTTTTAAAAAAATTATTTGAAACTAACAAACTCCATACAAGACCTCCTCGAATCTTTGAGGAGATTATCTAAGTAAAGATTTCTGCACTAATAAGAAATTTATATTTTTTTATTTTTTATCCAAAGCTATTCTACTCAAATACTAATTAGCGAGGCAGGTAAGCTTATTCCGAAGAGCCGATACAACAGAGAAAATCAAAATTAAATATTAATTATAAAAAATTTGGTTGTCAGAAACCGTATTGAATCCAACTAGACAATAGCTGTGAGCTTTTTCTCTACGTGGGCCCCTATTGTTTGTTGGCGATTTTGACTCTTACTCAAATCATCAATTTCTTGAACGTATTATTAACAAATCCAGCTCATAATTTCCGCAACAACTATAATGGAACTCTTGATTATCAGAAAGCCCATTTTCAGTATCCTAACATCCCACCTTTCTTTGCTGAGTCTGAATTATTGCAGAGCACGTGCCATGCACATGAAACATCTGTTGTTGTTTTGATGATGAAACTGAAACATCACTTGTTGAGATGGCTAAAAAAATATAATTTTTAAATTATTAGCAGGAAACTAGGATTTGGGCTTTTCTTTTTATTTAACTAATTAGGATGTGGGAAAGAGTGGATGAGACAAAGGGGGTATTCAAAGGATACGAATAATAAAAAATATTATCTTGAAAAATGAAAACTATAATTCCTGGAAATGGACTGGACATGCATGTTTCGAATATAATATGAGTTAATTAATGGTTCTTCCACGAACAATATGATTAATTATGGAGGGAAGAAAGGAAAAAAGAAGAAGCTGAATATATGGAAATACAAGAAACAAGACATGTTAAAGAATGAGGCAACGCTTCCATGCTAGAAATACTTGCGTGGCTTCATTATTTGATTTAAAATAATTCTAAAAATATCAAATTAAAAGTTTTTTATTTTCCAAAAAGTTTATTATTTATTTATACATATTTCAAACTTTTAAGTGAGGTATAGAGTAAATTTTTTTTATCATCAAGGTATTCCTAGCTTAAAAATTTAAAACAATTCATTATTATGCTCTGCTAGATGTAAAAGATAAATACAGTTATGTAAAAAATTTTTTTTGTATAAATAAAGATTAGATTAAAATTTTTTTAATTCAATCCAACTTTTTGTTTAAACGATTGAAAATTCTTCAACTCAATACATCTTTTTGTTCAAACAAAAATATATTGCCTATCGCATAAGATATGTACAGTTATGTAAAGAATTTTTTATATATAAAATGACTCTAAAAATATCAAATTAAAAGTTTTTTATTTTCCAAAAATTTTATTTATTTTTTTATACATGTTATCAAACTTTTAAGTGAGATATAGAGTAAATTTCTTTTATCATCAAGGTATCCCTAGCCTAAAAATTTAAAATAATTCATTATTATGTTCTGTTTGATACACAAAATAAATACAGTTATATAAAGAGTTTTTTTATAAATAAAGATTAGAATAAAACTTTTTTTAATTTAAGCTAATTTTTTGTTTAAACGATTAAAATTTGTTTAATTCAATACATCTTTTGTTTCAAACAAAGATGTGTTACCTACCGTATAAAATAGATACAGTTACGTAAGGAATTTTTTATATATCCAAAGATTAATTAAAACTTCTTCGATTCAACCCAACTTCTTGTTTATACAACTAAAAATTCCTCCACTCAGCACATCTTCCTGAGTAAATCCTTTGTTCATGCTGACGCACGAGCAACTTACCTTGAATTGAGGTCAGTCTCGTTTCCTTCTGGATAGGAAAAAGGAGAGGGAGGAGCGGAGGGGAGCGATCTGTCTTCTTCGTAACCAATTCACTATCTTGCTAAGCTGTCAGTTGAAAATTTTCAAGCACTGTATCCTTTAAATGTCAATTAAATATTTAACACATGAACACTCACGTCACCCTGTCAATTCTCAACCATATTAAACTAGTAGGTGTTAATTATTTCAACGACGGGTGCAATGGTTGCATGGACAACAAATGATTCTGACCTCACAATCTGATCCAACTTCACCTGCTGAAAATATGCCCTTTCCAGTTAAAAGAGTAAAAATAAAAATCAAAAGAAAGGAGGATATACCATTTCCATTTAATTGAAATTTGATTTTTGGACTTGAGAACTCAAGGGAGTTCGTTAACACAAATTTTCTGCATTTTCGCATTGCATAATTCCAGAGATAGGGATAGAAAAAAAAGCCCATACATATATAACTAGGTGTTAGAAAACTAATAAAACAAAAATACATGACACAAAAAATTACGTAATTCAACAATTATACTTATTCTACGACTGCATTATCATTTCTTATGAAAATTATTTTACTATATGCTTGATACGATATTCCGTAAACGTTTTGAGAGTTCCGTGTAGGATATTAAATTATAGATCATATTCATATCAATTTTTACAACTTAATACTAATTTAATTAAGTAAATATTGAAATTTAAGGGGAAAAAAAAGGAAAAACCAGAATTTTATTTGAAGAAAGAGATTGAAACTTTGACTTTTATTTTCTTTCTCCCAATTATTTAAATTCGAAAATTAACTAACCTAGAGACAGAAAAAAATAATTTAATCTCTTTCCTTAGAAACAAAATTTGACTAGAAGAAGGTCATTCATTTTTTCCATTTCAGAAAAAAAAAAAAAAAACAAAAATTACAGCGTCGGTGCATTAGATATGTAATAGTTTAATTTCCTGTGTATATAGACACACATAGGCATATAGTTAATCAAACTTTGGTCGTGGTCTTTTGTTCTACCTTGTTGTCGTTAAAGTCGAGCTTCGAGTTTAAAACATGGGAGGGGAAATATTCTTTCTATTATACGGAAGCTGACAGATTATAGCCATATACGAGTGTATATTTCTTTTTCAATGAAAGCAACATGCATTAATCTATCATCAACCATAATTTTTCAGTACGGCCTGATATAAATATTATCACAAGTTGTTGAAACTAATATAAACATGACACATAATTTAGTGTACTACATAAAAAGCCACGATCCATTAGGTCAAGTGTATATGATCTATAACAATTTTTTTCTTTAAGTAACATTGGTTGTCAATTTTATAAATAAAAACAATATATTTTGTATTTGTAACTCTCATTTGAAAAAACTTTAATAAAAATTCTTAATAAAGTTATAAAGTAGTTATAATTTGCTGAATCACCAAAATTTTGTATTTTGTGATTAATTATTATTTGTTTTTCTGTTTTATCTATTTACTTGATTTTTTTCTAACACATGCGTTTTTCCTGCTTTTTATCGGATTATTTTAGTTTTCCTTGCCAATCCGCAGTACCAAAAGCGAGAAACAAAACTTGGCTGCTTGTTCCAGATCCAATCTACTTGCTCTGGTTAGTTATAGCACTTTAAAGCTATTTAGTTCTTGCATGCACGAAAGCAACTTGGTTATAACGATGACAACGAGGTCCAACTGATAAAACCAATGCTCTCTGTCTTTCCTATATGATAGGCCCAACTGTTCTTGAGTTAATAATAGCTAGCTCACCCCCATTTCAAAAATATTCCTTTTACTCGGCTCTTCTCTTCTCGATACATAATTCGTGGATGGTTTCAGATCCACGCTATGCTACTATATTTGTTTTGAGTCCTTCTGACTCTGATCTAACGATTGTGATGTATTGATCATCTTTTTTTATTACTATATTTTTTCATACTGTTCGAAAAAAATAAAAACGCAAATCCCCTTTTCAAAATTCCCTGTTGGAGACCCAATTGGTATAAATAAATTTAATGCATTGTATTTGAATATTTCGACCTATAATCAAGAAAACGAGATGGGGTGTAGTTATTTTTATGTAATAATTCAAGAACTCGCATCGAGGAGAAAGATATGATGTTTTCAACAAGCAGGGGAAACCGTGAAAGGACAGTTTCCTTTGACCTAACAATAGTACTCACTCGTACCTATACCAAATTACCAATCAAAGGTTGCAGTTGTTGGGCAAGAAAATATCTTTTGCCAAAAGGATCCAAAAGACTGCCTCTTACTTATGTATTCCTACCCCCATCGCAGCCTGATGATTGGAATTCATTGCAAGTTCTTGAATAACATTACAGTACAGATTTTTGTAGCTCTGCTTCTGTCGTCTTTCGAGCCTGTTATATTCTCTGCTTGCAATGGGTCCCTGTATATTAACTGGTATTTTTCTTTCGGCGGGTCCTTCTAAGACCCCATTGGTCTGTGATTTTGTTCTATCGGTTACATTCTCAGCTTTATCATCTCATGGGGTGAGTACTCTGTTCTTTTCCTTTCCAGCTGGTTACATGTAGTAATGTTTTCCCTGGAGCCCCTGGCCTTTCTATTCTGACTGAATCCTGGACCAATGTTCATTGATTAGTAAGAATTGATGTCAAATTCTAGAGCCCAAAATCCAAATCCAATCCGGTTAAAATGCCAACTCGGTGATCAAATCCATCTGCTCATGCGTTTCTTATCCGTTCGCACTTCACTGAATTATTAAAGATACAGCCTCCCTTATGTTCCTTCCTAAACATGCACGATGCATGAATCATGCTCGTAAGGAAAAATATTGTAGACTGTTTCTTAAAAAATTGAGATATAAACTAAGTTTGAAAGCCACAATCTTCTTTTTTATTTTATCCTAAAATCGGCCTCTCATTGTCACCTAAATTATATAATAATATAAAATTTCTCCATTACTTGGGACATTTTGGCCAGACCAGAACGCAAGATGACGATTACACATCAGCAAGAAAAGCAAGACCCTCATGGCCTGTGGCTACAAGATGAGGGTAACACATCGGCAAAAGGAAGAAAACGAAGACCATGCAAAACATAGGCATGAATCTCCTATCCATTGAAACAGTTTGAAGTTACCAGAAAATTGGTGGCCCAAGAGCCGAAGGCACACAAGAACCTATATCTATCCTAGTTGTGGATGAGCTTGCCACATACACAATTTGGCTAGCCATTGACGTCAACATCTTATGCTCTTTTTTGTGCATGGATTTAGTGGGCCTTTATCTTCCTAGCTAATCCCTCACAGCAGTAAGTTAATTGCTGGGAAAACGTGGGTCCAAAAAGGGAAGAGTATGTGGTTCAGATTACTGATCGAGCTGGGCATGACTTACCACATTAACTGATACACATCATTAGAAGTAGCAGGCCCATTTGGTTGCTTTAGGGTTAGCCATGTAGTACCAAGTTGAAGAAGATATTAGCCTGTCATAGAAAGTGTTTTGCTTCTTCGTTATTTTTTGCCCGTTTTGACCACCACTTCTCAAAAATGTCATAAAAAATAGCAGTTTTATTAGGTAGTAGTGTAAATTGGAAGTGAAAATGAAAGTACATGGTCCTTAGATTCCACTCAAATACATTCAAGATCGAGTAGGAGTACTATATTTTTTTTATTATTATTATAGGTAGATTAAGGCACTACTTAATTTTGACAGTTCAAATGTCTTATTCCTTTAAGACTCACGATGTCATTGTCTCAATAATTTCAAAAAATTAATTTTGATTAGAGATTTGATTAAGGACTACCTAAAACACGGACTTAGCAGTGTTTTCTACTTGCAATTATTCTATGATCAAGTTTTACACGGCAATTGGATGGATGGTCACAAATTAGTGAACATGATGATGTTTCCCACTTTATTTTTATAATCCCTAGTCCCATACCAAACTAAATAAAAATTATTGTATGAGATGCTTACTAATTAATAATTAATTAATTTTGGGGAGGAGGGGTGTTGAATTGCTCTAGTTCTGTTCATGTCCTAATCTTTACTCTAAAGTTCCCTTCTGCATACCATGGATTTTGCTTAGGGTAACGTGATAATCATTAATTTAAAAAAAAAAAAAACTTTGAAATCACAAAATTTTTTGGCCTCTTTAACCTTTTTTCATGAATTTTTTTAGATCTTCTAAAATATATTAGATTTAAAAATTCAGATTAATCATTTGTTGTTCTGTTGGATCACACTGAAACAACTACTGAAAACATATTACATATATATATATATGTATTATGTATATATATATATAAGGATTTAAATTTGAAATCATTTGTTCAAAGCAAACGAACTCTTTTACACTGAAGCAAAACTCTTTTCATGTTTTCATAAATTTTTTTAAGCAGTCCTTTCCATGCATTTAACGTAAAGAGTGATTAACAAGGACTTGGTAGGTTGGCTTTTCTCTTTTGTTTGTTTTCCTTCTTCATTTTTCAAATATATTAAGTAAATTGGAATGAATTAATGGCATGATAAGTTATTGTCAAAAACTTAATTTTCAGTAAAATAGAAAATTCTGTCTTCGTTTTTCAATGACTTATCCCTACGGGTAAAATGTCGCCATATTAGAACGTAATAATATCCACACCAATCCGCTAAATCATTGACATTTCGTTTCCCCCTGACGAAGCAACGCTTCCTTACCATTCTCGACTGCGGCAAGACTGTATTGTGAGGTTGTTAAGTAACAAAATTGTGTTTTGCCATTATACAAAGTAGTCCTATCTTTTCCATTTCAGTCCCCACAATTAGAACTTTCAACTTGTTGGACCACTGTGATGTGCAATCCTTGGAGTACAACTCTTTCTCTTACGTCGGCACTTGGCAGGGATGGGACCAAACCCATGTTATAAACATGGTTAGGTTTAGCCAATTTCCAATAATTAGGGCCCACTGGGTTCAACCACCCAGATCCTACAGCTAACCATTTCATCTACTCGTATTACTGATTGCTCTCACCCACCTTGCTTGGGCTTAAACAGTTAGGCCGATGGTGTACAGTACCACAAAATCCCAACATTTAGTTGAGCCAATGACTTATATATATATATATACACACACACTCAATGGTACCTCAGTCTACTCAAGTATATAAGATGAAAACAGATGATTAAAAAGTTTTCTATGTATTTGAATTTAAAATTATTTATTTTAGCAACTAGGCTTAATTTCGTTCAATCCAATCCAATCCAATCCTGTTAAAATAGTTACGCAGATGACTTTGATTCATAAAGATTCTTCTGATTCTTTGTGTTTCTTGATATTGAAGCAAAGTGGGGTCCAACTCGATGGGTCCCATGCTACGTTTGCTGGATGCCTTCTGCCCTTTCAAGTTTCGTATCCTCCATTAAAAACTACGTGCATGTCATGATAGATATACACGTTTCTTTACCTTTTTTTTTTTTTTCCCTCATTACACAATAAAGATTAGTTTGGTATAACTTTTGATTTTGAGTCGTGATATAATTTTTTTTTCCATAAGTAACTTAAGATAAAAATAAGTTAAAATAAATTTAAATTAAAAATATATTTGGAAAAAAAAACTCAATAATTTTTAAAAAAGAAGAAACCGAGTAAAAATTATATACGATTCATAAGATGAAAAGTTAAAAATTTCAATTTTTGACTAACTAAATATATTTAAATCAAGCTTTTGATTTCAGTATAATGTTATTTCTAACTTGTTTTTTTTAAAAAATCAAAACATAAAAATCATTTAAATCAATACCAAGCATAACCTAAAATAAATTAGAATTGCCGGAACCATTCGATTGAAGAAAGCTATGAATGAACTTTTTGATACTTAAAAAGATTAAATCAAAACACTTATCCCGCTTGTATTGGCAATGCAATTTCCAGCAATTAGATTTTTTTATTGAGCGGCTAAAAATGGGTGTGTGAGAATATTCATAACTACTTTATATATTTTCAGGGAATTATCGTTACTCTAAAAAAAAAAAAACATTTTCCACTCTTATGTGACGTTAATTTGAAAAAAAAAAAAAAGAAGTTAATTCCATGCAAATAAGTGGAGGATGAGGATGACACTTCAGCTTATCTATATAATTAATGACATGAAAGTGCCTTCTGTCATCACCATTTCTAAAGAGGACAACTCTTTATCGTTTATCCCTTTAAACACCATAACATTTCTAGTTCTTATTGCCCAATGATAGAGGATAGAAGGATAGACCTTATCATCCTAGTCATAAAAAGGTTCGTTTTCTCTCGTCACTTTTCCAAATCTCTTTCAACGCCAGATCACTTCTTGGAATGAAAATGAACTTTTTTTAGACATAATGGTCATGTCGTAGAAGCAATAACCTTGGGTTGGATCACGTCTGCAATAATTGGGGCTTTTTTTGGACAATATATTACATAAAAAAATTTAGCTAGTTTGGAAAATTTAATTAGAAAATGATTCAATTGCAAAGAAAAATATGGATAAATTCTCCATTTATTTTTTCTTGAGAATACATAAAAAATAATAAGAATTTTTTTCACCAAAATTGGCACACACCTTATCTATCAGAATTTTTTTTTTTTTTGGGATAAATAACAAAAAAAAAAAAAATCCTCAATGAGAGTCACATCCAAAACTCTTGATTCGGGGCTGCGGGATCCACTAGGACAGTCCTTTCGGCTGCAACTTTTGTTGATGGCTTGATGGGATTACGTAGGATTTGTGTTGGGCACATTATATCCCATTGCCTTATCTGCACAATTTCTATGGATCACATAGATATTCTGTTAAGGATGTCTGGTCGCAATGTGATAACCAAACGTTAATAACTGCCAATCAGAAAAGATGAAGTTTTTATTTATTTTTGTGATTGTTATTTAGAATGTTTTTTTTTTTTGGACTTTATATATATATGTGAGATTGGATACCCTTCAATTTCATGTAAGAAATTAAATGTCAACACACCAACTCTCTCTAAGAGTACTGTTTTTGGCTCCTTGTTTTACTGCTTGATTCAAAGCAAAACAATTAAAAAAAATGGTAAGGAATTTAAAAATCAACTGCTTAATTTTAAAAAAAATGAATTTTTTTTTTTTAAAGATGAAAGGTTGTTTATTTTATTCAAAAAAAAAATTAAAAACATTAAATCATAAAAATAATATTGTATCTTAATGTATAGTTTTTATACTAGAACTTAAAAAAATATTGTATAATATTTTGAATATTTTGAATTATTCTTATATTACTTGTGATTTTTATTTCAACAATCAAAGTATTTTCATGTTTTCAAGTAATTTATTTTAATTTCTTAATGAAAATTTTAAAATAATATCTTTAATAGTAATTTTAACTCAAACAACATAATAATAAATTATCAAACAATTTTTATTTATAGCATAACATATCATTTCATCACCAAATAATTTAATACACTTATCTTCCAGGATAATGTAGCACAATACAATACATCAATCACGATACAACACGATGAAAGCAAATAGACTTTGTGCGTTTATGGCTAGCTAGCTAGGAAGAGGATAAACTTTTGTAAATAATGTTTTCTTTTTTATTAATGCTCTCTCTTAAGATCGTAGTATAATAATTGGAGTTATGCAACTCAATAATGGTAATTTAGTGAGCTGCGAAGCCAGGAGTTTTTTTTTTTTTTTCAGTGGGGTAAATTACTACCATCTGTTAAAATACTATATTAATCATTTTTTTAAAATAATAATAATTTGTTTAAGAATAATATATAATTAATGAATTTAATTGTTCTCATTTTATTAGTTTGGTATGAAAAAAATATGAATAGACTTATCTATAAAGCACAACCTGAATTTTGTTATTATGGATGATGGGACATTGTAAGAAATTATATAATAATTTAAAGATATAATAGATGCAAAATATACATACAAGGATAAGGATATATTAGAGCAAACTCTCAAAATATAAAAATAAATTGAACTACTTTTTTTTTTTTATGTGAATATGATGAAATTGTAGATGATGGTTAGGTAGTAGAAGCAATAGCCTTACCTCTGGCTGCAACGTGAGACCTAGCAGTTTTCAGAATAATTGCCAACCAGAAATTTATGAATATAAATCCTCTCAATTATTTGTACAATTATTGCTTATATATATATATATATATATATATATACTTTGAATAGACAAATAAAGCTTACTCCCCTATTATCAGTCAGTCAAATGCACATTTTGATGCTTTCGTCATTTATATTTCCTCTTAGATCAATGGTTCCTTCGGCATTTTGGTCTAGAAAAACAGCAATGCAATTTCAACAGCCACCAGTGTGGCAGATGAAGGTATAAAAAAACGGTGCTTTCATTTACCACACCAAAAAGCAGTGCTTAGAAACGGCCTTAAAACTTCAATAAGCAAAGGCATGAATGTCATCCATAAGGTTATCATTGGATAAGCTAACATTATTCCTGTAGGTGCTTAGGTTTTACCTCAGACTTCCTCTCAAAATGATGCACATAAGATACCAAATGAGAAGTTTCACATCTTTACACATACTGTTCTCTAAGCAATCCATAAGGCAAACAATGCAAACCTATGTTGAGTACCTTGCTAGAAGTTATGCACACACAAAAGGGATCACCATAAACTTTCTAAACGTTCTTTGATCGACTCACTATCTTGCTTGTCCACCTAGAAGAAAAGAAAACATAAAATGATTAGTTAATAATATTGCAAGGGATTCAAATAAAGGAAGCTGGGAAACTGAAAGGAAAAAAAAAAAGCAGAAGAATTCAAGAATTTCTCCCAGTCTTATTCATAATTCCTCTTAACAGTTTCCATTCTGAAGCAACATTCCATGATTCCTATAACATGGTTCTGCTGCAAAATTTTATTTCTTTTATTTTGCAATCACTTACTACAATAACAGGATGTTTAAACATTTCATCCTTACCAAGACTGGCGTAACATTTGTAAAAGATCAATCACAGGTTGATGTTCTTAAACATTACTATATTCAACCTGCTAGCTTTTTAGGGACAGTGACAAAGCATGGCCCGAGAATTTGATCTGGAAAATGCTATTTCACAACTTAAAGATATATGAATAAGAGCAAATGATATCCTTTTAGTCAATGCCAGTAACAGAGCCTCTTGGTTTTCATATGCCTCTACAAACTGCTGTAATTCACACCAAAGAGTCTGATTCCTTCCTTAGACCAACAACTGACGTATGGAGGTAAACATCCAAACAATGTCTGGAGTAAGAAAATCAGTTGATATCAGAAAAGAAATTGAAACAAAAAGTGGTTCTATGAGTGAAGGAAAGAGAGTGAAGGTCCAGATTTTGGAGCTTTTAGAAGCACTTCAAAAATGTTCGAAGTCAATAAGTCAAACGTACACGTGAATTGTGATCTCGAGAGAATGTTGATTTTCATTATGCAGAAACGCTAGTTCTTTGTTATGTGTAGGGTACCAACCCAGAGACTGGAGACAAATCTAAAATGCTTAGTGCAGCAAGCGAACAAGTCTTTTAGATGATAATAAATAGGTTTTGGAAGGGAATGTAATTAGATTAGGACCAAGCTATCTGCAAATAGAATCCGACCAATGAAGCATACCCCTTAAATATGCTTAAACTTCAATAGTAGCTATCCAAAGAAAGGAAAAATATGGTCGTTGAATGACCGGAGTAGTCATTGAAGTTGAGTAGAAAGAAAACCAAAGAGTACCAGTCAGAGCTTCAGATGCATATACTGCATTGCTAAGACTGAGAGTTGAATATCAGCTTTTGAGCATAAAACACAATGTGGAAACATTGATTACACTGGAAGATATGCAGTTCAATAAGTTTGACAACATAAGTCAAAGGTAAATTCTCAATTTTTTTCTCTCCGGGCATGACTTTATCAGCTCCCCAGAAGGAGAGGAATTAAGCGTCAAAAGAGGAAGTCAAGCCGCCAAATAGTATCTTAGGAATCTGGAGTGTTTCTTGGAAGATGGGCACTCTCTGTTCTGGATTATGCATACTTCAAGGCTATGCCAAAATTAGAAAAATGCTTCCAGGCACCTTAAGCAATACTCAGAAATGCAGTTTACATTAGCTTGCCTACTCCTCACCTCCTGTTACATAATAAAAAGGCCCCAGATTCTTAGGAAGATGGGAAAGACAACATGAGAGAAACAGAAGGGAGAAATTGTTAGGTAGACTTGGTCCACAAACCCACCTATAGACTAGGCCAATTATGGCATCATGCAAGGATGGATTCATACATTAATCAGGGTCCATCAATTTTTATACGCATGTCATGTCACTATTGGCTTCTTCTATCAGTGAGTAGGTAGACTAAATCTGCCTAACAATGTCTCAATTGAAGGAGGATGCTAGGCAATGATACAAGCCCTAGTTGATGGAGACGCCAACAATGGCCAGATGATCATATCAACACAAGCATGACAGAAAGTACCACTTTTAAGCATTTAGAACAAGGAACATGCAAACAGAAGGTGCAATATTTTGCATGGCATGTTAGGAGGAATAGAAGTCGCTACACATAATAAAAGGAGAGGAAAAGAGAAACAAGGGTGTGAGAAATATACACCTAGAGAGATAAGGTGTGTGCTAGAAGAGCCAAAAGATCCCCATTTAATGTTTAGAAGGGGTATCTATAAGCAAGGATACATGCTTAGACAAGGCATGTGTTCATAGGGTTAAACATAAGCACGTAAATGCATTCCTTCCCTTTTTTTCTTCTTTTTCCTTCATAAAAGAGACATAAGTTTCACTAACTTGCATCATCCTACACAGGCTTCATTCCTATTTAGCCAGTTCTATTTTACTTAGCATCCCCTAGTTCTCTTGGCTCACAGAACCATAACCTTCTTAGAATCCCACGCTTGAAAAATAATAACACAAAGTACATGCAATGTGCACCTGCCCACACGATGCCCATATGGTGCCATTGTAGCAGCACGTTTTAATTCGGGTAAGGTGCTCAATATAAATTTGCTTTAACAAACAAGAAAGGTGCACTTACTATTCGTTTCCTCCAGAATCGCTTGTGTAGAAGAACCAGTTGAGAATCCCAACTTTTGCATGACTTCTTCCAAACGATTTACATTTGTCAGATAGAGAAAACCGACCTATAATACCCAAAAGTATAAATTAAAATAAGCCAAGAACAGATTCTGAATTATGAATAATCAGTTCAGGACATGAGCAAGAAAATTGGATAAGAAATCAATCAAACAAGTAGATAATCACATCTGACCATACCAAATGGCTAAATACAACATAAGCCAACTCTACACCAACTTACAAGAGTTTCTACATCAAGCATTTGGATGCCAAAATAGTAAAATATTTTTGTGCTAACATGATTACATTTATTTCCTTTCCACAACAAAAAGATGAATTTATGATAACCAAATGCATTTGTGAAGAAAACCATATCAGAATAAGAAAACAAGGTACAAATACTATAAACTAACATGTTGCTGAACAGACAGCTAATGTTCTCTGAGCAATTCCATTTATACAGACAGCTGAGTCCAAAATTAACCAAATTGCATTCGAAGAGCATACTATAATATGCATATATCCAGTTTAAACCAGAACGTAAGAGGGTACTAACTAATGTTTCCAGTGAAGATGCTCGGTTGTAAGCTGCTACCCCAGCACGTTTTTTTGTCCGTGTTTTAGATGAACCAATATTCTTTCCCCAACGAAGAACACCACTGCATTAAAATAAAATAAATAAATAAATAAAAGATTAAAAGGCCACAACCAATTACAATCTTTTAAAAACCATATTTTAGCTATGGAAGATTAAAGGACAGGTCATGACAGTTTTCAGTAGATAATTTAACTTCAAGGAATTATGACGGTTACAGGAAACATATCAGGTTAACTACGATCTCTCATCACCCTCAGCAGCAAGATATATCTGCTAATAACCATTTTATCACAATAGCTGTTTTTTTTTTTTTAACTTCATCATCTCCTTATGCATAGAGTGCCCCCACACTGTTGCCACCTAAATAAAATAATCTACTTGCTAATATAAGCAACTATTGCTATTATCAAATAAATTAGTTCTTTAATCATGAATCTCAATTGTCAAATAGAATTTACATCGTTGAAGAATTGATCGGAATGACTCTTTTAGGGGTTGTGATTTGATGGAAATATCTTGTGATTCCTTGCCACCTAAACCAGATGGCATTTGACCTCTAGACCAAGTAATTTCTCAAGTAACTCAAACCAAGAGCCTTTCCTTCTATTCATTTCTGAAGTCCTGGCCATCTTCATCTTCCGAAAGAGAGTTCAAATTCTCTGTTACATTGCCAAGATGCCAACTACATATTATGACATGAATCAGCCATTTCCCTCCAGGGGTGCAACCTCACATGGATTATTAGATGTGCTCTAGGCACCTAAAATAGAAGGGGCGATCAAAAGTCCAAGTAGACTTCAATGCCTGCTTTTAGATCACGGGATAAAGATGAGCACAAGTTAGAACACAAATTCAGAAGACCATACATGTCTGATTTATTTTTAAAACATTAATTTAAGATCCATTGTCAACCGCTCTTTTGTAGTCTTCACTTGAAGGAGAACAGGAATTGACGGGTTTCTGTAATACTTTGTTTCTTAAAAGACAGAAGATTCAATTGTCACAACCAGCAGATAAAAACAGAATACATGAGTAAAAAATATTCTACAGACCTTTCTTCCTCTGATAGGCAATTATCATTAAGAAGTTTCTGGAGCAACGCATCCTGATTGCAGCAAACAAAGATATTAGAATTTGATCTGATCTATCAAAAGAAGTCACATAATAATTTGAAAATATAGAGGGGGTGGGGGGCTGCAACCCTTCATGTAGGCCCTATGCCAGAGAACATCAAAGCAAGAAAAAGAGAAATAAAACCAATTGTAAACTAAGTGAGCATCAAAACATTTTAAATCCTTTATTGCAAGCTAATTGCCTTCAGACAACTAAAAAATACTGCCAAACTCCTAAAACTACACAAGGGATTGGGAAGAAAAAACCTCCTGATGACATACATATACCAAAACAGTACAGAAAGAGATACTATTCCATAAGGACCATAACCTTAAAGTCTTTTGCCACTATATAAAACTTGCATACTCTGTAATTGAAAATACAATTGGTTAGCATATTGTTTATTAATTTTTATCAGATCATGCATGGTAACTAAAGTTCACCCATAACACCCAGGCTGACCAACATATTTGTAGAAGTTAGAATAATGAAGGATCTTAACAATGGGTGGAAGAAGGAAGGTTGAACAACAAATATGTTGTATATAAAAATAGAAAACAGGCATATAGTACAAGATTACAGATTTGTTACTTGATTGGACAAGAAATAGTACATCTTACCCATCAAAAAGTCTCCATATAAGAATAACAGCCATGAAGCAAAATTGAAAGAGAAAAAAAGAGAGATAACATTGTGAAGGAAATTTGTACTTGTGCTTCGCAGCGTACAACTGCCATCACACAGTCATTATGTTCCTCAATACTCAATGGAGGAAACAAAAAGTGCCTACGAGCATATAGCTGCATCATATAAGAAACAATGGAATAAAATATGTGGCAAGGTTAACTATGCTTCAGAAAAAACAGAAATTGTGGTAGCAAACGTAAAATGTATATACCATGTATCATGTAAGCATCTGTTCAAAAATATGCAATCTCCTAATCATCTAAACAAGCCATCAACCGATATATCTGCCCATATGTTAATGAGTTCATCATGCCTTGATGCCTTGATGCCTTGTGCTTTGCCAACGTTATGAATTCTATTTTTTTTTACCAACAGGTCATGCCATTAATGTGTGATTCAGTTTTGTACCCACCAGCACAATAAACATAAACCTCTTATGATGCCAAAAGAAGGTGCAATGCAGCCCATTTACATGGATGTATACAAAAGGAGTGCCAAGAAGAGAATCAAAACCTAAAAATCAAAGGATCTGAAATTCAAAAATAAAAGGGGAGTGATGAACACATAATGGATTTGATTAGAAAGTGATGGTAATCTGAATAACATGACCACGCATCCATGAACAGTATGCCATGCATCTGCAAACATTCTTCCATTGCTTTTCTGATACAATCATGGAATAAAGCATAGATAGACAATTTTACAAGTGACAATACATCTTCATGGTTACCCTCCAAATTATGACTATCCTCTCACTATAGCAAAATGTAAATGCATATAATAACAATATCATCAAACACCTGCTAGGAATCTGAAGCTGAGCAACATATATGTTCAAAAATGGTGATTGAATGAAACAAACAAAATCAGAACACACCTCAAATATACTATCGCCAATATATGCCAAAGTTGCAGCATTAAATACTGATCGAGGCTTCTCCACTTTGGGCGGACTCGGCAGCCATCTCTCATATCCTAAATATGAATCATCCAATTGTTCTACAATTTCACATAAATTCCAATTAAACAAAGAAAAAAAATCCCAACTAAAAATGATAAAAATAAATAAATACTTCATTTCATCATCGCACTTGTTAGGAATGACAAATCATTAATCTGCATTGAGAAGTTAATAAGGAAATTTTGCAACGCAATACACGCATAAAAAGCATATTATATATGGTCCTACATACAGGTTTCCATTAATGCTCTATGGCCTATCATTTCCTTTCCTTGGTTATTTATCTGAGCAACTAACCAAAGCATAAAAAAGGACCAGAATAACAGAACATAGGCAATCCCAGGAAACCCATAAACACAAATAACAAGTCTTTTTTCTTATTTTGTCTGAATTGAAACGAATGCTCCTTATCCATTAACCACAAAACAATAAAAAAAATAAAAAATAGAAAAAAAACAAAGTCCTTCATTTCTTCCGCACATATATGACAGGGCTAGAGGACCAAGAGAAATGAGAGAGGACAAGGATGAAAGTAAGGAGTACCTTGAACCACAACAGTCTTGCGCTTGAGAAGCTCAGAAACGTTTTGAGCAGTTAAAGTAACAGTAGGTGAGGAAGTAGTTGCTGTGGGTGGCGTTGGTGGGGTGGGATTGGGTTTAGGATTGAGGTTTTTGAAGGGGTTTTTGGAGCATTGGGATTGTAAGATAGTCTTTGTTGGGTGTCCACTGAAGCAGCTCTTACTGTCACCCTTCTCGACACCATATCCATATTCATATTCATGGATACTGTTGTTGCCATTTGCTCCTTGTTTTTTCGGTTAACAGCTCAGAGCGTCATCGGGACTGGTAAATGGTAGCAGTCGTACGGCCTATAGGATAGGACATAGGAGTGTTCAGCTGTTGGGTTGGGTTTTGGGTTGCTTCTATTTGGGCTTTCTTTTGGTCGGGACATTCAAGCTTAAGCCGTTAAGGTTTAATGGCATCTTTCGTCCCTCGATTATTACAATTCTGGCATGTTAAGCCTGGTGGTTCCAGAAAAACGTAATTAGGTCTTTGAACTATTATAATCATAACAAATTTGGTCCTTTTCAATGTTGTTAAAAATGTTATTTTAAATGGGATGGGTAGAGACGACTACTAAAATCGTAGGATTTTACAAAGTATATAAAATCACCCATGAAATGGATAGAATAATCAATTTCAATCTTTCAGGACAATTATCATTTTTCTCTTTTAACGGTACTTTTTTAGGGCCAACAGGTTTGGGTGAGTTATTAACACTACAGGCCCAGAACACATGCTTCCTTGTAAAATCATAACCACGGCAAGTGAATCAGTAATTTCACCTATTTAATTTTCGAGCGTGTAACATGTAATACTCCCACTTAAGGCCTAGATAAATCAAGAATAGTATCGATATTTATTTATATTCTAATTACAATGAATATAACTCAACAAACCTTCTCACTTTAGCTTACGAAATTACTAATAAAAATGATAATTTTTGTAAGAGGTCTCTAATAAATAAGAAGTAATAAGTCTCTATTAATTAAAACTTAGGTATAAATATTTTTAAAAATTCCTCTAACACCAATTAATATTCCTACTATATGTATAGAAATATTAAATGTAAAAATTGAGTCAAAAACTCATGTACTTGGATTTCAATTTAATCATTTAAATTAAATACCTTAAATCAAGGTGAATAGTATCATGTCTCTTAATTTTCCCAAAATACCTTTAAAAAATCAAATTTAACTAAAATAAAAGATAATCAATGTGAAAATAATCAAATTAACTCATTAAGCTCAATTTTCATTATTTCTTTCAAAAATCCATTTAATTATAGCATAAGTAATTTAATTATATAACATTCATTATTTACTAACTCGTTAAATCTGAATTTATTGATATCATTTTAATATTTAATACTATATAAATTCCTTATGTTAGAATTTTCATTGATTAATTCAATTGAATATTTAATAAATTCAATGAGACATTTAATTAGAAAATCAACCATTCAAAATAATTTTTGGACTTATGAAATTTTGGTTCCCAATAAATTTAAACTTACCAAATAAACTATTCTATTAAATCCATTTATTCCTTATCTATTTTATTCTACTTAATCCTTTAACCATTAAAATCATTATTTCCTTACCAATTTTAATTCCTTGCTTCTTACAATTAAATCATTTAAGCTGTTAAATCATTTAACCACCTAGTTAATGGTTCCAATTAACTTTAATTGATTTTTTTACGTAACCTTTTAGTCTATTTAATATAATTCAATTAATTAAATAATCAATTGATTCTTTAAGCTATGTAATTGGACAACTCTAATCACACATATACCATCCAATATTTAAAGTACTTACATCATTATTTACATATCAAGCGTGCTTATCCTAGAACTAATATCTAAGTCTAAAACATTCCAAAGGTAAAGAAAAAGCTTCCTCACCCGTTATTGCTTATCAAGCACACTTTACGGCAAATCGATCCTCATCCTTGGCGACGATTATCCTCTCGATCTTTTTATCACACACACCATAGGCAAGGAGGTGAGCTAAACTAGTTTACAAGGAATTTTTTGAAGTGATCGAAAAGATCCCTACCGGCACCTTTGAAAGGACTAGAACCAAGCTCGAAATTAAGGAGATTCGAAAATGGTTGGAGCCTCGAAAGAGGAACTAATTAGAGCTAGAATAAACACACCCTATTGCCCACTCCGCTCTTTCTTTGACCACTCATTCTCGATTAGTTAGGAATATTCTTGCTTCTTGTTAATTCGGTAGGTGTAATCCATGTAATGTATGTAGTACTCGTATGCATGAAATGCATGTGATGCATTTGAAAATCGTTTTGTGTCTTTTGAAATTCATTTTCCTTTTCGAACGCATCCTATCAATTGTGCATATAATCGGCTATCTTTTAAAACATGCAATTTATGAAAAACTCATAAAAAGCACCGGACACCTTCCATTTTCCTCATTCTTTCCTTTCGAAAGAACAATATAAATGGCATTCCTTGTTATTCTCTTTCAAAAAGAATCCTTTTCCTTTTCCTTTTCCTCGCTAAAGGTTGATCACTCACTCCACGTAATAATGTCATTTCATTTTCCTTTTTCTTTTCCTCTTAAAGGTGTTTAGGCATTTTCCTTTGGAAAACATGTCCTTTTACTTTTCTTTCTTCAAAACCATGAACTATTTTTTTTTCATGATTATGATAGGCAAATGCATTTGAATGAGATACACTCATTTATTGTTTCCTCTTTCACACGTGCTTAACATATTAAGGTACATGTAACAATGTTTCAAACATAGCATGTACTAATTAAATAGACTAAAGCATGCACATTTAATATCCAAATAACATGTAATGTAATCAAATAATCATTTACATATTCTAAATTATCAAAGTAGACACAAAAACAATGAAGCATTCATAAACATCAATGGTTCCTTAAAAGCTCACTATGGTCGAATTATTCAAGCAATTCAACCAAAGTGTTTTCAACATATAATTATCTATTTTTCATGCCATTTCAACCTTTTAAACTTTAAAAACATCATTTAATTTTAAGTTACTCTTTTTTCCTCCTATTCCTTCACTTAGGTCGAATGTTACCTAATGGAAGACTAACTTCCATTTGATCATTTTACCTTAATTTTTTCATATTTAATCCTTTAATCAATCATTTGTTCCTCACTTATACATTAATCATGTCAATTACAACAATCAACCTAAATCTTTACTTTAGGCTGAAATAGTCATCAAAGTGACCAAATTTCAATTTTTCAATTCAACACCATAAAACACTCCTAGATCATTTCATTAAACACTTTGAATGCATTAACCATATAAACCATAAATTCCCTTATGACCTAGGATTTTAAGCCATCTTGTTCTAAAACAGGAACATTGTCAAAATTTACACTTCTCTTTTAATCAATCAATCAAACATAGCAATTACAATACTACAAACATAATTATAACATCAAGATCATCAAATTCAAATAACAACACCTTAACTCCAACACATATACCGTAAAACCACACTCATTCAAATATCAAATTAACATCAATTAAAAATCATAACATAAGTTGCTTATGGTATAATGATGATTATATTTACCTCGCTTGAAGTTTGTTTAAACCTCATCTTATTTTGCTTAGATTTCTTCTTCCTCCTACCAAGTCTAAATTTCGACCCAATTGAAGGATTTTCCTCCTCCTTTGCTTGATTTTATAAACCAATTATAAGGTGATTTTAGGATATCTAAAGGATGTCGAAGGTGGTTTGAATCTGTTGGTTTGATGATTTTCCTCTTAGGTTTTCTTGCTCTCTCGGGCGTAACCTTGAACATCCATTGTTTCTAGCCTTTCTTCCATCTTCTTCTTCCATATTTATAGCCAAGGTTTTTTCTTAAGATCAAGCCAAGCGTATCACACTTAGTTTGATCTTAAACCATGACAATTAATGGCTTATCTAGCATTTTTTTTTTCGTTCTTCTCTTTTCTTCCTTGTTTTCTCTTTAATTTTTGCTTGATTATTCTCTAGATATTTTCCTCTCGTTTCTCCTCCCTTTGCTCGACCTAACCAACCCCTTCTTTACCTTCCTTTTTTTTTAGATTATTCTTGCTGGAATTAACCTCCCCAAACCAACTAATTAATCCCTAAATCACTTGTATTTTATACTCTAGTCCCTAAACTTTTAACTCTTGCAATTGGTTCCTCCAATTTCGAGTCCGTAACTTCACAATTTTTCTCGATCTAGCCCTTATCTTAGGCCTTTTTAATAGTAATTAAAGTTTTTTTAATCATTGTAATCAAGTATCTAAACTTTTAATTGTTTCAATTATGTTCATAAGTTTTGTAATTACATCCCCGAGTTAAAGCATAACCATAAGAATTAATAGTACTAATATCTAATTCGATCCTTATTCATTTCATTAGCCTTCCATTATGATTATAATTGTATTTAATTTATCCTCAATACAAGTATAAACTTTCGGTCTACCTTATTTAAATATTTATTTGTTATTTAAGTAAAACATCCTTAAAGCTTATTTACATTTAAGGAGATTTTGGATCGAAGATATTACACAACATGTTGTTGACTTTATGCAACAAGGATTTGATAATAACGAGGCTTTGGGGATTTTTTTGACCGTAAATCATTATGCATTGGTCGCTTTAAAAATTCGATGAGCATATCCTTTTCTCATTTATATGTTCAAATCCTAATATAAATATTTAAATGAAATGGATAAAAGAATTAAACTTAAAGTGTTTTCTAAAATTTATTTGAATTGAAAAAACATTAATTTGACTTTTAATATGTTGATGTCCAAAACATAAAAATACCTCCGTCTCATTACCAAACACACACTCAATAGACTAAACTAGATCTTTGACCTGCTGTTATGCTTGCAAATTAGATAAAATATATGAAATCATATAGAAAAATTATTTCAGTTTAATAGTCCGTTTTATGATAAAAAATAATTATAATTTTTTAATAAAAAAATTTATGTTTAACTATTTCTTATTTGTGTTTTTAAATTTTAGAAATAAATAATAAAGGAAATAAATTGTTGATTTCATTAAAATTTTAACACCTAATTAACTTTTAGTTCTTTTAAAATTTTACACACCCAATATTATTAAGAAACAAAAATTAAAAAAAAATTCAATGTTTAGAAAAAAAAAAGGAGGCCGGTAGTTTCATTGTTCATGTGAACGAGTAAACAAACGGAAACTAAAAAAAAATTTCGGTGTTTAGAAGAAAAAAAAAGGAGGGCAAGCCGTTTACTTGTTCATACGAACGAGTAAATGAGTAAAAAAAAGTAGGGGAAAGAAGGCCAGCGGGTGTTGGTTAAAAAAATAAAAATGAAAACTTAAAAAAAAAGCAAAAGTATCTGTAGCAATGAATAATGATTAACAACTGTTCATTGCTATAGTGAAAAATGATTTTCCTTTGGTATATAAAAATACAATATAATATAATTTTAACACCTAATTAATTGTTGGTTCTTTAAAGATTTTAACACCTAATATTATTAAGAAACGAAAGTTAAAAAAATTTGATGTTTAGAAAAAAAAAAGGAGCCCAGCGATTTACTATTCATGTGAACATTAAACGGACGGAAATTAAAAAAAAAATTAGTGTTTAGAAAAAAAAAGGAGGGCAAGCCGTTTATTGTTCAAATGAATAGTAAATGGGTAAAAAAAAGGAGGGGAAAGAAGGCTAGCAAGTGTTGGCAAAAAAAAAAAAATAGAAAATGAAAACTTAAAAAAGAAGAAGAAGCCAAATTACTGTAGCAATGAACAACGATTAACACTGTTCATTGCTACGGTGAAAAATGGTTTTCCTTTGGTATATAAAAATATAATTGTAATATAATTTTAACATCCAATTAATTGTTGGTTCTCTTAAAATTTTAACACCCAATATTATTAAGAAATAAAAATTAAAAAAATTAAATGTTTAGAAAAAAAAGAGGCCAGTCGTTTATTATTCATGTGAATAGTAAATAGACAGAATTAAAAAAAAATTCAATGTTTAGAGAAAAAAAAAAAAGAGGACAAGTCGTTTACTGTTCAAATGAACAATAAATAGTTAAAAAAATAAGGAGAGGAAAGAAGATCAGCCGAGTTGCTTCCATTTTTTTATCAAAAAAAAAAAAAAAATAACACTAACTATAGGCTCAGCTAAAATAACAGTGACTGTCTGTTTAAACCCTAAAATTCAAAACCAAAACCATCAAGAAAGAGAAAAAAAAGAAAACTGTTCGTTCATTCTCTGTTAAATTGTAATTACAAAAGTCCGTGATTATCTTACCGGGAGCAGCATCATGAGCCGATACGACAGCCGTTCCGGCGACCCCACTTCTTACCGTGACCGGAGAAGGTAATACCTAAGCAAACACGTAATTTCCATGTGTTTATACAGCAACGAACAATCCATTAACGAGAAATTTTATTTTTAGTAGCCCAATATCTAAAAGAGTTCATTAACATTGAATCCTAGCAATGGGTTTTTGCAATTTTATGTTTTAGAGCGGAATTCATATTTTTATTTTGTACCGTCGTCCCCTTTTTCCACGATTGCTACTGCTTCATTTTTTTGAATTTTGGGGTTAATGGTGGATTAGGATTGTCTTGCTTTTTCATTTTTACTTCATTTCTGTGAGTTTTGTGTTTCTTTAGTGATTCAGGTTTCGGAGGTGCTTCCAGTTATGGTGGTGGCTCCAATCGGTCGTCATCTGAGAGGAGGGATTATGGTCGTGGTGACTCGCCAAGGAAGTCGGATTTAGATGGGTTGGCTCCATTTGAGAAGAATTTTTATGTGGAGTCACCGTCAGTGGCGGCAATGTCAGAGAGGGAGGTTGAGGAGTATAGGCAACGGAGAGAAATAACTGTAGAGGGCCGTGATGTTCCAAAGCCTGTCAAGAATTTTCGCGATGTGGGGTTTCCAGGTAACGTGTATCAAATTTTGTGACAATCCATTGGTTTTGAGTTTTGTTGGAGCTTAGAATTCATTGCTATATGTTTATGTGCATTGTTGTTTTAGAGGTTCAATCTGGTAGGTAGTCGATAGATTGCTTGGTTTGAAATGTTGATAAAAGGGTTTTTTCCTCATGGTAGTGGAACAGTTGTATCACAGATGGTGCTCTCATTGTAACTAAACCCTAGGATAGTAATGCTTGTGGGAGGATTGGTTCCATGAGTTTTAATTTTGTCAATCAGCCTATCCTGAGAAATGCAATTACGGATGTTATTTTACTACTTGTTTAACTTAGATCGGATCATCTATGTGGGTAATCAGCCTATCCTGAGCAATGCAATTACGGATGTTATTTTACTACTTGTTTAACTTAGATCGGATCATCATGTGGGTAGAGGTACTGGTTCAAATTTCCTAAACTGATTGGTAGATAGGATAGGAAATTATGGATTCTGTTCAATGATTCATTCTTTAGAAAACTTTAATTTACTACTCCTAACTGGTACATGTAGGATTTGAAATGAACTTAAAGTGTTGACATTTAAATCATTGATTAGGATTAGAATTGTTGTAGAATCCAACCGTTTCTCATGCATATAGATAGAAGAGGGAATATGTAGATCGATGGTTGCATTTCTTGGAGTGAACTTTTCTTGGCATGTTCTTTAAGATTTGATTTGCTATCTCTTATAGAGACGGGATTAGGGTGCCATGCTGATAAATGCTTTTGCGGCCCAATGACTAATCAGAGTAGTACTAAGATGTAGTTTAATATAATGCTTCCTAGCTAATTAATTTGGTAGTGAAACTATTTATTAGTTGGTCAAATTACTTAGCGATGTGAGATTACATTCTGTTCACAGCTACTGTAGGAGGGGCAGGGTTACTCAACAGAGTGTAGCCCAACTATTAGACCTCTTTCTCCCACAACCTCCTTCCCCTCTCCAAAAAGAGAAGGGGTGGGGGTTGGTGGGCAGATTAGGACAGAAAACTTGTAAGTGGAGATTTCAGATTAGAAAGTGGTTGGATGAACCCCACAATTCAACCTGCAACACTTAATTAACAAGGATAGGCTATTTTTTTGGTTGTGTTCAACTATCGATTTTTACGTCAATTAAGTTCATTGAAATGGATAACCTTTATCTGGAAAATTCTATAAATGGATAACGATTATTTGGTATTAAACTCTATATAATCCATTTAGTTTGCTCCAGATTATGTTCTGCAAGAAATTTCAAAAGCTGGGTTTACCGAACCTACACCTATACAAGCTCAAGGATGGCCAATGGCTTTGAAGGGCCGTGATCTCATTGGTATTGCTGAAACAGGATCTGGGAAGACTCTTGCTTACCTATTGCCTGCAATTGTCCATGTTAATGCCCAGCCATTTTTAGGTAAAAGTGTAATTTACTAGCTTTTGAAGCTTCTCAATATCATTTTACGTGCCTCCATATGTTTTTTGATTGCGGTTTTGGCTTAAGTTTGGGCTTGTTCTCTATGTCCCAGCTCCTGGAGATGGGCCTATCGTGTTAGTTTTAGCTCCAACACGTGAACTTGCCGTTCAGATACAACAAGAAGCTGCAAAATTTGGTGCATCATCAAGAATTAAAAATACATGTGTATATGGTGGGGTTCCAAAGGGACCTCAGGTGCGTGACCTCCAGAAAGGTATGTGGTGGTCAACTTTGGATGTCATTACTTCTGCACTATTTTATGACACAAACTTAGAGAAATTTTATAATACTCTAGGAGCAACTAATATACATGTACAGTAGTTACTTCATGGGCTCACTTTTGAGAAGAGAGATGGACACATAAAAAAAAAAAAAGAATCACAGCCGGACTTACCAAAAGTGATAAGAAGATTTTTACGTTGGTTCAATTTTTTTTATCTTCTCTCTCCTGTTTCTCTCTCATTTTTGTTTCTATCTCTCTCTATGGAGTAACTTACACTAGTTACTCTTTGAGTATTATAAAACTTTTCCACAAACTTATTCATGGGCTTTGAGCATAAGAATTAAGATAACTTTTCTATTTATTAGCAGTTTAGAACTTCACAAAATAGTGTATCTCTATTACACTTATCTTTGTTGAGTTTTTATTATGTTATGGTGTTTTTGGCTTAGGTGTTGAAATTATCATTGCTACACCGGGAAGGTTGATTGATATGTTGGAGTCACATCATACAAATTTGCGAAGGGTTACTTATCTGGTTTTGGATGAAGCAGATAGGATGCTAGACATGGGATTTGAACCTCAGATACGAAAAATTGTTTCTCAGGTCTTTGTTCTTTACCTTATCTTTTTTTCTTTGTTAGAAAATCAGTAATTTGCGTAAAGCACTGTGAAGGTAAATATCTTTTCATAAAAGTTCTGCAAAACTACTTGCATGGATATGTTTGTTAAGTCCATTCCTCTTTTGCCTCCCCCATTCATGGTTTGCTTAGTAATGCTGTTGCCATTAAGTTTGAATTCTTCCAAAGTTGGAAATGGTTAGCAGATGTCTTATAAAGCCACATGGAAGAACTGGACTTATCGGTTTCTAATTTTGGTTTAAAATTTTAACTGCGGCCTAATGTTATAACTAGTCGAATGGTTGGAAGCTGTTTAATCCCTTGATATACTGTTTGTTTTTTATTTTATTTTATTTCTTGATGAGGTAAGTGTACCATGTGCAACTGAAAGAGAAACATGATTGTCCTATGATTAGCTCAAGAACCGGCAAGATTTATGTTTTTATAATGCTGATTTTATAGGAAGTTGAATTTGGAGGTCATCTTTTCTTAGTTTTGTTACCAATGGTTTGAAAAAAAAAAAACATGAATGGGTGGAAATATACTTGGAGTTTAACCTGGTTATACTTTACTCTCCAGTTGATTACATAGCTTCACTGGCCTAGTATTATCTAGAAAGTGCAACCTACCAAACAGACAAATGTTAATAAACGTGTAGCTTTAAGATTGATTGGCACTCTCAGTAGTTACTACCCTTCTCTTTTTATGCACATGTGCACACCTTTTCTAGTTAGTTCTATCCTTGAGATTGTTTTAAATTAACCTTCATTTTTATGCAGATTCGACCAGATCGTCAAACTTTGTACTGGAGTGCAACTTGGCCTAAAGAGGTTGAACAACTGGCAAGGCAGTCCCTTTACAATCCATACAAAGTAAGATATCTCTCCTATGCAGGCATAATATCATCTGCAAATGGTTTTGTGAAATTTGATGAACCCCCTTGGTTTTGTAAAATTACAAGGATTAGCCAAATGTTTGAACACTTGACAAACTCTCTCAACATTGTATGAAATGTGACAGATATCCAAATGACCAACTGCCATCATAAAACTAATAAAAGTTGATAATGTCACCAAAAACATTCATCCCAGGAACAGCATTTGTTATTAAGGATAAAATATCTTATACCAAAATGCCCTCCTCATTAGCATTTTGATCAAAATAATCCAATCTTTTACTACTCTCTCCCTCCCTCCCTTGAGAACACAGAGCAGGGTATTTGTATTGGGGATTACATCAGAGGCTTTGATTGCATGAATGAAATTGCCAAACCGTTCCATGCCTCACGTTCCCAGGCCAAAGGAACCACCACCACTACCAACCCAATAAGTTCCCAAGTGCATTATTCCCTACAAAGCCACCTCAGAACCCACAGTCTTATGCTACCTTATAGTCAAGGAACCTGCAACCGTCTCATTATCCTAGGATCACATACAAATTCCAGCAACATTGATAACTGATGATTCAAATGAGCTGTTGCCTACCAAGAGCTAGATGAGCATACCTATTTTTGTATTTCGATCTTGGTGAGTATTGCTGTCTCAAACAAGGCTGGGAACATCATTAATGCGCACATTTGCCTTATATAGCTTGAATTCAAGTGCAACTTTGGAAGCTTATGTGGTGTTTTTTGTTTCTTCAATTCTCATTTTTGCTATCAGGCTTGTTAACGAGTTAGATTGGTAAAGATAAAAATAATTTGACATAATAGAGTTGATTTCGATTGGAAATTAGTGTTATTCATGTTATAATAACGTTAATCTTCCAAGTTAATTTTTTTTTTTGGGTTAGTTTTACTCATTTTGGGTTATTTAATATGGTTTGATTATCTTACTTTAGTTATGTTTCAAAGTTAGATATGGGTGCTTATGTCATTTAAACCAACTTAAAAAGTTAAGATTCTCAGCCAATGTTCATCTGACGACCAAAAAGTTGCCAGATACAGCATCCCATTGCTTAATATTCTGTAACTTATAGTTTTTTTTTTTTTTTTTTTTGTTTCAAATCTTCTTATGAACTGTCCAGTAACATTGTGATCATGTAATTGATGGTATTGCCTGAGGTCTTTGCCTCATCTGGATTTTCAAGTTAGTATTGTTGAGGCACAATTGTTTAGTTGGCTCTCCACTTGGATATTGTGCAGGTGATAATAGGATCTCCAGATTTAAAAGCTAATCATGCAATACGTCAACATGTGGACATTGTTTCGGAGAATCAGAAATATAACAAGTATGATGTTTTTTGTTTGTCTTATTGCTTGTTTTTTGTTCTTTCTGCTGTTATACATCACATGGGATCTGTTACCTATCTTTCTTCACATTCCAGATTGGTGAAGTTGCTGGAAGATATCATGGATGGTAGTCGTATTTTGATTTTTATGGATACCAAGAAAGGTTGTGATCAGATCACTCGGCAGCTTCGCATGGATGGTTGGCCTGCTCTTTCAATTCACGGGGATAAAAGTCAAGCAGAAAGAGACTGGGTCCTCTCAGAGTTCAAAGCTGGCAAGAGTCCTATAATGACTGCAACAGATGTTGCAGCTCGTGGATTAGGTACCACACACACACACACACACACACACACACACACACATGTCTTACTGATGCTACAGTGCTTTGGTTCTTTACCTTGCTCTTGGCCCCTTGTTTCAGTTGTTACCTGGCTGTCTGTGATTTTTATAATTATTTTCTGAATGTCACCGTATCCCCTTCATAGGAGAATTTTTATCATTTGTACAAAGAATAATCGTCTTTCTGTAGTTGCTGCCGTCATTCAAGCCTGCCTTTATCTATGTTTGATAACATTATCCCCTCCTCTACCGGCAAACACTTTCTGATACTTTTTGTTTTGCCTTTTCTGTCCACCTCAATTTTATATCTGCAAGACAAAGTTACTCTCTTCAATTTCTGACAGACTTTCTGAATAAATCATTTGCAGCTTTGTAAGTGCTTTGCCACCATTCATGTTCTTGTTGCCATTGTTCTCACCTGAAATTTAGTTACAGAATATGAGCCTTGTTCATGGATACACCCTCTATAGAACTTGGACTATGTAGTCTGATGGAGTTTGTAACTTTAGTATCCCCTCACTATCTATTGTATAGTCTTTTGTGAATCTAAAATTCGGCGCTCTGTATGGTCTTTTGCGGTTCAATGTAATGGGGATCTTCGCATTTAAATCACTGCTCTGTACATTTTGTTTTTCAAGAAGATTCTTTCCTCGTCAGCTTCATTAATTGTTTTTCTTTTTGTCATCTTCTTTTGGTGTTGGCTTATTGTGATTTGTCTGGCAAGCAATCAGCTCTTAATCTTTCCTTTTCATTTGTTGGAGGTTGTAGGGGAGGGGAGTAGTTCATCTGGCCCCATAGTTTGATTGAATTTATGTCTTTTCTTTAAGATTTTTTTTGGGGGCACTGATCTGTGTTTGGGCTTGCTAGGGAGCTGTACATGGGTTCTTAGGTTTTTTACCTCTGTAAAATTTTTAAAAGGGAGGATCATTTCTTGTCTTGGCTTCCTCAGTATCTGGATTCCTTATTGTTTTGTTTTGGTGGCAGATGTGAAGGATGTTAAATATGTGATCAATTATGACTTCCCTGGGTCCCTTGAGGATTATGTTCACCGCATTGGTCGGACAGGAAGGGCAGGAGCAAAAGGAACGGCTTACACTTTCTTCACAGCTGGAAATGCCAGATTTGCTAAAGAACTTGTTGCCATACTCGAGGAAGCTGGACAGAAGGTCAGTCCGGAATTGACAGCAATGGCTCGTGGTGCACCTCCTCCACTATCTGGTTAGTTACCTGGAGTCTTTTGTGGCTGCCATGCACTTACACAGGAAAACACACAGAATTTGGAGAGGGGTGGGGGTTGATTACAATCTTAATAGTCTAATCACTCTAGGGATATGTTTTGAGGATATTTTCCCTTTTCTAGCACGGGGCAGGGGTGAGAATATTCTGGATTGTTTTGGGTAACCTGATTCTATGGACATTGAAAGCTCTGATTCGTTTAGATAGGAATTTAAGGTCAGAATCCATAATCATAAATAGGCCACTTTAAAACACACGAGTGATGGCTGCCTTTGGAGTCTTTGAACACTATCCTTGGCCAAAGTCCTGAATTCTTAATCACTCCAGAGTTCATTGAAATTTATAAGAGCCATAGGTTTAATGTGCCAATGGTTTAAGGATTTGATTTCTCCTTTTTCTATAACAGATGTTGATTTTTGTGCTGGCTTCCTGCATTCACTGGGAATGAACTTATTGTAGAGTGATTAGCTGACCAAAGAAACCGATTTATGTGGCTTCTTTGTGCAGTTACAACTATTAGCGTGTGTAATGTTCTTATTTTCTAAAGCTCTATTTTGTTTCTCTATCTCACCAGGTAACGGGGGTTTCCGAGATCGTGGGAGGGGTTACAGTGGCGGCCGACCTTGGAGCTAATTAGTGAAGGTGGGTGGTGAGCTTGATGATCAGTAGTATCAAAAGGGAAAACTTGTATGACTAGAGCAAAGAGGGCTAGATTTCTTTTTCCAGATTTGGATTGCTTCTCGTGGCTGCCTTTTACATAATTTGTTTAGCTGCTTACAAATATGAAGGCAGTTAGCGATGTAAGATTACTACATAAATCACGCCCAAAGAATGTTGCTTCTGTACTATAGTGTTGAAAGTTGAATGGCTTCACTCATTAGTTCCAAGTTACCACACCACTGTGTCAATATCCTCTATTTACCTTCAACAAATAAAATTTAAGTTTATTCTAAATCCAAAAACTCAGAATTCGAAATTGTTGCATTGTGGAATTAATACATCAAGAAGGCAAAAGCAAAGAAGATCGATGAACTTTGCAGACGCCCTGATGAAGGCAGGCATCTTTTTTTTAATGGCTTAAATGTCAGATCAATACCTACATCATCTGAACTGCTCTCTTTTGAAAGGTTCTGAAACGATTCTTGAAATTCTCAAACTGGCTGCTGCATGATTTATGCATAGCAGCAACATCTTTAATATTTGATTGATTCTACAACTTGGTTCTGACTGCGGAGCTCAAATTTTCCTCTTCTCCTCTAACTCTAAGAAAATGCGTTTTGCTTGGGGTTTTTCTTCCTCCCCCACAAAGCAAAGATGTGAGGGAATCTTAATGGACTCAACCATCCTATAACTTGACAAATAAAATAGGGTTATTCTCACCTTAGTTTTCTCATTTAAACCAATATTTCAAGGGTTAATTTGACAAAAATCATAATTAGCGCAACCAATCATTTAAAAAAAATTGAAGAAGAAGAGGATAAGCATAAAGTGGCAGAAGAAGGAAAAGACAGAGGAACCCCAACAAGGAAAGGAATAGGACTAGAAGAAACATACTTGTTTTCAATTTTCATTCCCTGTCCTGATTGAGCATTAAGAGAAGGAAGAAAGAAAAATGAACGTAGAAGGAGGAAGTCCAAAGCTCTTCAAGAACAAACCCAAGAAAGGTGACGAAATATTTCCTTTTCTTTTTGTTTTATTGTATTGTATTGTATTGAATCGTTTGGGTCTTTGACTTTCGATTTATTTGTTTGTTGCAAAAACAACAACAGCGCAACTAAAAGCAAAGGATTTATCTTCACCACCACCACCACCACAACCAACAACAGGGACATCATCATCAGCTGAAGCTGCTGCAGCGGCATCATACAAAATGGGGTCGACTGCACCACCACCACCACCTCCACCTCCTCAGCCTCCAAAGGAGTCCTTTGCTAGGCGTTACAAGTTCCTTTGGCCCCTACTCTTGACTGTCAATCTCGCTGTTGGAGGTGCTCACTTTTTTTGTCTTGTCAATTCTAATATTTGATTTTCGGATTTGCTGACTGGGTTTTTTGTATTTTCCCATTTTAATCTCTCTAGGTGGTTTGTCTCTTGGTTTTATTCTTGGGTTGGATAATTTCTATCTTTCCCGTTACTAAAAGCTTTTGGGAAGAAAAATATTTATATACTACAATTTTTTACTGTCTCTATTCTTGAAACGGCTCTTTGAATCGTCTTTCTTGAATAGTTTGTCGATGGTTTCTTGTAAATCAGGTTTTAGGGATTTAGAATAATTGTATTGCATTTCAATAGTTGCTTGTCTGAGAGGAAAATTTCTGATTGATGGATTTTAATGTGTCTTGCTGAGAATTGGGAATGGTTCGGCTGTCAGGCTGAGTAATGACTTAGCAATCGTGGAATTGAGGGTTTTGCAGCTGCTACTGTTAGTTATGCAATGTTTGATCACTACAGCTCTGGCACATTACCTGTGTGCTTTGCCTATCCTAGCTTTTGAGCTAGGAATACCCGTATTATGATTTCTGATGACAATAGGAAGTTGATATATGGCAATAGAGTTTCTTAGATGCTTGAGTGCGACTTGGATATTTGACTTTGAGCAGTTGCATTTCTTTTATTTGGGTGGGTGCTGAAACATCAGTATGTCAATGGTGCAGTGTTTAATCCTGCTGAATAGAGAATTAGTTCATTGCATTGATGAGTCTGATGTTGCATTAAAAAATGGTTTTCCATGGTGGCCTTCCCTCTCCCTCCAAAGTGATATTCTATGATGATATGCCATCACCATTTGTATTAGCTTGCAACTGAATTTCTTGTAGATCATTCAAAAAAAAAAAAAAGAAAGAAAGGATTCTGGAGGCTTCTCAGAGTTATAAATTTGTACCAACTAGACCATTCAATTGTGAACACCTATGCAACACTTGCTCATCATTTGAGTTATGCATGCATGTATTATGCAAACGATCATCTAATTCCTACCTGTTGAGACTCTTACACATCCTTCAGGTCTCAAATAACTTAAAAACTGTCAAATAGCTTTGTTAATTGAAAGTTTCTATTTTCTAGATGAGCTTTTATGAAATAAAATCCAGATATTGGCAATTAAATTGTCTAAGTGTTGGATGAAATTATTTGAACACTTTTTTTGTTGTTTGGTTTACAACCAATAACATCTACTTATAATGGTCAACAAATACAATTCACAGGCTTAGTTGCTGTTACTGCTTACTGTCACTAGCTAATTTCAGCTACTGGGTTCTGGTGCAGGTGGAAAATAATTTAAATTTGATTAACTGTTAGGCAAAAGTGCTGGAAAGAAATTTTTTTTCCTGCTTTCTGGGGTCCTGCAAATCATGTGCACTAGTCTTTTCTGGCATATATTTCCTTTCAGTTTCCTGATTCTTGCCCAGTTTGTTTCTTGTGGTTTATGATATTAATTGATGCTAGAATGAAATTTAACAAGGTGATGGAAGGATCAAAAGAGCATGCTGTGCACCTATTCTTTTCATCAGAAATAGGAAACTATAGATAATTCTCTTATTGCTGAAATTTTTATTTGGCTTCTTTGTGATTTTCTAATTCTTTTATAATTATATCAATTACAAATGATTTGTCCAATTATGGCTCAGAAAGTATTTTGTTACTTCAGAGAAGAAAAATGCATTATTCTAATTGTAACAGGCCATTTTAAGTGATTATGCACTGTCAAGTATATTTACATATTTCATTCTCTTATATCTTTGTAACTTAACTAATTGATCGATAATTGTGATATTTTTAGGTTTATGAATTGTTGAGTGTTTGTATCATTCATTGTAAACTTTATCTCATCAATTGGTAAACTTGAAAACACCTAGAACTGCAGTATCTTCAAGTAACCATAGATATGGCCTCACTGACTCTCTACTTTCACTGCTATTATCTATAGGTGATGCCTGGAAATTCTAGCTGCAATGGCACATGGGATTTTTTTTTCCTATTCCATTCGACTTTAGCATATTTATCAGTTCTTTTTGGAAGGTCAAACTAATGAGTTTGTTTAGATGTTACACATTACTTATAAATTTTTTACGCACCCGTCTTGGACTTGACATGAATGGGTGTAGATATTTTGTGTGTTACTGTGATGGTTGAACACCAATTGGGTGAATTCAGCAAGGTAAGGTAGTCCAATCAAATTTATGTACGTTGCCTAGTGAATTATCCACCAGGTTGGAGATGCCGTGTTACTGCTATATTTCATATTTCACATGTGTTTTTTTGATGTTTCCATGATTCTAGCATGATTTTCTTTTCATCTTATAGGTAATAAATGCATATACATCCTTTCTGCACACTAGTGCTGAATTCTCAAACCCACCTTGGATATAAGTATTTGGAGCCATGTGATTAATGTTCTCTGTTGATAGTTTTTTCTTGGTTTATATTCTGTTGAAATTTCAAAGCCTCCAGATTTGAGTCTCCTTTTAGTGCAGTTGCTTGAAGAGTTTACTTTTTGCTAATGTGTGTGTGTGCGTGCGTGCGCCTTTAATGAGTGACAAAATATGATTTTTTTTTCTTCTATTAAAGATCGAGAAAAATCACATGATAGATTCTAAAGCTCTGTTCTTAAATTGTTGTCTGTCATGTGTATTATCTGACAGCATTACTAGCAATGCTTTGACATTTGATATGATTAACTGCATATAGTTACAGAACTTGTCATCAACTACGAAGCAGTAGGAGGCAGTGCATTAGCTTCTCTCATGGGAATTCCTTTCGATGCAAACTTCATGGATGCCTTGGGAGTATCATTAGATGCAATGCTACATCAAGCAGTGGAGAGTATAGAGTGATTATTTTCCATGGGAGCATTACAATGATGGCGGATGAGTGAAATCATCTTTTACATGCCTTCAACTCTCTCATCTAAATTAGTGTGCAGCTTTAGTTTGGTGATCTGTTCTGTATCCATGGTAGTGTCTATTTTTGATGTAAATACTTCTACATGTATTATATGGTTACTAGCAGCAATGTTTGGTGCTGCTTTTCTGTTTAAATGTTAAATTTTTGGGATGGGGCTGTCGTGAAGTTTAAATTTCCAATGAAATTGCTTGATTAGTAGTTCTCAGGATCGTACTTTTCTTTTCTTTGTCTGACATTGAAGTAATTTGTGCAGCTTACTTATTCATGAGAACGAAGAAAAAGGATACAGACATAGAGGAAGAGGTTTCAAGCAACGTTCCCTCCACTTCAGTTTCATCCTCTCCTAGTACAACTGCTCCAGTTTCTGAGGAACCCATACCATTACCTACTGTTTCTCAAGTTGTGAAGCTGCGTGAACCTATTCCAGAGAATCAGCAGCGTGAACTATTCAAGTGGATTTTGGAAGAAAAAAGGAAAGTCAAACCAAAAGATTCAGAAGAGAAAAAGCGCATTGATGAAGAGAAAGCTATTCTCAAACAATTCATTCGAGCAAAATCCATCCCGAGCATCTAGTCAGTGATACTTCTCTCCCAATTTAGATCAGTAGGAATGTATTTGTCTTGTTGGTTATTGACTTTTGTGCAAAGAAAAGAAATCTTGGGTTTCAACCACCAGGTAGCAGGTGGTTCATGTAAAAAGATGCTGAAACATAGGACTGTCCTGAAATCATCCTCCTTTGAATCCATTTTGGATGGACCATAACTGGGTGATGGCCATTTTATCGGTTATGATTTTATAATTTTGCCATTGCTATCAGCATGCTGAATGCCGATGCATTAACAGTTCTAATTGTTCCCCTTCTAGATGAATTTTCTGCAGATTTGATCATCGTTTCTCGTCTTGACATGGTGGTGGTGTTCGGGTGAGTTATGTCATCTGATGGAAGATTCTCGTTGGCCGCAAGCTAGCTTTTCTGCGGTTGCTTCTGTACATTCAATCATATGATCAATTATACACTCCATGTAACTTTATAGTCAGACATGCACTTACTTACATGGGGATGCAGGGGTGAACCCATTATTGTGTGGAAACCTTAGGTATAATAATACCTGCATTAGCTTCGGGTCCAGCAGCCAAATGCCCCCACTTCCCCATAATATGTATAAAGCAATCACCTGTGAGAAATTCTCTTGCGTTTTTTATCCTGTGCGATATTCTAAATTCTAAGATCCAAACTAATTGTTAGCTGTCTTGTTGGACAAATAAAATGAAGATAACTATCTAGATAGTTTTTTGTATACAGAATTATTTGAATCCAAGGCCACTCAAACGATTAGAGTTTATTTCATTCAAACCAACCTTTTTAGATCTTGTTTTCTTTTCTTTGATCAACTTTTATGTAGTTTTTGGGTTTTTTAATATTCCTTCCACGTTACTTCTCATTACAACAGTTTGTCGAAGTGCGAAGCTAATCCTGGGATGAGAGAACTCACTCCTTGCTGTCACTTTTGTCATATTAGTATCTGCTAGCTGATATCATTTTCAGTAAAAGGTAGCCATGGATTTCGTTTCATTTGCTGTGCAGTGTTACTTGGGAATTCAAAAAATGGAGCATATTCTGCGATTTATTAAAAATTGAAGAAGAAGAGATTCACATGGTGACATGGGTCTAATTGAAAGCATGCACAAATTCCAAAGAGGATGTGGACGGATACACCCTAGATAATAATAATAATAATATGAATATGAATATGAATATCCAACTCTAAGAGGGTACCCCAAGCATTGCAAAGTTCCAAAATCAAACCGACTGCAACTACCAAATAAGATTAGCTTCCCAACCTACAAATTATTTCCTTTCCTCTCCTCTCCTCTGAGTACCATCTCATGCAATATATATATAACCTCCAAAAAACTCCAAGCTTTTTAAAAGAATTGATGAATGTATCCAATATATTCTCTAAGATTCTGAATAGAATTTTGAAACTTTTAAAAATGAAACTAACTATCAACCAATGAAACGAGAGAGAGAGAGAGAGAGAGCCAATGCAATTATATAAATATAATGACAGGATACTTAATGATGAGTTAGGTAGTTTGAAGGAGGTAAAGAGAAAGGAAAGGAATGGAGCTTAACAATAAATTACATGTGGAATCAAGAAATGGGCCAACTTAGAATTCCATAATCCATATTATTTGATCAACAGTCAAAGAGAGAGATTTTGAAAGTTAAAAAAGGCAGATTAATTTATACACCCTTGCCCCAAAAGGCATGGCTTTCTGTATTTTAGACATTATTATTAACTATATATATCAACTCTTAAAAATTATGAATGACACACAAATAAATTTGAGGGCAATAATGATACACCGGTTGCTTTGTTTAAATTAACACAGTAGCTAAGAAGGGTTGAAGGGGGGCTGGTTCGACATAAACAAGAGTATTTTTGGTAAAGAGAGAGATGTCATCACATGTGCTCTCTCTCTCTCTCTCTCTTTCCCATATAAAATGAAACAGAGGATGGGAATGAAAGTAACACATGAGGGGCTGGGTTGGGCTATACATATATATTTGTGGATTGGGTGATAATTTCAGAGCAGAGAGAGAGAGAGGGGACAAAAGTTGAAGGAAATTTAGACAATGATATTGATGATGAGGAGGATGATGATGATGATGAATGTGGTTGGATTTATTGAGCCTCACATGAATGCACGAGGACACCAGCTGCGCCTGCAAAGAAGGGACGCCCCAAGCCACTGTGCCCACGAGACCATTATGGACTTAGTGGGGACTCTCTCTCTCTCTCTCTCTCTCTCATATATATACATATATATATATATATATATATATATATTCAATCCTCGATAATCATAATTTGATCAATGCATGCTACCGTATAATTGTGACCCGTGACCAATTAAAGGATTATGTTGAGAAAAAATGACAAAAGTGTTTTAAACATGCCTCTCTCCATATATAGGAAAGATGTTTCTAAACTAATCTTGACGAATCTTGAAATTAATTTTTTTTTAAAATGATTAAAGATATTTCGTAACGCATGACTTTGAGTATTTTGAGAATAAATTTTTATAATTGTTGAACATAAAAATCGAATCCAAAATCTATTTTATAAGTTAATGTTTGTTTATCAGTGGATTATTATTTTATTGATACATTTTTATATATTTTAATAAAATTATTCATAAAATAACTTAATTCAAATAAGGTCAAATAAAAAATTAACCAAAACCCCAATTAAAGCTAGAAGCAAGAATACAATTACGCTCGTAAATACTCATCGTTATAATATAAAATTAACAAATAGTTAACGAAACAAACGAAGGTATTATGACAATAAAATCTTGAAGTATGACTTCCTTTTAGACGAAGCATCTTTTAGGTACGCTTTGGCTAAAGAAGCCAATACTAGCTAGGTAGGTAGTAGAGGTAATAAGTTATCACATGCATCACCCTATAACACAAATGGAGAAAACAAATATTCCACCATCTTACTTGCGCACATCAAGTTTACTTCCAACCTTATTCTCTCTCTTTCTCTGCCCCACGCGTGCACGTACACATTCATCTCATATATTTTCTTTACAAATACTGACTCATCATCCTCTCATATAAATTATATATACTCATCACCATAATTAGGAAACCGTATTTAAGCAAAGCAAAGAAAGAGAAAGAGAGAGAGAGGGAGAGGGAGAGGGAGAGAGAGAGAGAGAGAGAGAGAGAGAGAGAGCTCTGTAGGAATAGGATACGAGTGTGCAATTAAGTTAATATTAGGAATAAGATGGACAATTTATTGTGGATTGTTTTAGCAATCTTGCTGTCCAGTACAAGCATAATATTTGTGTACAGGAACAGCAGCTGGTTTAGTAGTAGTAGTAGCGGTAGTATTGTTATGACGATGATGATGATGATCAGATCATCATCAAAGTACAAAACCCCACTTCCTTTAGGCACTCTTGGATGGCCCTTTATCGGTGAAACCATCGACTTCGTTTCCTGTGCTTACTCAGACCGCCCTGAAAGCTTCATGGACAAACGTCGTCGCATGTAAGTAGCAGCAGCAGCAGCAGCAGCAGTACTAGTTAAGCATACATGTATTAGCCCTAGATATAACATCCAAATCAATACATGGTTTTTTGTTATCATTTTCATTAAATTTTTTTAGGTGTATATATATATATATATATATAAGCTTAAGTTTGGTTGCTGTATCTTGTCAGATGATTAGATGAGATTAGTCTGTGTTTAATCTGTGATTAGTAAGTGATTATATCATATGTCAGGTTTAATGCTTGAGAAGAGGGTTATAATTACTTGTTAACCACAAAATTAACTTTGTAGCTAGCTAGTATGTACTAGAAGTTTACTTTATTTTCCTTTTTTTTTTTTGTAGGTATGGGAAGGTGTTTAAGTCACATATATTTGGAAGTCGGACTATAGTATCAACAGATGCAGAAGTGAGCAAATTTATACTACAAAGTGATGCAAAGGTGTTCGTTCCTTCTTACCCGAAATCTCTCACTGAGTTGATGGGGAAATCTTCCATCTTGCTCATCAATGGGAGCTTACAAAGGAGAATTCATGGTCTCATAGGTGCCTTCTTCAAGTCCCCTCATCTCAAAGCTCAAATCACTCGAGACATGCAAAGTTATGTTCAAGAATCAATGGAGAAATGGAGAGAAGACCAGCCCATTTACATACAAGATGAATCCAAGAATGTTAGTCCCCTACCTCCCCTCAAACACTCTCTCTCTCTCTCTCTCTCTCTCCCTTCTCTCTCTGCGTGTGTCTGAGAGTGCGTGCTATTTAGATAGCTGAATTCTATATCGATTCTTGAAGTTTGAAATCTATCTTTAGTTTTCTTCGATCTCTGAGTTCTAAGATTTTTTTTTTTTTTTGGTTTATTTGGAAAGAGTTCTCATAGACACAAGATAAAACAAAAGACGTCGTGCCTCTTAACCCTATCTCAGTTGGCATCTTTCGTTCTCTTATTATGAGTTTTTTTTTTAATCTCTCTCTCTCTGTCTCTAGTGAAAGAAAGAAATTAATGATTGATGTTTGAATTTATCTCTGGCTTCTACTTACGTTTGATATTAATGATTTTGCTGGAAAGTAAAAACCAAGCTTAGTGGAGTATGGGGTTTGCATGAATCATATTGTCTAGTAAAACAGACGCATAATAATTACAAAATAAATGTACAGTTCTTTAATTTCTCTAAAAAGTTACTAAGTAAAAAAACTCTGTCTCCAGATAGCCTTTCAGGTATTAGTCAAGGCATTGATTAGTTTGGATCCTGGTGAAGACATGGAGTTGCTAAAGAAACAGTTCCAAGAATTCATCGCTGGTCTCATGTCGTTACCTTTAAACATACCTGGAAGTCAACTTTATCGATCATTACAGGCAAGTTAATATTTAGAACATTCCTTTCGATCTTCATTTGTATATGAGAGATCAAACACTAAAGAATTTGCTTTTGGGTTTCAGGCAAAGAAGAAAATGGTGAAGTTAGTGCAAAAAATTATCCAATCTAAAAGAGATGGCATAAGTGGGATTATTTCAATGGCGCCAAAAGATGTAGCAGAAGTGTTGCTTAATGATGCAAGTGAACAATTAACAGATGATTTAATAGCTGATAATATGATCGATATGATGATACCGGGTGAGGATTCAGTACCAGTCCTCATGACTCTTGCTGTAAAATACCTTTCAGATTGCCCTGCTGCTCTACAACAACTGACGGTATTTTCAATTTAATCCCTACCTCTCTCTTCCATATATCTTCTTTAAGTTATTAATTAGCTGTAACCAAATCAATTCATTCAAATTAATGCCAATTTTCTTCCTTTAATTACTCATTTTCTTTCACACTTAATTTCTTGTTGCCATCTTGGTTTTAATCTAAATTTTTCTTCTTTAATTTACTACTATATATATATAGCTAGCTGTATACCTTTATTATTTTTCGTTTGTCATTTTCTGAGTTTTAGGACCATGATTTTGACTACCTTTGCAAATTAATATTGTCGTGTTGTTTTTTTTTTTTTTATATCCTTTGGAGAAATTTTCCCCACAATCCCTCTTATACTATGCGATTAATTTCTCATATATAGGTCTTCTATATATATAAGCGGGCACAACTGGAATACTGCCATAAGTAGCTAGCTACTAGGGTTTGCCGACACTGCACTAATGAACAACAAGAACCTCGTTAGGAATGGTTAGAAAACATATTTCAGATTGAAAGAGTCACACATGCAATTCTTAAAATCTTTTAAATAAAATTTAAATTTAACTATTTAACTCTATATAATATTAGAATTTAAAAAAGATCCAATGATATAATAAAAATCGTGAGATGGAACCAAACCAAATTTACTTGATAAATTTCAAAAGATAAACTATAAATAAATGGAAGTGTTAGAAAACATATCATATATTAAAAAAACCATTCATCATAAATCTCTTAAGTATTTTAAATAAAATCTAATTTTAATTATCTAATTCTATAAGAATCAACACTAAGATCCCAATAGTCCCTCATTATCTGTTATTTATTTATTTGCCAATCTAATGATCCAAATAACTCAAGGTTTTAGAACCAAATAAGGTAGACTTGGATTTTAACTTTTTGCATGAGTTGGGAGTCTCTCAAATCAACTTTCCAAATAATTCAAGTTATGAAAAAAAGAAAAAAGAAAAAAAGATAATTAAATTGGAACCCTTTAATTATGTGAATAAAAAAATATCTTCATTAAAGAACAAAATGTTTTCATCAAAGAAACGTGTAACGATTGCTCTCAAATTATAGAGCTTTTGGACTATTTGATTAAGGTCAAATTTTATGGGTAGCCAGGTGCTTAATCAATATCAATGCCTTTGTGACTTCTCCACGTGTGACTCGTAACCATCATAGTACATTTTTTTTGTTTTGTTTCATATTTTCCCTTTTTATCTTTATTTAGGCAGTCCCTTTCATATTTATGATGATGTGATTGAATCTGATCAGGAGGAGAACATGAAATTGAAATGTCTCAAAGCTCAGCATGGCGAGCCAATGTGTTGGAGTGATTATTTATCTCTACCCTTTACACAAACAGTAAGCATATATACTATTTTCGATCCTCAAATTTAAGGAAAATAATAACACCAATTAATTGCTGACTATTTATACCAAGATAGCACGCATGTGACTCCATGCACTCATGATTTATTTTATTTTATTTTTTTTCTAACAGGTGATTACAGAAACCCTAAGAATGGGAAACATTATAATTGGGGTGATGAGAAAGGCAATGAAAGACATAGAAATTAAAGGGTATTTGATACCCAAAGGATGGTGTGCTTTTGCATACTTTAGGTCGGTTCATCTTGATGAAAACAACTATGAGTGGCCTTACCAATTCAATCCATGGAGGTGGCAAGTAAGAACTGATTAATTTATATTCCTAATTAATTTGTTTTTAGTAGTTATTTTAGGCATTAATTTCACTTATGGATGGGAGACTGTAGCAGGAAAAGGATATGAGCAATAGTAGCTTCACTCCATTTGGAGGAGGACAAAGATTATGTCCTGGACTTGACTTGGCCAGGCTGGAAGCTTCAATTTTCTTGCATCACTTTGTCACCCAATTTAGGTAATTCCTTGCTCTTTATTTTTTATCTATATACATATAGTTAATTAGCATGAAGTCCCTAAGCATGGAAAATTCATGTTTTTTTTTTTTTGAACTTTTCTCTATTCATCAAACCCATCAAATGTTTTGCAATGTTTTCCATTAGTTTTTTTTTTTTTTGGAATGAACATTTAGATTAATTCAATATTTGAGGTGACAAATAAAAACATTAAAAAAATATAGACTATTTTACCATAGAGCAGCACATCTTAGGATTAATTAGGAGGAAAAAAAGAAAGAAAAGAAGAAGGTAATTTTGATAGCCACAACACTGTTATGGTGCAATTGAAGAAACTAATTAAATTGAATAAATTATCTTTTTTCATAGTTAACTTAATTTGTAGCTGAACGTTGGGGTTAATTCTTTCAAAACAAGAAGGGTGAACTGAGAACTGATCAAGTTCGAGTCTTACCTTCATCTCATGAATGCCACATTTGTAGGAATATATGTCGAATTGAATAAGTCGTTCACAAATCAAAAAGGGTCATTTGCTTTATATATGAAATCGATCGAGCAGAAATTCTTTTCGAAAGTTGTCATGCATGCTCAATTGCTCATCATTTTGGCTACATTTTTGCTTTTGTACAAACGAGAAAAGACAAAATCATGACAAGAAACATCCAACTTCTGCCATTTTTTTTAGCTTCTTTTGTTCCCTTGAGTTGCTTCCAACCACGACTAAACTTGATTCATGATTGTGTCCATATTACCTTAGTTATATTTTGGTCATATGAATAAAGACAAGTTAATTACAACAAGAACGGTGATCATGCGGGTATTTGGTTGATAATCACTGAGGGTACATTCTTCTCATTATCATTTCACAAATCGAATTCTATATAAATATAAGAACATATTTCCTTAAATAATTGGCATTTACAACTCCTAGCAGAAAAAGAAGAAGAAGAAAAGACAGGCTAGTTAAATGCATTGAAAACGCAATCTTTGATAGATTTGTTGGATATGTCCTCCTATTTTGTAGCAGTGATAGTTTATTAAAAAAAAAAAAAAAAAGAGTGGTCATTGGTCAAATGATGAATCATATTAATAGAATCCATGCTCTATTACATATAGGCATCACATTATTTATGAGAAGGCAATATGCTATGGTCAAATTGGTGCTAGCTAGCTAGGCCGACTTATTCAATTGGTGCTAGCTACATATAGGCATCACATTATTTATTTGAAAATTAATGTTCTTGATTTTATTTAAACCAAAAACCCTAGCCAGCTAGCTACTCCTCTTTCGTCTTTTTCTAGGGGTTTTATGCTAGAGTAATCCTACCTAGATATACTTCCTTTACCTTGAGAAAACAAAAATTTTGACTGTTTTTATTTTTATTTTTATTTTTTGCATTGGTTTGTGAGGTTAATTGTCAAATATGATTATTTTTTTTTCTTTGGGACTTGTAGGTGGGTGGCCGAGGAAGATACTATTGTAAATTTCCCTACCGTAAGAATGAAGAGAAGAATGCCGATTTGGGTCAAAAGGAGAGAAGAAAATTAAGCAAGCAAGAAAAAGTTTCAAAGAAACTTTGGAATGACACAAAACCCAGCATGAAAAGAATAGAGAAATAAAGAAAAGAAAAATAGAATTCATGGCCACAGAGCACACGTGTGGGGACATCATCAATCTGACCTAATTTGTCTTCTTTTTCATACCTTCCGCAAGTATAGACATACAGAAAACAGAAGAATAACAATTTTTTTTTTTTTTTGTACTTTCTCTCAGTTCGATTGGTTGGGACCCAAAATATGTAATATCCTTCATTTTTCTTAGTTTTTCTCTTCTTCTCCTTCGTCTTTTTTCCTATAGTAATTAGCGATAGGTAGAACAAGAGGTCAATGAGGCTAGTGGGTCTACAGACAATGATTTGTTTCTATGGGTCCCTATTAACTATTGCTGTCAATTTAATTTTACGACAACGTTTGCAGAAGAAGTCTATTTTAAAATCAGTAATCTAGGGTCTACCTACATTATTTTTTTTCTTTTTTTTAAGATTGATGAGCCTACTTGTTGTCCGTTTGTTTGTTTGTTATTATTATTATTATTTATTATTTGAATGAAATCAATCTACATTTTGGATATGGACCATTTTTTTTTTTTTTGGAATTGCGTGATCTTTAATGGGCTAGTTCCATCGCCTGTCATCGAGCCAGTTTACTTGCGTAACCATAAAAAACATATCATAAATAGCCATAATAGCGAACCGTTTTTAGAATTATTTTTTATTGAATGATTAAGGATATTCTTGTGTCAATTTGTACCTTAATCAATCATGATTGAATCTATTTTTAAAACGATTTTAAGAACACATTTTCATTTCAGTCTAATACATTTATAGAAATATTAAATTATTTTGTATACGAGAAAAAATAATGCAAAAGGCCGTTGGAGTTGATTGTGTTTTTTTTTTTCAAACTGTTGTGGGAATGGGCTGATTGGGAGCAAGACAAATCCCATACCTCTAATGGGTTCATAACCCAAAAGTATATATCATAAGCCCACATTTTTGTTTTTTTTAAGGAAAGCCCAAGCCTACTGACTAATCCTTATTCCTTCTCAACAATGACCAACCAAACGCGATGGTAGATTCTTAGTTGAACACAACCTACGCTGAAAGGCTTTTCCGAAACGACATCGTTGGTAGATTCATTTTTTTCCTCTCCTTCAGAAGAAAAGAGAAGAAAAGAAAATAAAGAAATATCGTCGTCGTCGTCGTCCACATCGCCAGCTGCTGTAAACTAAGACCTGCACCTGTGACCTGCCTGAGTGAAAACAGACAGCAAGACAAGGCATCTATCAATCAGCTTTCTTTTCTACATAAGAACGTATCATCTCTTCCTCTCTCTCTTCACAGGTATTAATTCTGACCTTTTTCTTTCTTTCTTTCCACAATTTCAATATTCTTTATTAAGTCTTTGTTTGTTTGCCAATTAGGTTAGGTTTCTATTCAAGGTAATTTCGGTTGAAAAATAGTTGAATTTGGCTCAAAATTCAGAGTAAAATTTAGTTAATTTTGAGGTATTTAATGCAAGAAGACGCACACCAAGAGTGATGCTCAATTCATTTGGATTAGGATGTCTTCTTTTCTGTACGATGAAAACTGAGCTTGAACACAAACAAGATGGAAATATGGAATGACTATATAATACCTTTATGTCAAAGCTGAGCTCTTTCTGATTCACTTCGATTCTTAACATGTATAGGTATAGCCACCAACCTAATTAGTAATTAGTTTTACTCTTCTGTTTATTTCTCTATGCAAACACAACAAAATACTTATATGAGCTTATGTACTAGTATAACCATTAAGAAGGAATTTGGGTTTTTGAATTCCATCCACAAAATACGCGTATCTTGCTTTCCACCGGGTTTCGAGTCAGGAGAATCCAATTTGGCTGGACAAATTGCCAATTAGTCATATTTGGTGGGAATCGAAAGATTCAGTTGGATCTAGCATTAAGGAGCCTGATTAAAAGAAATGCAACATGCTCTAAATAGCTGCTGTTTCTATAACGTTCTTGTTATTTTATAGGGGATTGGTTGCTAAATTAGCTTTTGTATCCCTGTGCTCCCTTCTCTTAGCCTCCTTGTCAATATATCTATAAGGTAAGCGAGTGAAAGTTTTTAACCACAACCACCTCCAAGTCAGCTAGGCTCTCCCAAACAATTTATACAGGTACCATAACTGCCAGATTGCGCTGGTTTCTAAATTGAATTGAGGTGCTCTTTTTACCCACATCTGGGAGGGTTGGTGGAAGTGAGCAGTTACTATTGTTCATTTGTCATTTCTGAGGTTTCAATCTTACTTTTTCATGTGCTTATCTGGATGTGTGATTTTGTAAAATTAAGGTTTTAAAAGATCACTTGGGCTCTTAATGACAAATTGATTGCAAGATATCTTTATCAAGACTGTATATCATAATTATATTGTTTAATCTGCATCCTTTGGGCAGATAAACCTAATATGGCTGGGAGAAATCGCATTCCTCGTGAAGTTTATAATGATCGACGTGGATTCCTCATTGAAAGACCTTTCATTCGTGGCCCTCCGATGCCACAACCACCCCCACACCCTGCTTTCTTGGAAGACGAACTTGAGATGCAGCATGGTGAAATCCGAAGGCTGTTGGGTGATAATCGTAGGCTGATTGAAGATCGCATGGCTCTGCAGCAAGAGCTTGGTGCTGCAAAGGAAGAGCTTCATCGAATGAATATCGTCATTGCTGAAATTCGTGCAGAACAAGATGTGCACTCAAGGGAACTAATTGAGAAAGGCTTGAAGCTCGAGGCTGATCTTCGCGCAACTGAACCTTTGAAGAATGAGTCTGTACAACTCCGTGTAGAAATTCAGAAGCTGAATAATGCCAAACAGGAACTTCTCGGGCAAGTCCAGACCCTCAAACTTGATGTTGCAAGATTGCAAGCTGATCATCAACAGATTCCTCTTTTACGGGGTGAGATTGAGGGCCTGCATCAAGAGCTAATGCGTGCTAGGTTTGTGGTTGGATTGCCTTTTACTTCTTTTATATATATATATATATATTTCCAATTGTGTGAGTCTTCAGAAATGCTAAAATTGAGATTTTATTTTGCAGAGCTGCAATCGAATATGAAAAGAAGGCAAACATTGAGTTGGTGGAGCAGAGACAGTCAATGGAGAAGAGCATGGTTTCCATGGCACGAGAGGTTGAAAAGCTACGTGTAGAACTTGCTAGTTCTGATAAACGACCCTGGAATGCTGGTACCTGTCATATATATTTATCGTTTAGTTGAGCTCTTCATTGTTTGTGCTGTTAACTGATGTGTTACATTCTACTTATTTTTGCTCCTTTGGACTTTCCTGCCCTTATTTGTTAACATTGGAGCTTAATGTGCGAACTTAACATAAGCTGAGAATAGTTTCCCTTTTGGAATGTGATGGAGAGGATCATGTAGCCTCTCCTGCCAGTGCATATACTTTGTAATTGACTTACTGTCCTCGAAGCAGTTGGGATTAACTATATCAGGCCTTCTTGCTATCCAACTCATCCTTAACTTGTGCATCTCATAGATCTTTGCTCTTTCTTTATGAACTTAGCTGAAATCCTTAGTAGACTTTCCTTGTTTGGCTGGTTTCTGCACTTTAAGCTTTGCTTCTAATCTCTTTAACTTAATCTGTGGTGGTTGAAGGTGGAACGTATGGGATGAAGTTTGGTAATCCAGAGGGGCTTTTCCTCCTCCATACGGGGATGGGTATGCAGTTCATCTGGTAGGTGTGCTCATATTATTAGGAATTTGGTTTTCTTTTAAAGTGACTAAATCACTAAGTTGCATGCCCCTTTTTTTTTTTTTTTTTAAGAAAATAAAAAAATAAACTTATGCTGTTGCCCAGGGTGCTGCTGACAAGGGTCCTTTCTATGGCTCTGGTCCTGCTTCATGGGAGAAGCCCCACATGCCTCGTCGTTGAGTGGTTTCTGTTCAAATCCAAGAAGTGCAAAGTTGTTACTCTGCTGCCTGTTTCCTGCCAATATCTCAATATACGAGAAGTGTCTTTCATCTATGTGTGTATGACACCAGTAGTCTTTCATTTGATCACATTTTTTAGTCATTCTACACTGCTTTTCATGGGATTTTATTGCTGCTATATTTAATTGGTAGAAACAATGGTTTCTATTATATAACATGTTAGTAATTTTCAATGTTCTATGGCTGATTTGTTTTCATTTAGAATTTTTTTGCTATTGCTTTTTTTTTTTTTTTTTTTGGGGGGGGGGGGGGGGTTGTTGTTGGAGGGTTGCATTTATTTTCGATTATCAACAAAGTTTCTAGCTTTAAGTTTTGATATAGATTGTCTCTTCTGACTGAGCTGCATGAAGGCTAGAAATGATTTGTTTGATATTAGTTGCTAGGGAACCATTGAAGTAATGCCTGGAGGCTGGAGTTAGTGTTGTTATATGAGCACAGCCAGTTCTTTTAGCTGAACAAAATGCAGAGTATGAAGCTTACAGTTTTGCGCTTGCAATATGCACTAGGTGCTGTAGGTTACCGGGCTTGCTGTTTATTATATGACAAGAGAATGTATTCCTTAGGACCTTGGTATTTAGGGCATGGCTTGCTGGAGAAGGATATATTCTGAATGCTTGTCATTCTGTGTATGAATAGGATAAGAGAATTCATATATCATAGGACATTGTGTACATATTACATGTTATTTTCTGTCGGCATATGATTGGAGATTATGCTGTTCCATTCTGGCACTTAAGGGGATAGAAAAACCTTCTTGCTATGCACTTGCATCAATAGTGCAATCATTCCACTGTCTTAGTTTCTCTTATGAGATACAGAGCTTAATCGTGTAGTATAGGAGTTGCAGAATAGAATATTGTTGGAAATAGAAATGCGTGTTTAATACCGCGATGATTACAACTGAGTTGTTCTGCTCTTGACATTCCATTAGGCAAGAAATATGGGATGCCATAAATCTAAGATGGAACTGTTCAGGTCGTGATTGATAGAATTTTTCTTGAGTTATCTTTTGCATGATTTTATATGCTTCCATTTGTGTTTAGTTTTAAATAGAAGCTTACTGTTTGGTTGGCACAACTCTATGTGAAGTGTTTAGCAGTATGGATAACTGCCATAGAGTGACTTTTGGAGAATAACTGGTGCTACTGTCGCAGGGTTGGTGGATTAGAGTATGTTTGTAGGTATTTACTAGGCCCTGTCATTTATTTTTTTGTGTGGAGAATGTACCAAAGGGCATTGCTTTTCATTTTCTTGTTACATGATTGGAGCTACTTTGGACAAAGGAAAAGTGCCGATCTCATATTAGATGAGTTAGATTGTCAGATTTGACTCTTGATAGGTATGATGAGTTTAGCCATTGTGAAGCTGTGTGTGCATGTTCATGTGGCACACATAAACTCGTGTGTATAAGCTGCTAGATGATACCGCTGTCTTTTCGTTTAAGCTTGTTGGAACTGTTGGAGACTTTTGCTCATTGGGTGGTGGCACTAGGTTGAATCATTGCTCCCTTACATTGGTCTTGTGGAGGTTGGATTTTGAAGTTTGGCCATCCCTCTAGTTTAGGGTATGTTGGATTTGAATAGTGACCGAATGTGGCAGAATGGAGATGGAATTGGTGGAGCATGCAGAAAAAGTGTAATATCTTATTTGAATGCTTGGACGGACTTGATGGAATGTGTGCATCCCATTTTTCAACAGTTTAAAATGTATGCCAAAATTGGATAGTGACATCTTAAGACTTGAATGTTGTAAGTGATTGCCAATTCCTCCCTGATCAAACGTTACCTGGCTTCCTGCCTATCTATGGCTATGCGACATCATTCCAACCCTTGTTTCAGCATGCGCTCTCTAATTCTTCATCTGACTTGTTCTGCAACACCATTTACTCAAAGATGTAATGGCCGCCGCCAAGGATACCAATTTGCTTCTTCATGCATCGAGATAAAGACTGGAATTTCTGAAGGAACTGGCATGTTGCATTGCAACTTGCGAAATGGCTGGCTACTAATACACATCATAGGCAGGTATTCTGCTTCTGTTATGAGTTTCATGGATCTAATTCTAACGTCTTTCTTTAAAGCTAATTTTGGTGACTTCTATTCTGCCTACTTGCTGTCATTATGTTATTTGTTGATACTTAATGATTCGTTTAGATCTATATATTAGTATGTCAATGAAATGGGTTATCGTTATCCAAGTTGATCTGTCAACAAGTTGAACCCTTTTTTCTTCTGTTGCATCCTTGCCAAGTTATTTGTTTGCTCATATTGACTTGCATATAGATATTTATTTCCAAGTTGAACCAGTATAGATATCTTAAATTGGTCTTCACAATGCTGCAAAGTGGATGACAGTGCGACTCGTGACAAAGAATTTGCAGAAGAGCAAGATAGTCTCTGAGATGTCACTTGAGGATGGTATCAGATGATATGGGACAGCTAAATTATCGTATTGTTGAATATATTGGAGGCTGTGATGATTGCCTTTTGATGTTTACTTGCTGCAACATTAATGAGGATTAGGTAGGAGTATATTTGTTTATCATATATCATAGGTTTTTGGGCTTTACCTTGTTAAAAGTACTTGAGAAAGTCTGCAAAAGCAGTAGAGATGGAGTAAAGTGATCTGGTATGGCACAGCGTATTTAGGTGGCCAATTACTATGGATGAAAGAAACTGCTTATTTTATTATCCATGCCTAGTCCTTTCCACTTAGACGAATAGCTGCTGAACTTATAACCTATTACCCTGTTACAGTGTTGGTTTTTCGGTTCAAAGGAGATGCTAAGCGCAGTCAGCGTGCTTGTATAAATTGGACTCTCAGCACCTTCAATTTTTATGTGCTATAAGTTTTGTGAAAATTTACCTGAAGTTGGGTTCTGGCATAACATGAAATTTTTTGGTCTTGTGAAATGGCGGTTGCATCATTGTCACGGTAGGCATTCGTCCTGTGCTTAGTTACAGAGTGGACACATATTATGTCAATAATTCGAAGAATAATTAGATTCATAGCGATGACAGTTTCTAATTTCTTTGGTTTTATATTTATGGCAGTAGATTTTGGCAAATGTAACTGTTGACCATTATGAGGCATGGTGAACTAAGGCAAAGACATCATTGATTCAAAGGATACATGAGGTTTTTCTCTCTGGTGTAAGCTCTAAAGGATTCAACTGAATGATAGGAGGTTCAGTGAAACAGCCTCGGACATAATTAAAGCTGCTGCCTGCTAGTATGATTGTGTATGTCTAAATGGGTGTGAGATGTGGTTCCTAGGCTGCACGTTGTATATTTTTGTCTGTTGTTCTGTTAATAAATTATTATCGAACCTTTCTAAGATTGATTTCAGTGTACAAGTATGTGTGTTGCATCTTGCAGTCGTATCACTTGCCGTTATCAAATTCTGGATTTGTTTTGATTATATTTTCTTAATGTTCTGCAGGTCAAAGATTGGTTCTTAGTGTGATAAAGGTGAAGAAAGTTTCTAATCTCTTTGGTTCAGCCCCACTTCCCTTCCATCCCATCTGTCAGTTTTAAATTGCAACACCTGATTGGGCCGATTATGGAGGTGCCATGGAGACTAAAGTTTCCTGGTGATGAAGAAGCCGGTATGTGTCTTCTGTGGTTGTTCCCCTTTTAAGTTTGGAATGGGATAAAACTATTTCTTGCTTCTAGAATGACTTAAAAATGGGAAAATTATCTAGAACCACATGTAATGTGATAGCGATAAGCCCCAATAACACTTTGCTACCTCACTTGTCATAAATTATAGAAAGCATCCTCATCTTTGTAAACTTCATATCACACCCTTAGTTTAATTCTGGTTAACAAATAAATTTTCCATCCAGAAAATTACAAAGACGCCATTAATCACCTGTTAAATCATTTTTAATGCACTTGAAACACTGTTTCCAGAAACATCCACTATCAATCATCCACCAAAACCATCCGTTGCCTCCACCAACACCATCAAGCCTAGGCAAACAGGTTAGTCCTTCTATGACATGCCTGCATCTTCAAAATAGCACAGAAGATAGACAAAGTAGCAGACTTTTGTAGTGAGGACATTTAATCACACTTATGGAAAGACCAACGAAGTTGATATTCTTGGCAGTAATACAGAAGTAAGTGGGATGGAAAGAGCGCATACTAATTAGGCAGAAAAATGAAACTGGTGAATCAAATCTACAAAAATAACCAGCAAATTAACCTGAATCAATAAGATTAATTGTAATTAGCAAGACCCGTTAGTGGATAAAACCCAAATCAATGAAAAATAATGAAATTAATTGCATATAAATACCAAAAATCCTTAGCCAACCAATTTCTTTTCTCAATTTAAATTTAAGAAATCAAAATTCAAATCAACAAACCCAAGCTTCATCAGCTCAAAGTATACAGAGCCCATAAAAATTCAAGGAAAAATAACTTAAAGTAAACAATAAGAGAGAAAAATAGGGAAGAATGAGCCAAAACCATCAAAAGAGACGATTGAACTCTTTGATTCCACAGCCTATGGCAGCTCTGTTACCACAGATTGCAGATCTAATAAAATTTCAACTTGACCCATGACCATTTCGTTTTCAAAGGAAACCTAACAACAACAAAACAAGGAAATCAAACAACAAATTATCACTAGATCATCGCATTTAGTCTTAATTACACAGCTGACAACACCACCAGAACATCACCGGAAAACTTTAGTAGATAGGTTTTTGGGTTTCGATCTGGTTCAGAGAGAAAAATGACTTTTATGTCAAACTAGCTTGCCACTCAGTACAGATGCCTTCCATGTAGTTTCATATTTAATGGGCCAGAAATGGTGATTAATAGGATTTAATTTGTTGGATGGGCAGGAGTTCTGAGTCTTGTAAATATTGAATAGTTTTTTAAACTATCAACTGGTAATTTTATCGAAGGTGAATCAAATACATGAAAAGAGAAGGCTTAAGCTACAATCTGCTAAAGCGTGCACTAATCCCTCCAAATATGACGTGTGTGCACAACCTTTGAGCATTAGAACCTGCTCATTGACATTTAGAAATTAGAATGATCTCAATTACAGTTTCTGCTTTGTACTCAACCATTGATCAATTTAGTTATGGCTTTGTTTTCCCATTGTTTTTTACGTTGTAGCAGTTACTTGCAAGCTGGGGTGCTGGTTTGAATTATATGGCTTTTGCAGATACTTTTCTTCTTCCTCCTCTTCTTCTTCTTCTTCTTCTTTTTATTTATTTTTATTTTTTTATTGATTTTGTGTGCTTCGCCTTGCACTTAATTCTGATCAGTTAGGTTCTGGCAGTATAGCTTTTTAAAGGTTCAACTTATTTATGTATTTGAAAATGAAATTTATTTATTTTAGCTGACGAAAGAACTGTTGGGTGGTTAACTTTACTGGAATGGTGAGATTTTCAGTGATTTGTCACAGGAATTAAATGTCCAGGCTTTTGTTTTTTGAAGTATGGACACTTTTTTTTTATTTCATTTTTCTATTTTACGTCATCTTTTTATCCAATTTGAAGGGAAGTTCATGTTGGCTAGTATCTATTCTCAGGTGAAGGGAGAGGTGGAGAACGGAACATCCTGTGTAGGACCGTAACAGGCTGCTCTTCACACGTTATACTATCCAATCCAGTCAAATACTTCCTTCCCTTTCTTTTCCTCAGAGGGAAAAGATAGAAATGAACTTTCAACTGCTCCAGGTTGGACTGAGGCAGCCTCCGTTAACCTGACACGTTAAATTGGCTGGGTAATTCTTTAATCCTGCCTTCGTAATCGACAATTCAAGATGCTAATATAGCAGAGTTGTACGGTATTTTGAGAAAAGGTTGCATTTTGAGTTGGCTCAATGCCTCGTGTTCCACGATCTCAGAAGTGTGCACGATGAGAACGATGTATGCTGGTTTACAAAAATTGGCTTGCGTCTATTTTAGATGTCAACCTCCAACTGTTTAGCAACCCTAACTTGATTCTTGGCTGAGAGACCTGGCATACTAGTCCATCGTATGGACCAGAAAATTCATCCAAGTTCGTACATCAATTATTTATTTGGGTTATGGTTATGCAGAAATTCTGGAAGGCAAGAACCGCCACCAAAAATCATCTGGATATGCATAAATTATGGCTACACTGATGTCTTAAGATCAATTACAGCAAGAGCATCATACAAGTTGACAATGAGAATGTATAAGGAGATAAAAAGGCAAGAGCATCATGTCCAAGTTGAAGTCAAAATTAACGGAAGCATATTCCAGGCAAACTGAGAGTGTTTCAGCTTGTGGCCTCTTCAAAAATCGGAAACGTCAAGTCAGTCCTCAACTTCTGTGTTGAAAATAAAACTGGGAAACATTGTGGTGATGTCCCTGCAAATGAGTTGACATATACAACGTATGAGTGATGATTGCTCATCATGGTTATGTACAGATTTAAAAGTGCAAAAGCTCATTTCATTTTTATAGGAAGTTCTTGGAGACCATATGAACATTTTTACTATACCATCCCGTATCAACCTCTTTCAAGATCTATATATTCACATCTTTACTCTTCCTAGAAGTAATTCTAGAAGCATTAAATCCAATCCATGTATGATCCCTTGGCAAAATCAAGGAAGCCATTTGAGAAAAGAGAGACGTTCTTTTAGGCATGAAAGTTTAGTTCATTCCATAGGTGCTCTTTCTTGGCTACAATGGATTTGGGTTTAAGCATAATAATAATCATTATCAAACAAGTGAAAATCAATGCAGATTGATGCTAATCAAAATATTTAGCTAGCTAATAATAAACTTGGCAGCAGAGAAAGCAGATATTGGTGGTTCAAAAAGGAAAGGAAATCGTTGACTTAATAAAAATGAGAAGGGGATGGAAGGAGGCAGTTTACTTCAAACAAGGAAGGGTCAAATTTTTCAACAGGGCTGGGTGCTGAGTAACAAATGCCTTCCATTCTACCTTGTTAATTTTACCATCCTTGTCTGCATCAGCATCTGCAAATGTCTGGGGATATGAAAGCAAACGCACTGAATGTCATCGAAAGCTAGAAAGGAAAGAAGAAAGAAGTAGAATTGAAAAGAAACACAAAAGGAACACATTTTAGCATGGAAAAGCCAGCTTTCTCTACCTTATCAATGATAAATTCAAGACTTTCCTCTGAGATCTGCAAGTCAGATTCCAACAAAATGGCATTTACCATTTGCTGAACCTGAAAACTACAATACTATTAGTGGCTAAACATCAGAGACTCTATGTGCATAATATGTGCATGTTTGTAAGAATTTGATGATTTTTTGCTATATTTGGTCAGTCATAGACTCTACCAGACGACCTTTGATTTCAAACAAATCTCAGTCTCTATAATATATTGCAAGTTTGCAACCACAGCAAACTGGTTTTGAGTCAAACAAACACAAAAATCTCATTGTCTAACAAAAGCACGCAGTTTAAACAAATTGATACCGCAAAGAGCCAACATTTCTTTCACCCATGTTTCAGTTATGTCTGAACACATAGGGATACTCACTTCTTCCCGCTCGATAAATCCAGTCTGTCTCAAATCATACAACCTAAATGTGACTGCATAAAACCCAAGAAAGAAAGAAACCAATGGTTTTTAACAAGAAAGTCTAAGCTCTAATCACATAAAATAAACAACTAAAAATACTCACAATCGATTTTAGCCTCCATAGGAGCACGAGGATGAAAAACACCGAGTGCATGGACAAATTCCTCAAATTCAATAACCCCATTTTCCTTCTCGTCGAAAAGGGCAAATAACTAGAAGAAAGGTTAGGTATCAGCTACCTAATTACAGATCGAAAGGAAAGGTGCTAGAAAGTTATATGTTGGGTAAATAAAAAAGCTATAGCAGCCTAAGAGCTGTGGTATTCCTTGTGCAATCTAGTTTATGATGCTAAAAAGAAATTGATGATGCTTGATCATGTTCGGTATCATTTAATAGATAACAACAATTTGTGACTGCAAATAGAGCTCTATCAGAAGTCCAAATGAAGTACTTTGATGTACATATATCCAACCCACGATCCAAGTCACACAAGTTCTTGAAGTGCTAATTCGATTATCGCATCAACATCTTGTGGCTAGTAAGATGACTAGATTTGGTGCTCATACATCCCATCAGTCAATTGAAATGGATCGACATTGCATAAAAATAACATTTGAGGAAAAAAATTTAGGTTGGCACAAATGAATCTACCCTGTCCAAGATGATGTTTTCACTTGCTGGAGTTTTCAGCAGCGCCAATTTGAGCTCTTCCTTCAAATCATAAAAGGAAACATGGATAAGTTCAATATATTCACTTCTAAAATGATTATAACCGTCTAAAACACTAACTTTATCTCTATTATTGCAGTAGAAAGAAATTCGCAGCTGAAATAATACTCGTGTGTATCTAGGGCACACTTTTTATTCACTGGATACGTCTACTTAATTAGCTCAAACTCTTCAAATCTGGCTTAATTAATCACAGTACTAATCAAGACATTAGATTCAACAAATTTAACTTGATACAAAGAATTCCCATAAAAATGAAAAATCAGAACATACATATATATACAGAAAAAAGAAAAGATGAAGAAATCTGATTTACTTTGTGTATGAGGCCATCATCAACAATAGTACTGCTCAACTTCTTGAACAACTCAAGCAATGCCTCAACTTCATTGACCGTAACTGCAATATCACCATCACCCACAAAACACAATGTTGAAGATCAAAACAGTTAAATCAAAATCCAAAATCACAACAGTGGCAAGTGGAAAACATACAGAGAGAATTGCTAGCTATCCTACGGAGGTCATTGATGGTGTATTGCAACTTCTTGGATGTAGTGTGGTGACCAAAGCAAGCAGTAAAACTCAATACCACAGCTTCTATAATACCAATTATAGGTAAAAACACTGCACAGATTCTTTCACTTATTGCCAAATAGCTTGAACTGCTGTCCATTCACAGATATATTTCACACAAAAACAGTACTCCACTTCTAATCGTTATTTATTGGCTTCCTTTCTTCCTTGTTTTCTGAGCGACCAAACAGAGCGAAAGAAATAGGAGATGAGAGAGGAATAATTGGCAACAAAGAGTTTACTTGAAGAATTCATCATTTATGGAAAGAAACATTGCATTAAATGATGGGACCGAGATGCTTGTGGCTTCGTATCAACCATATTTCTTGAATCCAAACAGAGATTTTGCGGTCAGATTCCTAATCCATATTGATTCGACGGTGACCCCACTTATAATAATTTATATTATTATTGGTTTTTGCGGCTCTGACTCGGTATTCCTACGTTCTTAAAATAAGATGGCCCATTTAATAATAAATTGTGTTAATTAATGTAAATAATTTCTTGACATATGATCATGCTTTTTACTTCTTTTTCTACAATTTTTTTAGGGCATCATGACAATATTAGAATTATTAAAATTCCATTCTTTTTTTTTTGTTACGAACAAGTTGGTCGAACTGTAAGTGAATTGGTTTATAAAATTTTATTTTTATCAATATATAAGATTTAAATTATAAAATCGTATTTATTAGAAAGAATTAAATATTATCACTCTCATCTCAAATAAAATTAATTTTATCTTTAATGTCGGATAGGGATGACGATGAACTAATATAGTATCCATTAATTCAATTTTTTACTCCACTTATGACCCATTAAAAAAATCACTATATAAAACTTTATCAAATTTATATTCGATTCATATTAGTTTATCTATCCTTACTCGTTTAAAATAATTTATTAGAAATATTCATTTTAATCTCTATATTTTTTTAAAAAAAATTTGGTGTTTAAAATTTTTATTTTTTATTTTTTACATTTTGATCATTTATTTATAATTTTTTGGTCCTCAAATTTTTTGAAAAAATATTGTGATTCTTAATTTTTAAATTTTGTATAATTAGATTTTTATATGTTAATAAAAAATCAAAATAAATTAATGGATATTAATAAGATAAAAAATGATATCAATATCCTAAAACTATACTAGTAGATAAGTATTTTTTTATTATTATTACTCATTTCAATACCCATTAAATATTTATAATGAGTATTTATTAAATCAAATAAGGGTATTCGTTTTGTGTCCGATCCCTTGTCATCCCCAATGTCAAATGGAAGAATCAGAAAAAAAAACTATAAAAAAATCCAATTTTCTTCGTAAATACATAAACGTTAAAATAATTACATATTCTCTTTAATAAAAACAAAATCATTGCGAAGAAGAAAAGCTAACTTTTCTTCTGTTTTTTTTTTTATACTTATTTCTATCGTCTTAGCTGGTGAAGACGTGTCTGGAAAAAGATTGGAAGGATGAGCTGGCCGAGGCAGTGGACATGTGATGCGAATATCCTTCGTCACTGTCTATGGTGATGTAACTCAGTTCTTGCCCCTGGCTAATACCAGTTCATTAAAAAATCAAAATTGTCTGTCAATTTGTTTTAGGATTGATGGGAACATCTCTTCCACGAGTTTCATGTTCAAAATTCTTTTATTAAATTTTGATCTCCGAGAAGAAAACAACACTTTAATCAATTATTATTATTATTTTTTTTTCAGATGTTGGAAGCAGTCAATTCACATGCACTTGTCCAACGAAGATGATGGGCTAGTAGTTGTCTTCAAATTAAACTCTTCTTCTTTTCTGTTCAAATTATTGAATGTAAAAGCTACTTCTTTGATACATATTTACATCAATAGCATATATGTTTTCCAAGCTATGATTTCTTCAGGACTAATTAAGTAGTGAAGATAGGAGGTAGCGTCTTTGATCTTCTCCCCTTGACAGGACTTTTTGTGTCAGGAAAGTTACCACCTCCATCAACAAGATCTTCAACAAAACCATCCTTCGTTACTCTCGAAGGATAATTTACTAGGTGCACACCTTCCATGTCCACAACTTCTTCACCGCTGTAAACGTTCCACATTTTCTCTCCTATTAGACGCATTTTTTCTACACATCCAAAACTTTCAGGCTCTAGGAAATTTTCTTCAGCAAGTCCTGTGTGCTCATACCATAGTGACATACGGTACGCTAGGATATCCCTAGGATTACTCATGTTCGCATCGTTTTTCGGTTGGTAGCATCCCACTGCAATTTCAGTGTCACGTCTGCCGTCCATTGATCTTTGATTCACATTTGCAGATCCTATCAGTAAGCAAGCATCATCCACTGAAAAATGAACACCAACCAAGAAACAGAACACAATTAATTATGGTATACAAGAAGAGCAAAGCCAAGACGAAGGGAATCGCAAAGTATTCAGAGCCGAAACAAAAAAAGAACAGTGAAAGGAACAGAAGCATCGAGTCTTTGTCCACAGTCCAGGAAACGAACGGTAAACAAATAGTAAAGAGACGTTTTCGTTTAGTGTTTTTTGTTAATATGCTGATCATAATCACAAAATGTGCCTCGAGTAAACTTTATGCATTAAGAGAGTCAAGATAGGTCTATTCATACCTATCATGAGCTTGGAATGGACATACACCATGAACCTTCTATGCTTTTGTGCATTCCAATATTGTGTTGAGGGATGAGGTGAATATGGAGGAAGAAACTCCCCCTTGATCTCCGCTTCCCTATTTGCAAGGCAAAAGAAGTTCAAGTAATCTCTTGGGTGCCCTGGCTCACCACTTTCTCGTAATGCTTCTCCGATTAGTTTGTACATCATTGCCATTGTTTGTCTAGTCCAATGCAATATGTCCTGAACCGGTTCACTATCCGGCACCCCTTCAGGCCACATTGGTATCAATATATACACTGCAAATCTCTCATTTGCTCTGATCTTATTCACTACCTTAAGTGCAATCTCAATAGGTATTAGATTTGTGCATCCACAGTGCCGATCCTCATCCCACAAATGACACCCTCCTATGAAGTATTGGTTCTCGATGTATATAAACCTCTCTGCACGCCTAATAGCCTCTACATAAGCTTCGTGTATACTTCTCTCCACCCTCAAGTTTCTAGCCAATTGGGTTGCTGAAACGTGGTCTATCGACCGAAAAACTTGCACTTTCCAATTTCTGTCATTGGAAACGCTTGAAGGAAAAGGGTGGTGTACGAGATTTGGTATGGAGCTGGTAGGGACTAAACCAGAACTGTCACATTGCTTATTCCACCTTTGCTCAAAGTTGGTTAGTACATCCCAAGCAGCCTCACCGACAATGCAAGCATGAACATCATGCCATGGCTCTCTAGGCCCTCCTTTGTGAAGACTAGCACCAGCAATATTTGTCTGATAGAAGTCAAAACAATGCGATTCTGTGTTGAGTGTGCGAAACAAGGAATGTTTCTCTGTGTCATAGCGGCCATCAAAAAGGTCTAACCCACCAACAAAACTCATAATTTCTCTCTCACTTATCGAATTCTGTGGTCGTGCATCTACAGTTATGGTCTTCTGATGGTGAGTGAAGAGAGTAGGGAACTTATGGTGCAATCTTGGGAATAATTTGCATATTACTTTAGTATGTTTGAAGTACGCAAAGGCATCCTCATCATGAGTTCTCATTACACCTTTGTTCTTAATGACGGGCAAGGATGTTTCATCATCCCAGAGCATAATTCTCACTGCCACACCTTCCTCTGCTTTTCCCTTTAACAATTCTCCAAGCTTTACTCCTCTAGCATAAGGCATTTCAGTTTCAGGATCCCTAACCTGTCAAGTTTCAGCATATCAATTACTTTTTTTTACCTTAAAACAACAAGAAAGGTAAAAGCTAAAACTAAATCCAAATGGGGTATATATAGTTAAAGAGCTTCACTTACTAACACCATCTTGGGATTGAAAGACCAGCCTGCAATATAAATCAAATGCTTTGCTCCTTCAATAGCTTTATATACATCCTCCCATAACTTTCTAGGAGATCCACAAAGATCAAATGGAGGCTGAAAACCAGAACAATGGTGAGCATCTTGATAGAGTGTAACATGGCAATTGGATCTTTGAGGAAATGTAGCGTTTCTTAGTCCCTGGAATTCACCATTATTGAGTATATTTGCCCAAGTCGGCTCAAGTTCTGCTGGTTTGAACCATAACATGAACCTGAGTTTGAGCTCAGGATTCGGCTTTCCGTTTTCCATTTCGAGTGGAAAGAACCCATTAATTAGGCTTGCCTCGGTGACTATCTTATGTGCTTGGATGTGGAATTTTCCCAAGACGGAGCACTTTGTTTTCATGGCAATGGTGATTGTTGAATCCAGAGGGTGAGCACACAGAATTTGAAAGGTTTGATTCCAAACTCGATCAGATTCATGGCTCGTCTTTGCTACCTTCTTGTTGCCTATCTTGATAGTCACGTAAGTGGGGTTTCCTTTTATAAATATACACTACAGAAACAGAATTTTTTAACAATATCAAGAACAAGAAAAAACGATTAGTTGACAGTGCAGCAGCTTAATGAATAATGGAAGGATTTAGTGTAAAAAATCAACATCTAATTTCAACAAAAAAAATTGTAAAAATTATACTGTTATTGAACAGTTTCATATTACTATATATTTTGTAGTTCCATACGCCATTTTGTAGTCCGAACGTGAGTATTCCTATAATTTATTAACAGCGCGCTATTGCGTTATCTACTCATTATCTTCTAATAACAAAAAAGAAAGAAGAAGGAGAAGAATATATATATATATGTATACACTTACATTGAAGGGAAATGAAGGTGAATAAGGTGTTGCATCAAAGATGGTAGCTTCAAGTGTTCCATGGAGGAATTTTTGCTTTCCTTCCATTGCTAGCTAGTCTTTCCTTGAAACAATAATCTATTGAGAAACAAAAAGAAAGGAACAGCAATGTGAGAGTTGGGTGCCATGCCATGATTGTTATATATAAAGTTCGGTAAGTGAATTGTTAGAATTGAAGAAGCAAATGAAAACTTAGAATGCAATTGAATGTATTTGATAGATTGGAAAAACTTGTAAAAACAAAAATCCATTTTGCTAGTCTTAGAGGCAAATTAACCCTCAACTCTATCGACAAGATTTTACTTCAAGCTCAAGTCTCTTAACCTCAAGTCACACTTTTCGTCTAAGAACAATAGAAAGATAAAACGTGAAATTGCTTTCTTGCACCCATTCCACGAGACTACACTTGTATTGGAGATCAAAGGCTCATCGCAGCATGCTTTTTGGGGCTGACTACAAGATATCGTCAAATTGGCCTTTTTAGGTTCAATGAAAATTATGCAATTACAAAAAAAAAAAAAAAGTTAAGACCCATGGAAAATATTAGGTTGGGAGGCCGACTTGGACCTTGTGTTTATTTATGTGGATCTCATAGCAAGCCCATGTTCTCTTTCCATTTCACTCTAGCCCACCGGTGAAGATCACATAACCCAAATTTTCCATTACATGGTCCTTATGAATATAACTAATTAATCTCGTCAGTTTTTATATAATTTTTAACCAACAATATAATCATTTTAGCTTAATACTATATATGTGTACCAATTAATATGTCAAAATTATTTACTACGCAATTTATATTGTTCTATAATTACTTTGCATGGGAAACATATTATAAAAAATTAATTATAAAAAGTATGTTTTATGTTTTCAAACTTTTCAAGGTACATATTTGATTGTCTGTAAAGGCAATTGAGTTTTTTGAATTCGTTAAAACAAAAACTAATTTGTTTGCCTAACCATTAAAATTCAAGTCAAGTAGCAGACTTTATAATATAACTTGTCTTAAGATTGACGTAGATCAAAAGCTTTTTAACTTATAAGTAGAGCAAGATGAACTGAAAACTTTTGTTTTAAAATCCTACCTTTAAACATGAAAAGACTAATAAAATTAAGGATTATTTTATGAAGAAGTGGATGCCTCTTATTAAGTTATGAAACCCGATGTGAATATGGTCCGTAGTTTAACATATTACGCATAGTTAGTACGATGATTTTACTAATCGAAAAAAAACTCTAATAAAAACTTTTAATATAATCGTAAAATGAAAAACAATTATCGAATTAAGTAAATTTTGTGTTACGTGATTGTTTATTATTATTACTATTATCATTTTTTTTTTTTTGTTGATTAATACTTATACATATGTTGTTATCCATTAAAATGTAAAGTAGGTGAATAAAAATAAGAAATGTGTTTCGAACAAGAAGACATCTAAATAAGTTAAATAACTAATAGTGCCTCCATGGGATAAAACTTGATTGTTTTTTTCTTTTCAATTTTTGGTCCTTGGTTAATAATTACTCCAATCATTCAAAGCACATGTTTGGATCCTTTACTACATGATGGGATGATGGGTCGGAATGAATTCCTTTTTTCATGTGCCACCAAAGTATAACCATACAATTATAACGTCATAACACTAAGAATTTTCCTTTGCAATCCCTTCATGGCTACCACCCAACACACTAAAAGTTGTAACTTTAACATTACCATTGCCATAGAAAGTTGAAGAAACTTTGCATGATTCGGCACTTTCTCTTTGACCTCACTTCGGCATCCATTTCCTACGTGCTATACGCCCTGATAAATATTGATGATGTGACAACAGTTAATTGGCTGATGGATTTAGCTTCCCATAGCGAATTGATGGACACGCAACAAAGGATATCGCCTTTTGTCACGTGTAAGGAGAAATTTTGAATCATGCCACGTGTCTGAGCTGGCAGGCCTCGGTAGCACCTTGCTGTCTCTTTATCGATGCCGTCCCTACAACTTTAGTGTGGTCTTGTCCGCCCAAGAGTCCAACTCGTGCTTTGTTGAAGGATCGTTGATAAGAATGTTTGCGTTTGTGGGGTTCTATCTGACGACTACCGTAAAGTATTTTAATATTAATTAATTTTGATTACCATATAGACAATATACTCATGATTTGCCAATTCGAGAATGGACCAAAATAAAATTAAGTTTTAAATAATAGCAATTTTGAACCAAAGTCTGGTAATGCATGTTTATCCGATATGCTAGGAGGAGTAATTGGACTCTTTTGTTGGGATGGCAATGGGCGAGGCGAGGCGAGGCGAGGCGGGGCCGGCGGGGATCGTCATCCCCATTTCTTAAAAAAAAATCATCTTTGTCCCGTGACTCGTTTGAGATAAAATTTTTTTTTCATCCTTGTCACAGACGGGACGAGGATCGTCATTCTTATTCTCATCTTACTCAAAAAAAAAAAAAAAAAAAAAAAAAAAAAAAAAACCATTCCCATTTCGTGTCTCATTCGAGATAAAAATTTCATACCTCATTCCTACCTCAAACAGGACGGAGCGAGGCAAGATGGTTTCAGAACGGGTTGGATTGTCATTTCTATTGTTTAGTACTTTTCTTTTTAACAAATAATAAAAATATATAAGAAATATTATGTATTTTTTTAATTATATGTATATAGATGGGCTGCATTACACCTATACATTAACATTAAAAGTTTAGAATATATTACCAACAATTTATTGTCCTAACAGTAACTGAACTGTCCCTCAAATGAATTCTTTATTCATATACAGAGTTTGAATCGTGAAGTCGCATTTGTTAAAAAAAATAAAAATCTTATTATTTTTGTTCTAAGTAGTTTAAATTCTAAAATTGTATTTATTGAAATAAATTAAAACTTTATCATTCGTATTTTGAAAAGTTCAAATTCTAAAATCATATTTTATTAAAAAAGTGTTAAAAACTTGTCGTTTTTATCACGAACAACTTGAATATGCTTAAAATCCTATTTATTGGAAAGGATAACCTTATCATTCCTGATCCAAATAAGATTAAATTTATTTCAAACATGAAATGGAAATACTTGAAAAAAATTTGAATATATTTATAAGTGGGACCATTCGAATGTGAATATGTCATTTAAAAAAAAAAACTAATGATAAATTCTTAGACTTATTTAATGATTTTTTTCCTCGTTATAGGAACTAATTCCTAAAGAATGTGAGTCTAATCCTAGACGATATGCATTAGCAATGTATACTCAAACATGTTCCCTTTTTTTTCTTTTTTTTTTTCTGTGTGTATTTTCAGTTGAAGGATCAGAAGAGGAGGAAAGCTATCTAATCAAAGTAGCAATGAACTCAAAGAATAAAATATTGTCTGGCCATACATTTCTTAATCAATGACAGATATGTTTCTTGTGATAAAATTAAGCTTACTTCAACTCGTGTGGGATACAAGGGGAAAACAGAAGAAAAGAAATTCCAGAAATGAGATTCATGGTGTTGCACTTGCACCGCCTGTATGATTTCGAGACACTTTACATTTTATTTATCAGGATGTCCTTTTCGAGGTCCATAAAAGGGCTCTCTTCAGTTGTCGGCAAAGGTTAAGGATTCAAACTTGTATTGTTATCTTATTATAACAGGTTCATATGTAACCAAGAAGATTTAGTTGAGTGGAAGGCATTTTATTCGATTAAATTAAAAAAAAATTAACAGGATCGTATGTTATAAATAATTATTACTTGAACAATGTTTGAAAGCCACGTCACCTTACATTTTTCGAATTCAGATTAGAGAAATGGTTAGATAGATCGTACTTGACCCACATCAATCAAGTGGTAATAATTTACACTATGACATGCAATTTGTGTTTGGTTACCATTAATTAATCCAGAAAAGGACGGGAGAACGGAGTCTGCACGTTAAAGAAGAATAGGTGCATAATATAAATTCAAACTCTCTCAGTTCTTGAAGATCAACCAAGTCATAGGAGCAAATTTTTTTTGCCAGTTGGAGGAACAGATTAACCTGAATCTCTACATAGCAATCAATCACAATAAAATATTTTTAAAATTTTCAAAAATTCAATTAATCTAAAATTATTTAATTAGATATACAAAATGGATACAGTTATCTACAATCTCGAAATCAAAACTACTTATTTTAGTTCCTAGAATTCATTTCATCAAAATCAATTTTTTTAAAAATAAATTAATAAATATTTTAAATATTCATCCCAAAGTTCAAATTATATATATATAACCGTGAAACTAACTGAATTATACTATCCAAATAGTACAATTTCAATGAATTGAATTGATCCAGATAAATCAATATTTAAAAAGGACCTCTCGCAATCACTTTATAAATCCAGTTGTCCACAATATCGTAATTCAGTCCGCCCTTCCATTTCTTCTCCCTTTCTTTAACATCAGCCCCTTATCTCGTTATTATTATTATTCTCTTCACGATACCAAAAGGTCAAACCTCACAAAAGTAAGACCAATAACTTGACACGCACACCACCACCGGAATCTGGCCGGAAAAAATGACTAACTACGGCACAATCCCCACCTCTTCCCCACCGGGAACGTCCACGAATCTTGAATACATTTCTCGTGCCAAAGAACGAATAAAAGCTGGTTTAGCCACACGTAGGCCATGGAAAGTGATGTTCAACTTCAGGTCCTTCAACTTCCCTGGTAGTCTATCAGAAGCATTTGCGAGAGTCCGGACTAATATCGGCTACTTTACTATGAACTACGCGCTAATAGTGCTAATAATCCTGTTCTTGAGTCTGCTATGGCACCCTATCTCTCTCATAGTATTTATTGTCATGTCGGTCGCATGGTTGTTCCTCTACTTCTTGCCTGAAGAACCCCTTGTGGTTTTAGGCCGCACTATTGATGATCGTGTGGTGCTGGTCGTGCTGGCTGCGTTAACCATAATCTTTTTGTTGTTGACTGATGTTACTTTGAATGTTGTGATTTCACTTTTGATTGGTGTGGTTCTGGTTTTGCTTCACGGGGTTTTAAGGAGGACTGATGATTTGTTCTTGGATGAAGAAGCTACTGGGTTGATGAGCGCTACTCGTACTCAAGCTGCTGGATCTTCTTCTACTTCTTGATTGATGGGTGCGTTTTAATTGTGTTTCTTCATCCTATAATAATAATAAGATTAATTCTATTCTGTTTGTTAATAATCCGGCGATCTATATTAGCACTTGAATTATCTTTTTTCCTTTTTTTTTTTTTTTTTTGGGAATGAAGTTGTCTTTGTTGGACTTGGAAATAGTGAGATTCCATTAGTTTGATTGTTTGGTATTTTTTCTTTTTTTTCTTTTTCCTTCTTTGAGAAGAGGGTATTCCATTAGTTTGAATGGTGGGTGACAATAGTTACCATGTAACTTTAGATTTATGGTTGTTGGTTAACAGACACCATCACATGCATATCCTGTCAGTTTTCCGATTTTCTTGTCTTGGAATATTTTCAATTTTCTGATATGCAACAAATTAAACCCAGAATTTAAATTGTGCAACTGTGAAAAGCTAGAATACTATATATATAGTTTTTGGGATTATTGCCATATGTAAGTACGTTGATTTTTAATATTTTTCAATTGAATATAGAAATTTTAATTTTTTTTAGTACCTCAATTTTTTTAAACACTCAATTAAGCAGTTTTTATTCAACTCTTATCTATTGCTCTATTATTTTTTTCCTTGTATTATTAAATTATCAATTTGTAGTTTCATTCTTGGAATGAATTTCTTTGCAAATTATTTCGTAATTTTTCACTTTTTATACAGTAAATATCTAAAAATAAAACAAGATAGAATAATTTAAAAGAGAGAAATTGGACGAAAATATTAAATTAACAATTTAAAAAAATTAATATACTAAAATAAATTAAATTTTATATATTCAATTAAAAAACATTAAAAATTAATATATTTATAATATAATTATTAATTTTTATAGTCAGCAATCCCTAAATCTGTATGAAATTGTTGTATGTTTCACGAAAAAATTTATAATACTCAAAAAAAATAATTATTATGTATGTATATAATAATTACATTCATAGAAAGAGAAAAATAGAAAATAGAAAAGTGAAAATTAAAAAAAAAAAATTAAGGCACTGAAGTAAGGGTCCGCGACATGTTCCTTCAGATTTCCATACATTGTCAATGCGATAATTAGTTCATCGTCGTTACTGTGCCATTATAAGAAAACAAATTTTCCGGTTTTTCGAATTTTTATTGAGCTTGAAAACATATTTTTATTCGTTTTCCTTAATTAATATTCTCTTGTCGTAATTTTTTCATTGGAAAACAAGTGTTTTCAACTAAAATTATAAAAATTACAGCATGATATTTTGGTTAAGAGAAGGGTTTATAAATTAGGAAACCTCCAGGAAAATGGATTGCCAAAATTCCACAAGTCTTGCTTTGAGAAGGGAGCTGTGTTATGGCTGTTGAAGTGGCTGTCAAACATCTCAAATTTGAGAAATTGCATTGAAGAGATCGTTAAGAAAGAAATTGATCGATAATCACGTAATTGGTCATTTCAAGAACAAAACCATCGTGCCCCGTGTTTCAGACGCGTCTTACGCTACTTGTATTTCTAACAGCTCTATGATTGCTTTCTTCTCGATAATTCGAGACATGGCGTAGTAGGTTCGAGATCAAACAAACGATAAATATCGACCGTTCTAGATGGTGATAGGGAGTTTCTAGACTAGTTTGGACATAAAGTGTTTCAATTTGTTATCATGTCTCAAACAAAATTAGTTTCTCGTGTTTCATTAATCAGGGCGATTTTCTTTTTTGTCTAGTTTCCCACTTCATTTTGTTAATGAGCTTGATGATTCAATATCCATAAAATCTCGAAGGTTTTGTTAGCTTTTAAACATATCTTTTGCTTGTATGGTTCCTGAAGTAAAATTCATGATTCAAAATTAGGTTTTATCCACATTTGATCTCTATATTTTTTCATTTTTTTTAATGAAGTCTTTTATTTTTATTGATTAAATCTATCTATTCTTTATTTTGTTCAATAAAAGTCCTTCCGTTATACGCCATGAATTTATATGTTTACATGACACCTCTATGTTAAAGTAATTCTTTTCATTACTAAACTTATATAATTAAAGAACTATGAAAACAAAAAATACAATTTGTAAATTAAAATTAATTTACTTTAATTAATTACTTTATGTTAGGTTATTTTTGTTTGAGTTAATTTATTTTATTTTAATAATTTAATTTTCATCTCAAATGAAAAATTATAGAAAATAAAAAGAGTTATTAGAGATTATGGATCGTTAAGAATTTAACTTTATCCTTTAACAAAAAAATCACATAATTATATGATCTAATGACATATAAACAGAGAAATTCATTCAAAACAAAACAAAGAGTAAAAAGATTTAATCAATACAAAAAAAGAGTAGAGACTCCAAAAAAAATAAAAAAATTAAAGAGTATAAGAATCAAATCTCATTAAAAGTCATTCGGAATTCAAATTTTATTTCAATATCACTAGTTTTTTGGTAATAAGAAAATTACTATAAAGATGATTAATCTAACAGGAGATGTGTTTCACTTTATCGAAGTTAGTTACAAAATGATAATTTATGGATAAGCAAGTGTCTAGTTGTATAATAAATTTAAAGTTCAATCCTTATGGTCGGTATTCTTAAAAATTTATTCTTAAAATATCCGAAACAATACGTTAAAAAATATCTCTTAGCCATATCTTGAAAAAATTAGTCTTGCAGTACACAAAAGTTGGAAACGTTAATTTCTACCAGAAAACAACATCTTTTTATTACATAAAATAGTTACTTTAGACCAAAAGTCCAAAAGGTTTAATGGATCTGAATGAGAGGATCTAATTGAGAGTTTCTAATACATTTAACACCTAATTGGTAAAAAATAGAATTGGATCCAATTGACAAATTTATGTATAGGTGGTGACTAATCTGAAATTATCCTAAACACAATGGAAAAAAAAAAGAAGGTAAACTTCAAAACGTGGCTTCTCATCCCTCCCAAAACATCCACTCCTCTTCTCCCGTGCTCCTCCGCCTCTACCACCACAAGTAGTAGGACCCACTGACACTTTTTTGGCTCTTCAATCAGAGCCATCAAAAATTAATTAAAAAATAATGGCACACAGTCATCATCAACCCTACGATCCATATTACCAGCTGCCGGCAGCGGCAGCAGCAGTGGCAGGAGGAGAGTGGAACAGCGGGATAAACACGCTGTTCGTGTCGGGACTACCGGATGACGTGAAGGCGCGTGAAATTCATAACCTGTTTCGCCGTCGCCCTGGCTTTGACTCTTGCCAGCTCAAGTACACCGGCCGCGGCAACCAGGTCAAAATGATTGTTTTAATGTGTTTTTTCTTTTAGCAGAATTAAAGATGGCCAAGCTTGAATGTAATTTTTGTCTTTTTTGCAGGTTGTTGCATTTGCTACCTTTTTCAATCACCAATCAGCCATTGCAGCTTTGCATTCTTTAAATGTGAGGTCTCATCTTATATACCTTTTGTTTTTCAAGCGATGGAAGTTTGGGATATTTTTATTTGATTTGAACAATGAATGGTAGTTTTCTGGAATTCTATTAACATCCATTTCCATAAACTGAATTTGGTAGTATTTTCCACTGTTGATAATAAGCTGTTTCGGGTGTGGCATTTCGATGATATTGGCAAATGCGAAGAGGGGAATCCTTAATGGGAGATAGCTAGGTTGTTAAGTTAAATTATGGTAAACAGATAAGCATCTGGGTTCAATTCTAATTCTTAATGTTTAGTTCTGTTTAAAATTTGTTCTGTAAGGATATTTGACACACGCATGCACATGCAAACATGTTTCCAGTGATAAAAGTGTTTGAATTTTATGCGCGTTTGTAATGTCATCTTTCTTTGTTGATCATGTTTAGGGAGTAAAATTTGATCCTCAAACAGGATCCACTCTGCATATTGAAATTGCGAGATCAAACTCAAGGAGGAAACGTAAGCCAGGTACACGGTTGACCATTTACTGATCGAAAAGTATTATTTCCAAAATGCGTTAGATAGTCAATTGACCTTCTTTCTTATGCAGGTAGTGGAGCCTATGTTGTCATTGATAAGCGAACCAAAAAGTCATCCGATGCCCATGGATCATCAAGCGATGATGGTAATTACAGATTTACGCATATTAGGTTTTTAAGTTGTATGCATGCCAAGTTGTGGATGTTTATTTGTGTTCTTCTATTTTTCCTCGTTCTTTTCATTTCTAAGAGTTGCATACATGGGATTTTTCCATGATTCTATTGGTCTATTTTCCCACATACAGTTGAAAGCGAACCTGAAGAAAATCCTGAAATAGACAATGTTGATTCTGCCAACCAGGGTGATACAGAACATGCAAAGAGGTTGAAAAGTGATTAAAAATTTATACTTTGTACTGAATTGAAAAGTGATATATTTCTAGATTCACACTGTCTAGATTACAGGTGCAAAAGAATTCATTAAGTTTTTCCAACTTCTTTAGTGCATCTCTGGACTTTTCTTCTGTCTGTTTCTTTGCAGTGAGGCAGCAGGTGATCCTGATAATGCTGCAGTAGCTGTAAATGTAAGTGAGCAATGCTTGACTTTGTCCTTTGTAAGGGGTGCTGATTCAGGTGCAAGGGCATTGATAAAACTGCTGCCTCTCTTATTTATTTGTTTGTTGCATTAAATAACTGCTACTGCATTAAGGAAAGAAAGATATTCTTGATAGGTGGTTTTTTATAGGATTGTTCCCTGGTTCTCATTCTGTTTGTCATGCTTATTTAGTTTGTATGCCTCCGCTTGAAATTACTGCAATTTTTAGAAAGTATTATGCAAAGCACAAACTTTCAGGAGATGGTGAGAATGTGAAGAAAGTTGTGGACATAAAACTAAACTCTCTCTGCTGGCATTTCACATATATCTCTGAACTTTAAATTAACTTTTCCTTTTTCATGAATTCCAAATGTTGATTTGCACAGCCTTTGTATGTTGATTAGTCCATAGGCATGGAAATGTGTTTGAATTAACTTTGGATTTGAATTAAATGGTTGGTTCAGGAGCTGGTGGAGAGGACTGCGGAAGGAGCTGTTTGTCCTTGCTCCACTTTGTTTATTGCAAATCTAGGTCCAAATTGCACTGAGGATGAACTGAAGCAAGTTCTATCTCAGTGAGTTCCAGTTTTAATTCTCCAAATAGAGTACTGTTTAGTTTTCTTTCTGCAGTCTAATTATGTTCTTATTGCTGCTGTCTTGATCATCTATAATATCATGAATTTGGAATTGTGATGGGTTAGATTCTTTTGGTTCCAGATATCCTGGATTTAAGGTGCTCAAAATTCGTGCTAAAGGTGGAATGCCAGTTGCCTTTGCTGATTTTGAGGTATTAATGCTACCATTTAAAGAAACTGCTTGTGTTTTGGGCCTATGGCTTTTGCACCAAAAATAAATAAATAAATAAAAGAAAAAATCACTTTTGCTGCTACAACAGAGTCTAGAGACATCATGAAGACATAAATGAAGAAAACAAGCAGATTTTTCTGGGTTTCTCGCCTTCTTTTAAGTATGGCTTGTGCTTCCACTGTGACTTAGCTTTATATAAAATCCAATCTCACATATGGCTGCTGATGCCTTCGATGCTGAGCATGCTGCAGGCATCTGGCATTATCATGTATGTTGGCCTTTGTTTAAAAGAGGGCATCAAAGAAATGCAACACAGCTGTTAGGGTGAAGAGATTTGCTTAATCTTGCAATATATTTCACACTGCTGCAGTCACAGTAAAACAAGCAAGCTGAATTTTGTTTGCACCTTTAAAATGAGTGTTCACTTGATAATCTTAATTTGAGAAGTACACCCATTCAGCACTTCAGGATTAATTTGACTTGTATGGATTTCTTCCTTTGTTGCACGAGCAAATGATGGTCCATGTTGTTGATGAGTTCATCCTTTACGTAGTAAACTTAAGTTCCCATTTCCAACTATCATATTATTAATTAATAGCTGCAAAATTCACTACTTAGGATGACTAAAATGATTCTTCAACCTGTGATTTTCTTTTTTCTCATCTGGCAGGAAATTGAACAAGCTTCTTTAGTCATGGAGAGTCTTCAAGACACCTCGTTACCATCATCGGACAGAGGCGGCATGCACATAGAGTACTTATTCTCTATCTTGTTATGCTCTTTAAACATTAATATATTGCTTCATTATCATAACGTATTTTTGCACTGGTGCTCTCCAGATATGCCAGGTCCAAAATGAGGAAGCCTTAGCAGAGAACCGAATCACTCATCAGCTGGCTACTACTTAATTCTCTAGGGAACTATTAGGTCTATCATACTTCACTTGAGAATATCTTGCAAACCAGATTGCCCTTTTTTTCCCTTAACATCGTAAAGTTGCTGCTGAGGATCCATATTGGGTGCTTCCCTCATAATATTCTTTTCAGCGAATTATTTTTTAGTCCTTGGGTTTTGAATTCAGTTATAACTTAATCCTTCAGGCCTTCATGTTTGAAAACTTATTAGTTGGTCATTTGACTCTTGGTGACGTTGTGTTTTTTATAAATCAATTGGTTTTCTCCAAACTTTCAGTAAAAAGAATCAAAGGATCTTTTAATAAGAAAATGGTTAACAACAATCAAGTGACTTAAGTTATAGGTTTTCAAACTCAAAGGACTAAAGACACCAAGTACTATAGCATTCAAAACCCAGGAAGAATAATTTTTTATTTTATTTTTCGTTTGTTTTCTCTTGAGCTTGTTGAGGATCTGTTTAAAACTGTGGGTCTGCAGTTTTATTTATGCATGGCAGGCAAGGCATAGAGTTCGGATCTGAGTTGAATCAATATGTTGGCAAGCTCGTGGAGGCTCAAATCGATCTTTTTGCTTAATAACTTGGACCAAGAATCTTATTTAATTAATGATTAATGTATCATAAATTTTCGAATTTGACGCGTTTTAATTATTTTAGCATTTTTTTTAAAAAAAAAATTGATTTAAAATACATGCACTAAGTTTTTACAATTTGATAAAAGAATTCTGATCAGCAACTTCTCCTGCAAATAGGATTCTCATGAGTCTTAAAAGAGAGTGAGGGATATTCATAACCAAAAGCAACTTCTAGTAAATAGGTGACAAGCTGAAGGACAGCCAGGAGAATAACCTTCGAAGCAAGGTCTGCACGACCATCATCCTTTTTGGCAAATTCATCAGAATCTCTAACGTTTCTTTCAAATCAGACGATTTTGAAGCAGTAAACGATGGCTCAAGGAAATCTTTTTATGTATATGATAGCTCTGTTAATGATGCACCAGCCATTATTAATTTAGCGCAAAGCAATTTAATCCTGTACCAGTGTAGCAAATTTTCAGGTAGTAATATAAAACGCTAGACATTGAGTAGTTCAGCAAATAATGTTGATAGAGCTTTATATAATCCTATTTCGCATACCAAAAAATCAGCTCCTTTCTTGCTCAAATACACTAATGCAAAAAGTAAGTAAAGCCCAGAAAATTTAAATTTCAAAATTCAGAAAAAAGTAGTGAAAAATTGAAGCTAAAGCCACAATAATGGCCCCGAATTATATTTATAAACAAAACTAGAACAAAATACCAGCAACTAAGCTTAGCCAAGTTAATCAACTTTTTGAAACAAAGAGAGAGAAATTTCAGAAACAACATGGTGGGGCACGTTGGCAGCAGCCCCGAAGATCGTTTAGACGACGTTCTAGGAATAGATGCAATGCACTGATTTGGCACGTGGCTAATGATGAAAAAGGTGGTCGAAATTGATAAAGGTATTTTAATAATCTCAAATCTGCTGAAAAATCTAGAAATTACAATATTTCTGCAGCAATTCTAGTCATTGCATTTCAAAATAAGAATTTTTTGTTAAAAAAAAAATTATTATTATATGATTAATTTCCGATTGATGAGATCCATTAAAAGATGGAAAACAGCAATTTTTAATTTTTTTTCTTTTTCTAGGAATTATTACATATTTCAATTGATTCAATAATTAAATTATTGCGGTTTTCAAATTCTTAGTATAGCTTTTCTTTTTTTAACCATATGTATTCTTCCGAGAGCAGTTTGAGGTAATGGGATCATATTGGAATTGGAATCCAAAAAAAACTTGAGCATTTATTATTTGGATCATATTCATGATTTATTTAATTAGTCCTAAAATTATTATGTTTTTCTATTCTAAATTAGAAACAATTGTATGTTTTTTATTCTAAATAAACATATTTATGTTGGAGATTTAAATTTTTTTTGTCATAGTTGGATTTAGAATTTGATAACTCTATAAATATAACATATATTCTTTCAATATTTAGAATGCAATAATATCAAATAATTTTCAATAAATTTATGTGACTCACTCCACCCCTCCTAGGTGTGGCTCCTAGATAATCTACCAATATATTTTCTCATATTTCTCAAAAACCTAATATAATATTAATAACTAAAAGAATAGAAATTCCGGTTATGAAACATGTGAATTGATTCCAAACAAGACAACACCAAGACGAACTGTTTGCTCGGTAATTAAGCTCTCTAACAAACACTTTTTTCCCAAGTGATCAATGTAGTGAATCTAAATAAGCAAGCAAGCATTCCTTCTTTCCTTTCCTAAATCGAATCAGGCATTCAAGTAACAACTTAATCATGTAATCAAATCCTCCAAAAAGATTCTGAAAAAAAAAAACAAGGAGGATGTTTATACCTCAAGAAAGACTCAATCTTAGCTCCTCCTAATGCTCAAACCCGAAATTGAAGACGAAGCCCCTTTTTTATTAAATAGAAAACTTCGATAAAATCGATTAATCGAACTGAATCGAATTCAGATTTGATTTTTTCAATAGAATTTAATAAAAATCGAACCTATATTTCGGTGTTGATTCAATTCGGTTATTTTGGTTGATAATCTTGCATGACGTCTCTATCCATTGGGAAAGGTCCATCCCTTCCCACATGACTACATCGGGCCCCTAGTTTTAGGGTTTCCGCGTTTTAAGTCACTAAACCGGATAGTTAGGGCCTACTAGCTGCAGCTGCAGAGTCCAGAACTATAAAACAAAGCAAATTACCCATCATCCAGGGAAATACAGCTCTAGTTGCATCTATATTTATGTTAAAAGGCTGCATCCTGTTCCTCTGCTCATGACAGGTCAAAGCTAAGTGAAGACAATTCAATTTCAGGATGGACTTCTCTGAAAATCATAATCAACAACCAGAGGTTAGAAATGGACAATACGGTAACCAACTGGCTCCTGTGGATAAGGACAACAAAATGAAGAGCAAACTAAGGGACCGACCACATGGTAGATGCTACCAAGGAACCATTAACAGCGTCCTGAATGGGTTTGTCATTATCAGATTCAATGCTTGGATTTTATTGCATTTCCAAGAATTTGAAATTCAAAAAATTACAGCCAAGATAAGAAAAGGTTTCCCTTTCATCTCTGCAAATTGCAACCCTCCCCCTCATCATTTAATGCTTTCATGTTCCATGTTTGCTTGTTTTGGTTGCTTCCTGAGATTGAGACAAATCTAAGGTTAGTTTTGCCTGCTGCTTCTCGATCCTCTCCATCCCTCAATTTTCCAAGATTCAAAACACAGAGAAAGAAAGAGAGAGAGATTCGCAAAAGCTGCTTCTTCGATTCAGAGCATACCGTATTCACTGATACTCGTGGTTTCATTGCTGTTTAATATCAGTTCCTATCATTTACCAAAGAATTACAAAACATTGCTACCCCTACTTCCCTTCCACTATACAAAGCAAAATCAGGATGGCATTGAACAAAATACTTAAGGCAAAAAAACAAATACAAAACGCAGATGGGCCAGCAACATATTTGGCATACCATATGTAGTTCATTAAGGGTTAGCTCTTTACAAATCATCTTGGCATGAAATCTTCCTGGCCTTATCCCTGTCCCAGAAAGTTGGTTGTAGGGTGTCAAAAGAGAACTTCCCACTGAATCCTTCCAACGCCTCATTTGTTGATAGATGACCACCATAATGTTGTGGTGGCTGCTGCTGCTGCTCTATGTAAATCCTTCCACTCCGGTTTCCTACGTCATACCCAGGTGTTGACATGTAATTTGAGTCCACAAGCATGTCGCCTTCTAGTATGCGGAGAACCTTCTCCCAAATAACAGACAAATAAGCAAAAAATGGCCTATATTTCGATAATAACTATCCAAAACATTAGAATGCTGTATGCATGAGAAAGTAGTACGTCAAAAGCATGTTTCCACAAGGTTTTCCAACACAAAAGGTGATATTTTTTAAAAGAATGCCTCATGTATTCACAAACTTTGAGTGATTTTCATTCACATTTCTTTCCATTTGCTTCTATACAGTTTTGATAACAATGCAAACTTATCTGGCTGTTCCAGTGTCTCAAGAACTTCTACAAGTATAAATGCCTTAGAACATGCTCATTCAGATTTATTTATTGTATGGCAAGCCTGAATGATTTTCAAATTGAAAGCTTGTTTACCTGAGACATACGAGGCCTGGAATGAGGATCCCGCCGTATGCATAATGATGCTGCATGGAGCATGCAGTAAACCTCCTGTTCTGAATAGCGATTGCCAAGCTGTGGATCAATCAGTTCATCTATGGCATATTCTTCCAATAGAGGACGTGCCTATCCAGATCAAGATGCTTAAGAATTAGAATATAAGAACCAAGAAGCTACAGCATGAAAGAATGCAAGACAAAATGATTTTATCTTTCTTATTCCATCAGTAGTGTTTGCCGTGTATGTCAACAATGCATTGCAAGATTACACTAAACTTGCTGCCTAAGAAAAACAAGAAAAGGCAAGAAAAAATTGTGGATTGCAAAGAGAGAGCTATGGATCAGCAAACTGAACCCTAAAGCATACCCATTCTGCGAGACACTGCTGGCCCTTTGGCCGGTTGAGGTCCACTGCTTTTCGTCCAGTAACAAGCTCAACCAAAACAACTCCAAAGGAATAAACATCAGCTTTGTCTGTGATTTGACCACTTTGAGCATATTCAGGAGCCAAATACCTGCAGCAGAGAAGAACATCTTATTCAATACTGCATTTGCATGTAGAAGAAAAAGGCAAAAGGCACCACTATCTGAAATTACCCAAATGTTCCAATCACTCTTGTTTCAACACTAGTATCAGCATCAGGCTGCCACCTTGCTAGGCCAAAATCTCCAACCTAGAAATAAAAAGCTGAACTAAGGTCAAATAAGTTCAACAGATTGGCAGTTAAAAAGCACGTTTCATGCACCATGAAACACAAGTGACAAAAATATCTCAAGAAACATCTTCCAGGAAATTCCAAAGAAGACGATGGGAAGTGATGCATGCATGAAAAGCAGAATGAAGATCTACAAGGATTCTACTCTGGTTCAGCTGTATCTCAAAAATATGAGATGTTGGAAACAATTTACTAGAAGTCGACCCTGATGATAGAGTGGATGCAAAAATGAAACAGTTGTAATTAACATTTACATTTCTATGTGTCTTTTGGGAAAGGAAATGACGAGTATGTGTCTTTTGGGAAAGGAAATGACGAATTTCCATACCAGCGGTTCAAAATCATGGGTTATGAGTATGTTGTTAGGCCGCATATCCCGATGGACAATGCAACCTACTCTGCATTCTTCATGAAGATAGCGTAACCCTCGAGCAGCTCCTACTGCAATCTTCTGGCGTGCAGACCATTCTAACGGCTCCCTCTGACGCCCTGAAGAATAAAGCTTTCTTAGTAAATTGCAATCAAAATTGGCATCCTTGAACCTAACTTCAAATTAAAGGACCAAGGATAGAGTGCAGTCAACAAGCATCAAGCTCTTCATGCAGGGCTCAAAAAAATTACCGTACAGATGAGAATCAAGTG